AATGATATTCTAAGACCTTACTTGGATATCTTTGTTGTTGTCTACTTAGACGACATTCTTATATACTCTTTAGACACTCAAGAGCATGTTCTACATGTTAGACAAGTCTTAGAGAAGCTATCTCAAGCACAACTCTTTTGCAAACTTGAGAAATGTCTTTTCCATATGTCTCAAGTTGATTTCTTGGGACATAGAATTTCAACAGAAGGCATTCAGATGGACCCTGAAAAGACAAAAGCAGTACAAACGTGGCCTATTCCTTCCAGCATTAAAGAGGTTCAGTCTTTCCTTGGGTTTGCCAACTATTACAGGAGGTTTATACCAAGATATACATCCTTGGCTTTACCCCTTACTCAATTACTTCACAAGGACACTTTGTATCACTGGGATAAGACACAGCAAGATGCTTTCGATGCTCTTAAAGGAGAATTTAAAGAAGGGAAAATGTTACTACACTTTAACCCCTTGAAACCTGCCACTCTTGAGACAGATGCCTCAGATTTTGCTATTTCTGGAATCTTATACCAAGCTCCAAAAGACAAACAAGAAGAGCTACAGCCTGTGGCATTTTACTCAAGAAAGCTATCAGCAGCTGAACAAAACTATCCCATTACAGACAAGGAACTGCTTGCCATAGTATGTTCTCTAAAGCATTGGAGATGCTACCTTGAAGGGGCAAACTATCCTATCACTATTTACAGTGACCATTCAAACCTCTTGACCTTTACAACCACTAAACAGCTCAATAGACGACAAGCAAGGTGGTCTGAACAACTAGGAGGTTTTGACTTTGTTATAAAACATGTCTCAGGGGCCAAGAATCAAAGAGCAGATCTCCTCTCAAGAAGACATGACTACCAAGATTCTGCTAAAACTAGCAATACAAAGGCTCTGCTAGACTCAGCAAAGCTTATAGCAGCATCTTTAAGCAACCCTAGTACTACAGAGGACTTAGGGGTAAACTTATCCCCTCAAGACCAAGTTGCCCCCATTACCTCTTCTCAGGAACCAGAGACCTTTAAAGACTATACACCCTCAGCAACACTTCTTAAAGCATTCAAAGATGCTTACAACCATGATCCCTTTGCGAAAAGAACTTTGGAATACCTCCAGAAGAAAGGTTCCTCTCTTGAGAAAGTTGGACTACAGAATTTCTCAAAAAATCAGCATGGACTTCTCTTATTCAAGAACTATATCTATGTCCCAAGGGATAAACGATTACAGCTACACCTCCTACAGCAGTTCCATGATGCTCCAGCTGCAGGGCACTTTGGCTTTGCAAAAACTTATGAACTTCTAACAAGAAAGTTCTACTGGCCTAGTCTAAGGACTACTCTTCAAGACTATATATCTTCTTGCACTACTTGCAACTTGAACAAACCTACACGGCAAAAGCCCTATGGCCTCTTGCAGCCTCTACCTATACCAGAACGCCCATGGGACTCCATATCCATTGACTTTATAGTCAAGTTGCCTCCTTCTATCCCAAAAGGGGGTGCTACCCCTTATGACTCTATCCTTGTGGTGGTAGAAAGGCTCACAAAAATGGCACACTTTGAGCCTTGCAATGAGACTATCACAGCTTCTGAACTTGCGTGGCTATTCCTCAAGGTGGTCTTTAAATATCATGGAATTCCTGGACACTGGATCTCAGATAGGGGAGCAGTTTTCACTTCAAACTTTTTTAAGGAGTTCTCTAAACTCTTAAACATGGAACAACGCTTCTCTACAGCTTATCACCCTCAAACAGATGGCCAGACAGAGAGAGTCAACTCTGTACTTGAACAATATCTAAGAATTTATACAAACTATGCTCAAGACAACTGGGCAGATCTTCTCCATCTTGCAGAATTTGCTTACAACAACACGGTCTCTAACACCACAAAAGAGACACCTTTCTATGCAAACTATGGTTATCACCCTAGGTTTGAAGTGGCAGAACTGAATTGTCCTGAAAATTTCAAAAACCCTTCTGCTACTGAAAGAATCATCTACCTTAAGGGCCTCCAGGACTATCTCAAGGTTCAAATACAGCGTGCACAAGACGAGCAGGCTCAGGCCTTTAACAGGGGGGTGGTTGCACCACAATTCAAAGTTGGTGATCAAGTCTTTTTGTCTAGAAGACATATCACAACTACTAGACCTTCAGACAAACTTGATACTAAAAGACTTGGACCTTTTAAGATCACAAGGACTATTGGCAAGAATGCTTTCGAGCTTGCATTACCACCTACTTGGACTATCCATAATGTCTTCCATGCATCTCTCTTGTCTAAGGCACAAGAAAGTTCCTTAAGACCACTTCAGTCTCCTCCACCTCCTGTTCTGATCTTGGATCAACCAGAATATGAAGTAGAGTCTATCCTTGACAAAAAGACACTTAGAGGTCAGGACTGCTTCCTCGTTAAGTGGAAAGGCTATCCTACAAGTGACAACACTTGGGAGCCTAAGAGAAATCTAAAAAATGCATCTAAGCTCATTCTAGAATTTCTTTCTAAGAAAGCCAACTGGCTAAAGGGCAAGCAGACAGCCAACAAACGTCCTTAAAAGGGGGATCATGTCATACTGACATTCGTTGCACTCAGTTTGCTATCAAACTCAAGAGCAAACTTAGAAATCTCCTCCTCAAACCTACAAGTCACCATACATATCTTGGCTTATCACACCAACAACAGAAGCAATACTACTCAACGATTGCTGCAAACTCTTCTACTACATCTGTTTATGCTACATACATCACGGCATATCATTTGGACACTCATTGAACAAGTTATTAAGAAAATCTCCTCCTTAAGGGGGTGGGCCAATACTACCACATGGCATATCTCTACCAACTAGAGGCCTAGGAACATGAACGATAGCTCTAGAAGCTTCTACAACCCTCTATGATTCATTACACGTCATCGCTCCTTAGTTACCCACAAGATTGGTTAAGTTATGACATAATTTGTCTATAGGTACTCTGACCTTGGACCTCCTTTTCACTTCCTATAGGCTAGGAACCCAAGAGATGGTTCTATGGGATTCTCTTACGTTCACTACATGATTAGCAAGCTAGTTGTGGGTCGCACTTGATTTCTAATACATTTACCAAGCCTGGTTAGTCATGGAAAGTCATGGAAAATGAGAGAACTACACTCCTTTGGCATAAATAGGATTGCCCTTTCCTTAAGAAAGGGCAAGCAGGCAATACAGTAAATCGACTAGCACATACTTCTACGTCTTTTCCAAGCTTCCAAGCATTGATCTTGTTATTCTCTGTTTTTGAAAAGTCAGTGAGGTGCTAACCTCTGACTTACCCCTGAGTTCTCAGACTCAACATTTGTTGCAACTTGTCTAAACCACTTCACCACATCATACACCTGATTGCTGCGTTGTGGAATAGTCTAAGCTACAACCCTTTGGCTCTGTTTCCTAAGACAGTGTGTTGTCTTAGTAAATTCATCCCTTCCTTGGGTGGCTAGATTCTCATATCTGGTGCACCCACCATTACACTTCCTCAATTCTGATACGGACACAGAAATCTTCATGGATGTTCCACCAGACTGGGAAGTCAATGGCAGCATACTGGAAAATGCGCCAAATTGGATGTGCCATCTACAGAAAGCACTTTACGGATTGAAGCAAGCACCTCGACTTTGGCAAAGAGAGCTTGCAAAGGCACTTCATGGACTTGGATTCACTGCATGCGCAAGCGATTACAGCGTTTATTGCAATCAGAAGACAGGAATCCTCATCGTCACATATGTGGATGATATGCTGATCATTAGCAAACAAATCACAACAATCCAAGGGCTGAAGAAGGAGCTGATGCGAAAATTCGAAATTGAAGACCTTGGGCCAGCAGCATACTTTGTAGGGGTGAGGATCACACGCAACAGAGAGGCAGGAACAATTTCCCTCTGTCAAGATGCATACATCACAAAGATTCTGCACCGCTATGGCATGGAGAATTGCAAGGCAGTGGACACACCTGTGGCTACAGGAGCTGCAGAAGTCATGATCCCATTTAAAGACTCGACCAGATATCTCATATGGAGTCTCTGTTCTGTCCAGATTCCTCACTAATCCTTCGCCAGCTCACATGAAAGCAGCAGATCGAATCCTTCACTACTTACAAGGCACAAAGATGCTTGGAATCGAATATGGCATGCAAGGCGATACGCAGCTCCATGGATACTGTGACTCAGACTATGCAAGCGATAAAGCAAACCGTAAATCGGTCCTTGGAAATGCCTTCTTCTTCGCCGGAGGTGTGATTTCACACACTTCAAAGCGACAACAGACCGTGGCACAATCGACCACAGAAGCAGAGTACTACGCACTCGCAAAGGCGGTGTCAGAAGCACTATGGCTACAACAGATCATGAAGCAGATGATGTACACAGGAAATGACATTCAAGCTACGAAGATCTATGGAGACAACCAAGGCTCATTGAGCTTGGCCGAAAACCCCAAATTCCACCAGAGAACCAAGCATATCGATGTCAAGCACCACTTCATTCGGGAGCACATTGAAAATGGGTCAATTGACCTCTGGTATGTGGAAACAGCCAACATGGTAGCAGATGGATTGACCAAGCCGCTACCCGCCACACAACATGAGAAGTTCATACAGCAGCTTCAGATGAAGGTGATCACGGCCTAGGAAATGGGAATGGCCTCAATTCAGTCATGCAAAGGGGTGTGTTGAAGGAGGAGGTTGCTCAGACTGATTGGTTAGGCGTGTGGCTCGCCAACCGAATCGGGTTGCGGACCACCCACAAATAGTTCCGTAGATAGCTTCACTCAGAACAACAACAATACAAAAAACATATATTCAAGTGAACTGTTGTTCAACTCAACGTGATAACTATGCCGCTGCAGATACAGATACACCACTGATCTCAACAGTATCTCTCTCCCACCACCCTCCCTCCCCCTCACCCCCCAAAAGCAAAACACCCCCCCAAACTAACTGTAAAAAACATCAACAGCAAACAAGCAACTCCCGTCCACCACCCCTCCACCCTGGCCCTAACCCCTCTCTTCCTCACCACCCCCCCCATCCCCGCCTCCAGATCCCTAGAATCCCCCAGCGGAACCGATTTCAGGTCCGCGTCTGCGGCGACCGCGGCCGCGGCGGCGAAGGAGGTTACGTTGTGGAGGTGTGTGTTGGATGGGTGGGATGGGCTGGTGGTTGTGGTTGTGGTGGTGGTCGGGATGGCGAGGGGGAGGGAGGTGGTGGTGTTGGGGCGGAAGGCGGGGTTCCAGACTGCGTGGGGGTGGAGGGGGGTGGACATTGTGTGAGAGGATTGACTGTGGTTTTGGATGTTGGCGGTGGTGTTGGTTCTTTGAGGGGATTTTGGGGGGTTTAGGGGGATTGGGAGGTGGCGTGATGTTGGGGGTGAGGGGTGGTGATGGCGTCGGTTTTACGTAGTTATGGTGACGCGAGTGGGATGGACCCTTTGAAGTGGCTTTCTATATCCTGTTTAGACTAGTGACCCTGTTAAATGTTAATCTGCTGCCTGTTTTGTTTGTTGTCTCTTGCAAAATGCAACGAGTATCAATTCTCAAAATGAGAGATGGCGAGATTCTTGAGTGGAACGATTTGTGCTGCTAAGGGGCATACCATCAGGACATCCCTACGGCAGCGTTGTAAATTCGCACAGAGTAGACATAAACTGCGGGATTCGGCGGACGATCCACGCCCCATTGATGCAATTAATTATCTCCAACCATAATGGTACACTATCCCAACACCCCACCCCATTACCTCGCGCTCCTCCTCTCTTCATCCCTCTTCTGCCTCTTCCGACTCTCCTTCTCAATCATCTCGCTCAAATCCTCCTCAGTCCCCCACTTCCCACTCCCCTGCACACCCGCGACATCCTGCTCGCGCCTCGCGCTCTCATATCTCCTGCGCAGCTCCTCCGGCCCCGCCTCCAGCGCCTCAGGATCAATAGCCATCTCCACATCTCCCGGCTTCTTGCGCTTGCGCTGGTCCTCCTCGCCGAGCACGGGGACGTTAGGTGGTGGGCGATTGATCGAGGAGACGTCGTAGGCACGCTCGCCGCCGAAGAATCCCTCGGCGCGGATGGCGCGCTCGGGGATGACGGTGTATGCGGTGCGCGGGCCGGTGTACTCCTCGGTCTCGGTGCCCTTGCGGGATTTGCGTAGGTCGAAGGCGCCGCCTGCGTCGATCTCGCTGGGGTACTCGGAGGGGACGGCGGAGGCCATGCCGCCGGGGGTTTCGAGGCCGGTGGTGTCTTCTTCCTCCCCCTCCTCTTCTTCTTCCTCGGACTCTTCCTCTTCCTCCTCTTCTTCTGGTGCTTGCAGTTCGCCCCAGAGTGTGCGCTCGATGGGTTCACCGGCTTGGTTGTTGACTTGCGGTTGGAGCACGCCGAAGATGTCGCCGCCGTATAGAGGGCGGTTGAACTCGTCGACGGGAGGCTTGCCGTATCCACCGGGATGGAAGCCCCAGGCTCCACCTGGTGGAGGAGGTGCGTTCAGGCCGGGAATTTTTAGGGACGGGTAGGATGGTGGAGGACCGAAACGCTGTTGGTTGATGAGCCATGGCGGTGGTGCACCTGGTGGAATATTGAGTGCCTCTTTCAGCTCCTCCGATAACTCTCCAGGGCGCAGATGCCTGAGGTTCGTCTCGTACTCTTTGCCCTCGTAGTATACCTCGCCGTACCGTGTCAGTTCCGGCTTCGTCTGGTGGCGGAAGAACGCCTCGTATAGTTTTTGATAGTCGATGTCGAGCTTGCCCATTTTCGGCTGGACGCGCTCGCGCTGCTTCGACTTGAGAGAGGCGTCGGCTGCCTTCTCGAGAACGGCGTCGCGCATCTCGGCAATGCCCGTCTCTTGGATGAATTTGGGGAGGGCGAACGGTGGCTTCTCAACACCACGCTTCGAGGAGAGGTATTCGCGCTTCAGCGACCAATGTGTGGGAACTGGGACAACGTTGCGGTAGGATTTGATGTGGACGAGTAGTCGAGGGTCGGGGGCTGAGGTGTCTGTCCAGTCGACCAGTTCTGGCTTGTTGACAAGCGCTTTTAGCTCTGCGACGGACAGCTTGTTTTGCGCCTTGCGCGCCCTCTTCGATATCTTCGGCTCAACCTCTTCCTCCTCGTCTGGGATCTCCTCGTCATCAGAGTAGTAGATCTCGCCCTTGTCTCCATTGGCCTTCTCGTCGGCGTCCTCTCCCTCCTTGTTCACCTGGAAGCGGTCGATGATGGCCTTGAACATCTCATAATTCGGGTCATCTTCGGAGATGTCGAGTGCTGAGATTTCAATCTGTGAGATGTCTTCGTCGTCTGCCTTGACTGGTGTTGGTTGTTCGTCCGTCTTCAGTGGTGGCGCGGGAGATGCCTCTGGTTCTGGTGTTGGCTCGACCTTGACTGCTGTGTCCTTGGCTGTGTCAGCTGTAGTCGTCAATGCGGACGTACTGCCAATGCTCACCTCTGCCTTCTTCTGCTCCTTCTTCTTCGCCCTCCTCATCTGGTTCTTGGTCATCTTCGGCGCCATCTTGGACGCTGAGGGCATCGCGCCCGGGGGTGCCGTGTGAGGGATACTGGTGCGCTTTTTGTGCACTATGCTGTCTGCACTATGCTGTCTGCTGTATGCTGCTGTATCCTTCAATGCCCTGCTAGGAAACAATGTGTTGATATACAGGCGTGTGGTGGTGCAGTAGATGCTATTCTGTTGGGTATATAGCTGTCTTTCTCGATATTTGACAATTCGATATTCACGCGGCTGTCTCGACGCCAGTCCCTAACCAGCCTAGCGCCTATAATCAACTTAGTTCGTTCTAGCGTGCCAAGTCAAACATTCCATCATTTAAGCGCTAAGCGCTAAGCCATCCGCCAAGCCATTCGCCAAGCAATTTGATTAAATGTCTACTTGGGTGCATGTACTTCGCTGGTTGTACTCCGTACTTCTTGTACTTCTTGTACTTCTCGTCCCTCGTACTCATCCGGAACTCGGACTCTGAATGGTCCGTGGTCGTATAACTCCAGCTAACTGGATATTTGTCCCGCCGTTTGCGTGGATATCCCGATATATTGACAATTCTTCAGCTTCTTCACCTCTCACAACGTCTACACACGTCTACAACCCCCCGTTATCTTCTTCAGTTAACACTCACTGTCGCTGCCAATAATAACAGCTCTCGAAGAATGAACCACTGACGATAATGCCATCCTAAGCTTTCTCCAACCCTCCCAGCTTTCTCAGCTCGCTTCAATCCCCCCCCTTGACTGTCGCAATGCCGCACTCGACATCCCCTCCACTACAATTACGGCGAGAGAGGTCCTTGAGCCACGCCATCGCACCCAAACCTGTTGCTGAGGTGCGTATATCGATGGAGAAGTTTCCCGACATGGACCCTTCGTTTCTCGGGGGACAGGATGACCAAATCCCTGAGCCGCCGAGAGCGAATGGGACACTCAATGGGGTAACACCATCGCCCTTCGAAAGGTGGCAGACACGCAGAGAACCCATACCGCCGAGCTGGACTGGCAAGGCGGCATATCATCCCACGGGGAGAGTACACGGCAGACAGAAGAGCTTGACAGACGCCTTCAGAACTATCCGCTCGAGGAAGGGCAGCGTTACTGCAAATGCCCACGAGATTGCGGGCGCTCTGAAGGCGCCCGTGTCACCAAAGCTCATTGTAGGCCTCCAATTGCTATCCCCAGACCTTGCTGTACGCTGATAATCGTAGACACTCTGCATAGTTTGGTACTTCTCCTCTGCCCTGACGAACACCTCCTCAAAGACCATCTTGATGGCCTTCCCGAAACCCGCGACCCTCACACTAATACAATTCGGTTTCGTCTCGTCGTATTGCCTCCTTTTCTCGGCGCTGGCCGACAGCTTCCCCGCCATGAAGAATACCATCCCCGCTCTCAGGTTTGGCATCAGACCACCGACTCGCGACGTCATCGTCACCACATTGCCGCTCGCACTCTTCCAAATCGGCGGACATCTCCTCTCCTCCTCCGCTACACAACGAATCCCCGTCTCGCTCGTACATACCATTAAGGGCCTCTCACCCCTATTTACCGTGTTTGCATACCGTATCGTCTTCGATATCCGATACCCCCTTACCACATACCTCTCTCTCATCCCGCTCACCCTGGGTGTGATGCTCGCCTGCTCTGCCTCCTTTAAGGGCAACTTCATCGGCATACTCTACGCTTTCTTAGCGGCTATAATATTTGTCACGCAGAACATATTTTCGAAACGCCTCTTCAACGAGGCCGCCAAGGCCGAAGCAGACGGCCAGCACCAGCAGTCGCGGCGGCTGGATAAACTAAATCTACTATGCTACTCGTCAGGGCTAGCCTTTCTCCTTACAGCGCCGCTATGGCTGTTCTCGGAGGGATTCTCTCTCATCTCTGACTTCCTGCACGACGGAGCGCTCGACCTGGAAAACACCTCGTCGCCTGCCGCTTTAGACCACGGCCGTCTCACACTAGAGTTCATCTTCAACGGCACCTTTCACTTTGGGCAGAACATCATCGCCTTCGTCCTACTATCTATGGTCTCACCAGTGACCTACTCCGTAGCCTCGCTAATCAAGCGTGTCTTCGTCGTTGTCATCGCCATTATCTGGTTCCAAAACGCCACAACCCCCATCCAAGGCTTTGGCATCGCCCTCACATTCTTTGGGCTATACCTGTACGACCGCACCGGACACAGCAACAAAGCTGACCGCAAAGCGCGACTGCTGGATATCAAGGAGGAGGCGCTACTGCCGATCCGTGAGCTGAGCGGGGATGTCGAGGCCGCTGCATCGGTGGAGCCGCAGTCGGTGTCGAGCGCGAGTAATCCGTATGTGAACGGGTATAAAGTCACGCTGGAAGGAAACCGGTTGCGCAGCGATAGCGAGAGCGTGAGAGGGGGGCCTGGGGGAGCGGGGCCGCCATGGGTTCCGCCTGTAACGAGGCCAGAGGAGCGGTGGCCGAGGCAGGATGTGAAGGCCTTGTGAGGGTGGGCATGGATTATGGTTATATGATGAGCATGGGAGGGGTTTATAGATGGCGTTCTTTGGATCTGGATCTGGGTGTGCTGCACTGTACACTGTACGTACATAGAGAGTATGAGTGGAGCAGGAGCAGGAGCAGGAGTAGGGTAGGGGGGGGATGGACGAGGACTGCCTGTCTGTCTGTGTATAGATTGATGTAATACCTCAGTTTGATAGACTGGCGTGCGGGGGCTAGTGTATGTGTGACTCCAATTCCTGTGCACGGTTTATATATTGTTTATTATAGATATACATGTAACGTACATGTATAGCGAAAGCGCCAAACAAGCGAAAGCGCCAAAATGATGCGGTGACCAAACCCCCCAACTAAATGTTAAATTCCTCAACAACAAAACATGCCCCATAAAAACGATGAAAGCCAATTAGTGCTAGCTATCCAGGCTATGCAAAGCGACCCAAAGTTACGCCTTCGAGTTGCTGCTAGGATCTATTCTGTGGACCACCGCAAGCTAGGTCGTCGTCTAGAAGGTGTACCTTCACGACGCGATATCCAAGCCAACTCACGGAAATTAACTAACCTAGAGGAGTCCGTCCTTGTTCAGTATATACTCGACCTAGCTGCCAAAGGGTTTCCTCCTCGGCTGTCTGTTGTTGAAGATATGGCAAGTCGACTACTTGCAACACGCGACGCGTCACGCGTTGGGTCGCGTTGGGCTTCAAACTTTGTTAAGCGGCGTGTAGAGCTCCAGACACGCTTTCAGCGCAAATACGACTACCAGAGGGCTAAGTGCGAAGATCCAGAAGTTATTAATGGCTGGTTTGAGCTTGTGCGTAACACAATTGCGAAATATGGTATCGATGAAGCAGATATCTACAACTTTGATGAGACTGGGTTTATGATGGGCGTTATCTCAACTGCTATGGTTGTAACAAGCTCAGACGGGCGGGCAAAAGCAAAGAAGGTACAGCCTGGTAATCGGGAATGGGTTACAGTAATCCAAGGCGTTAGTTCTCAAGGTTGGGCAGTACCACCATTTATCATTGTTGCAGGCAAAAACCACCTTACATCTTGGTATGAGAATAGTGGATTTTCAAGCGATTGGGTGATTTCTGTTACTGAAAATGGCTGGACTACAAACGAGAGAGGCATGGATTGGATTCAGCACTTTGAGAAGCATACAAAGGCCCGGAGTGTTGGTGGTTATCGCTTGTTAGTCCTTGATGGTCATGAGAGCCACCACTCAGATGAGTTTGAGGAGTACTGCAAGGAACACAACATTATTACGCTTTGTATGCCTGCTCACTCTTCTCATCTACTCCAGCCACTTGATGTTGGCTGTTTCGGCCCGTTAAAGCAGGCCTATGGTCGGCAAATTGAAGATATGATTGTAATGGTGGGTGCACCAGATATGAGAATCTAGCCACCCAAGGAAGGGATGAATTTACTAAGACAACACACTGTCTTAGGAAACAGAGCCAAAGGGTTGTAGCTTAGACTATTCCACAACGCAGCAATCAGGTGTATGATGTGGTGAAGTGGTTTAGACAAGTTGCAACAAATGTTGAGTCTGAGAACTCAGGGGTAAGTCAGAGGTTAGCACCTCACTGACTTTTCAAAAACAGAGAATAACAAGATCAATGCTTGGAAGCTTGGAAAAGACGTAGAAGTATGTGCTAGTCGATTTACTGTATTGCCTGCTTGCCCTTTCTTAAGGAAAGGGCAATCCTATTTATGCCAAAGGAGTGTAGTTCTCTCATTTTCCATGACTTTCCATGACTAACCAGGCTTGGTAAATGTATTAGAAATCAAGTGCGACCCACAACTAGCTTGCTAATCATGTAGTGAACGTAAGAGAATCCCATAGAACCATCTCTTGGGTTCCTAGCCTATAGGAAGTGAAAAGGAGGTCCAAGGTCAGAGTACCTATAGACAAATTATGTCATAACTTAACCAATCTTGTGGGTAACTAAGGAGCGATGACGTGTAATGAATCATAGAGGGTTGTAGAAGCTTCTAGAGCTATCGTTCATGTTCCTAGGCCTCTAGTTGGTAGAGATATGCCATGTGGTAGTATTGGCCCACCCCCTTAAGGAGGAGATTTTCTTAATAACTTGTTCAATGAGTGTCCAAATGATATGCCGTGATGTATGTAGCATAAACAGATGTAGTAGAAGAGTTTGCAGCAATCGTTGAGTAGTATTGCTTCTGTTGTTGGTGTGATAAGCCAAGATATGTATGGTGACTTGTAGGTTTGAGGAGGAGATTTCTAAGTTTGCTCTTGAGTTTGATAGCAAACTGAGTGCAACGAATGTCAGTATGACAATGATGCAGGCTCATATTTCTCATATTACAAAGGATGACTTCTTTCCTGCCTTCCACGCTGCATTTAACACTACAATGACGGAAAGTAACATTCGAGGCGGGTTCCGAGGGGCAGGGCTTCTTCCATTTGACCCTGAGAGAGTGATATCTACACTTGATCTTAAGTTAAGGACACCAACGCCTCCAAGCTCCCGCCCAGGTACTGCTCAACCTTGGGTTTCTCAGACACCAAACAACCCAATTGAAGCTATGTCACAGTCTACATTTATTAAAACTCAGATTTCACGCCATCAAAATAGCTCTCCAACCTCAATCTATGCAGCTGTTGACCAGTTTACAAAGGGTGCATCGCAAATAATGCATCAATTAGCACTGCTAAAGGGAGAGAACCAAAACCTACGACAGGCAAATGAAGTACTAAGCAAGCGCCGGAGAGCTAGGAAAACACGACTACAGCAAGGAGGATCACTTAGTCAACAAGGGGCGCAAGAGCTACAGGATGAGAGGGATGTTGTGCAGCAGGTAGAGCAGGAAATAAGGGCAAGCCGTGGTCGGAAGCCAAGGGAAGAAACCCGTGCCCGTCGCTGTGGCAAGTGTGGAGAGACTGGGCACAATGCGCGCACGTGTCAGATTGTAATAGACACCTCTGAGGAAGAGGACTCCGAGTAGTTTCAATTGATTTCTAATGTTGTGGTAGATTTATCGCAATGTTTGTCGTGAGGGTAGATAATTTTGGCGCTTTCGCTTGTTTGGCGCTTTCGCTATACATGTACGTTACGTTACGTATATATATATGCAATAGTATATGATAAACTCGGCAGCGATCTCAGCGGCGGCAGATCTTCACGCCGATGGCATCTTCTCTCCATGTTCCTGGCGGCGGCTGGCGGCCGACGGCACGGAACACCCTGGTTTGGGACTAGCGTGGGTGTAAGTACTAGCGGTACTTTGGTTGGTTGTACTTGGTGGGTGGGCGTGATGAGGCTGCGACGGCCTGGACGCCCATTTTCGGTGTGGTGAGTCGTATCTTTGGAAGTCACGTTTAGCTTTTTCATAAGGCCAAACTGTACTTCCTGTCTACCTCTGTCCTACCTTTCTCCAGTACAACAAAGAACAAAGAACACAAGTACCGCCCGTCTAAAGTACGGTACTTCAACCTTCCCTTCCCTTCCCTTCGGCCTCTTCACATATACCCTGGATACCAAATATCCTCTTCAGCCTCACTTTCTCCTCATTCAGCGCATAATACACGGGCCGCATACTGTCACTTTGCCTCTTGTCCTTCTATCTACATATCGTAGCTTTGCATATCGACTCTGCTGCTGCTCCTGCTCCTGCCGCTAGCTACTGTCGCCATTGATCCTCGTCGATCTCCCGAATCCCCGCGCTTGCACATGAGGCGCGGCGACGTATTGTCGATGGGTTGAGCGCCTGACGACAATACCAACTGGGCCTATTGTCGCCGCCACGGCCACGGCCTATCTTCAACACTTGCCGACGCGGGCAATTGGCGACAATAGGACTTTACCTGGCCATTCACACCCACCCTCCTACCACCGACTCATATATAAGGACGCACCTTCCCTGCGCACCTCGTCCTGTTGCGGAGATCGCGCAGTCTCAAGGACGCCTTCAATTACACATGGATCAATTGCAAAGCTCAACGCTCCTCCAGCCACCACCGCAGTCGACCACCAGACCAACACCAGCCACGAAGCTGCATGAGCTCCCCAACACAAACATGAGCGACGCCAGGACTCCCAACGGCGACTCCAACATCTCCCCCACGATGGAAGCTATCAACGGCGCGATCGACAGACTCAAGAGCAAGTTCCTACCACCGATACCGCACCTCCTCTACGTCCCAACCAGCGATCCATACCGCGGCTCGCGCCCGTGGGAAACGCACCGCAACTCACCCTTCGAAGCCTACGAATACGACGACCTGCAGTACATGACGCTCGTCACCGGCGACAATCGCGGCGTTGCTCGCCCGCGCGGCGGCTGGGAGGACGAGATCAACTCGCGCTCGCCGTATAATGTGTCGCGTTCGCGCAGCGGCACGGCCACGCCGCAGCAGGGCGAGCGGGGCGGTGCGAAGCCGCGGAGTAGGATCACGCTCGCTGATTATAGGAGCGGGAAGCGCGTGCCGAAACCTTCGTCTGAGTCGCAGCAGCCTGCTGGCGAGTCGAGTAGGGACAAAGATAATGTGAAGGTGGCTATTAAGTCGGAGCCAGCGAAGGCTGCGCAGAATGGAGCCGTACAGTATGTGATCGGGGATCTGATATGTTTGTCGCATTTGTATGCTAATTAGTATTTTTAGTTCCTCAGATGGTAGGCGCTCTGGTGCTGTCAAGAACGAAGATGCGCCCAGGCCAAGCGACTCGCGCCTGCCTCAATCGAAGCCCGCTGCTCCCCAAGCCAAGGATAATGATCGCCATGCGCCTCCACCAAAGGCAAGGGAGCAACAAAACACAACTCCTAAACCTACATCAATGAAGCAAGGAATGTCACGCCCACTCCCTCATAAACCGGCAGAGTCGAACCATGCGCCCAAGAGGCCGCTCGAAAAGCCCGAGCAGTCGCAGCCGGAGAAGCGCCTAAAGGTTGAGCCAAAACATACGCCGAGTGGAGCTGCGAAGGGACATCAGAGGAATACGTCTGATCCCCTGTCCAGACTCTTTGGGACGGCTCCGAAGTCGAAACCCTCAAATCCGAAGCAGTCGCAGCCGACGAGCGTTGACAATACTCAAACAACGAGGGTGGATGATAAGAAGGCTCCGGAGCGTGGGCCTGCGTCCGGGAGCAAGGCGAAGGATACACAATCTGCCACGAGAGTCCCTGAAATGCCTAAGCTTTTGTCGCCGCTGCCGGAATACCTTACGAGTCCGACCCTGGTTAGTTTCAGCTCGGGACATGGAGTTGAGAAGTCGAGCAATAATGGCCGCCATAGCCCTTCAACTATGAAGGCGGAATCTTCATCAGCAAAGAGAAAGGAACAGAGTAAGAAAACATCGCCTTTCCGTTTGCCGGAACTGCTCCCGAGGGAACTACCGCCTAATGTCGAGGAATTACTGGCCAAGAGCAAACAACCGCCGACCAGGAAACTCGATACTGTCCAAGCTCGCCATGAGAAGAGTCGCAACCCTGATACTCCCGGCGTGGCGAGAAAGGCACCCAAACTTAGTGCGGCAGAGAAGCGACGTGCATCTAAAGCTTCTGACACTTCTCCTCCTGAGATCACCTATGAGCCGTCACGGCAAACCGTCAAGCTGAAGTACAAGAAGAGCATGACAAAAGACATACAGCGCATCCTCAAAATGAAGCCAATGCCAAACAGAGCCGTACTTGAATTGGCTGACGGCATCGTTCCCGAGAAGCCGGCCGTATCAAAGGCGAGGGCAGCCGAGAGCAAACGGCCGCGCCCCGTACCCGATGAGCAACCCGAGCTATCGATAAAGCGAGCGAAGGTCCCTGCGAAAATCGACTCCGATAAAGCTGCCACTGGTCAATTACTCCCGCCGTTTAAATCCCCAGGCCAGCCTCCGACTTCTGGAAAGAAGCTTCCGAGCGCGAGCAAAGTTACACCAAAGAAGGGTGACGCCATGAAGAGCGTTGCGATGCGTCGCGTCGACTCTGCGGATGACAACACCCTCACCCCGAAGACGGGCGCCACCTCTACGCCCGCCAGCATGGAGAAGCCGAGGCAGAACGGCGGCGACAAATCCGCAGAGGTGGACCGCTGCCGTGCTGCGAACATGAAGTACTCCGAGATGGGAAAGACGCTCAAGCGCAAGCGCGACGTGTACATCCACTCCAAGGAGAACCAACTGGCGACCCTCGCAGGGGCGGAATCACTACTGGCATACCTCGTCGCCTTCGACGCCTTCGACACCCAGTACCGCAAGATGGGGCGACCCAACACAGGCGACAACTGGCTCTCCCTGTTCCCGCTACTGCAGGCGAACCACGACCACGGGAAGATGCACCTACATCTGGACATTGTGATCCTTTTGATCGGCGGGGTAGCGACGAACGCGCTACTGGCCGTGCACAATCAGCGCTTTGCGAAGGAGACGCCGAGTAATTCCCCCGACTACTTGAGGTTCCGCGACGCGATGAGCGAGAATATCCGCCGTAGCCGGGAGTTCTGGGCGCAGTACCATATGGCGTGCGAGGAGGTTGCGTCGAGGGAGCCGGAGGCTGTGCGCGAGGGAGGGGGGATGGCATTTGTGTGTGCGCCGGGTGGGCAGGCGTTACCGGTTAAGACGGTGAAGGTGGAGGCGGCGAGGATGCTGAGGGAGTATGTTAAGAAGCATAAGTTGGAGTGGGAGATGCAGGTTGACTTTTAGGGAGGGGGTATGGCAGCTGGGGCGAAACTGTTTTATGGACGGCGTTGGCGAGAAAAATGGAGGGGCGAATTTGGAGGACGGAGGGGGGGTAAATAAAGATTGACGGATGATGGCGTTTTTTTTATGGTGGTGAGTTTATATTTTAACGATACCCGATATACCCCGGACAGAGGAGGATTTCGACGGCGAAGATGAAGGGGTTGATTGACTTTTGGCGGCGAGTGGACTTGGTAGGTTGTGGTGGTGATGGGGGACGACGAGGATGAGATGATAATATGTGAACTGAGGAGGATGGGTGGATTGCATGTCTAGCACGGTGGAGGTGTAGAGCATGAAATACGTACGTATTTTGAGCCTTGCGTGCTGTAGAGCGACCATAGAAGCAAATGGCCATTGAATTAATTACTTCGTCTTCATGGTCATGGTGTAGTGTTCCTCAGAGTTGCATCTCGAGACCGTGCCTGACTGTCCACATTTGACGACCTAAGATAGCCAGTATAGCCGTATATTCCACCATCTACCTATTCTTCGTGCGTATTAATTCCCAAAATACCCTCATCATCAGTAACTCCCCATAAACCGTTGATAGACAGACGGGCTGCTATCACGTGCACACCCGCCATCCCCTGAATGCTTGGCGCGTCGCCGCGACCCGCGTCCACGGCTGTGGAATTTCCTCAGCCTCGCCTACACGCGTCTACACCAGCGACGAGGCCAAACAGACCAGGCTTAATCACCACGCAGCGAAAGCACCAACGATACGATTACAATACAGGGCAGGCAGGCACAGCGGAGTGTGATTATATTTTTAGTAGCGGGGTTGGAAAAGATGTCTACCTTTGCGCTACCGCGCGAGGCGCTGGGGAGGTTGGCGGAGGAGATGCCGGAGAGGTCGAAGCAGATCGCTGCGCTGGGGGCGCTGGTGGGTGTGAGTTCCCCTCCTTCTTGTGGTGTTTGGTGTATAATTGGGGATATGAGCTGACCGATGTAGCCGCTCTGTGCGCAGCCGAGGAATATAGTAGTCTACGGCCTCGCAGCAACGGGGAAGAGTGCCGTCGTCGGCGGTGTGCTGGGCGCATTGTCGACGGGTGAGGTGTCTGGGGGGAATGGGTTGAGGTACGCGATTGTGAGGAGTAAGGAGTGTATTACTGGACGACATCTACTGGAGCGGACAGTGTGTGCGGTGGCTGCCGCGGTAGATTGGGAAGAGGGCGCAGGCCGGTGCGAGAACCTCGCGCAGTTGGCTGTATTGCTTGGGAAGATGCTAGAGGGCCGTAAGGGACGGTTCGTGCTAGTATTCGATGGTGTGGATAAGCAGAGGGATGCGCCGCCGACGTTGGTGCCTGCGCTGGCGAGGTTGGGGGAGGTGGTGAGTTTTCTTTCCCTACTCTGGGGGGGCAGTTGAGGGCGGAGCTGACGTGTGAAGAACGCGAATCTGACGACGGTTTTTGTGGTTACGTCGCCGAGACCGCATTTTTTGCATAATCCGGGGGCGCCGCATGTACATTTTCCAAGCTATACGAAGGCGGAGGCTGTGGCTATCGTCTCGCGGTCTGTGCCGTCGATATATCCTTCCTCGCCTTTAGAACCGACGTCCGTATCCGACGGCGATAACGTGGCAATCGAGGGCGGAGATAACAACGTAGGTGCCCGCCCAACAGCAAAAGAGACAGCAGATCTCTATTCCCGCTTCCTCTCCGCCGTCTGGGATACCTTCGGCAAGTACGCTGGACGCGACATCCTCTCCTTTCGTCGCATTGCGCTCACACTCTGGCCGCGCTTCACCGCTCCAATACGGGCTGGCGTCTACGGCCCAAGAGAGTTTCAGCGACTTCTCACATCTCAACGCCCCCTCTTCCGAGACGAATCCGTCCTCCTCCCCTCCGTCGTCACCACATCCCTCGCTCTCTCACCATCCACCACCCCCTCACAACCCCAACTCCCCACTCCCACAATAAGCAAACCAGCCGCCACCTCCCTCGCAACCAAACACGCCCTCACCACCCCACCCCTCCCCTATACATCCCGCATCCTCCTAATAGCCGCCTACCTCGCCTCCTACACCCCCGCCCGCCTCGACCCCCTCCTCTTCGCCAAGTCCTCCGCCCCCACCAAGAAGCGCCGCAAGAACCTCGGCGGCGCCGCCACAAAGCCCCGTCCCGGGACCGCGGCGCGGCGGAAGCTAAATCGCAAGCTTCTCGGGCCGCAGGCATTCGTGATGGAGAGGTGTCTTGCGATTTTCTGGGCGCTGAGGGAGGAGGCGAATGGGGCGGGGAGGGCGGAGACGGGGGGGGCGGATATTTTGGCTGCGGTGGCGGCGTTGGGGAGTCTGAGGTTGTTGGGGAAGACGAGTAGGGTTGCGGATCCGTTGGAGGGGGGGTGTAAGTGGAAGGTTAATGTTGGGTGGGAGGTTGTGAGGGTGGTGGGGAGGAGTGTGGGGATTGAAGTTGAGGAGTGGATTATTGAGTAGATGAGGGAGGATAGGGATTGAGGGCTTATGGAAGTGCTCCGTTATACTCCAACTCAGTGCAGAGTTGTTGGTGGTAGCCCATGGACAGGCAATGGTGGGAAAAGCACCTAAATAATAAACTACAGATACTAGTGCCACTTAAAGGCTAAGGGACAGAGAGACTGTGTATCACGGCCACCAAGAGGGTTAGAACAACCGACAAAGATTATTGTTGTTTAGGTTATTTACAGGAACTGCAAATAAAACATAATTAGACTGTTAATATCTTAGAAGCTCTCAAATATAGCTATCAATTCTCAATTATTTTAGGCGGGCAGTAGTACGAGCAAATCGCCACACCATGCCATTTCCTATCCCAGCCATATAGATGAAAGCAACTTTAATACAGCCCAATACCTTCTCATGCCCCGTATAGCCATCCACCTTGGTATCATAAAATCATTCCCCCTCAAACGCCTATAATACAGAAAATCTCCCTCGGATACAAGTAGCGCCACGCTTCCCCAACAGAAGGTACAAAAACAAAGCAAACCCGTCGTCGTTGCAATCAAGCAGAAAGATCCATTCGATCCAGCTGAGTTTCGACGTTCAGTCCCAACCCCTCGGCAGCACAGTCACGGCAGTACCAGGGTTTACCCCGTGGTGGCGGGTCCGGGACACAGCGGCGGTGGAAGGTTCTTGCTATACAGTACTGGTGGTATGTTAGTAGTGAACAAAAGAGATGCAGGACGGCCACAAATTAGGTTCTTACTTCAGCTGCGCACATCACTGATCCACCAGGCATTGCGTAGCCGCCACACTCACACTCGCCTAAAGCTCGAACATTGCGTGGTCGGGGCGGGTTGAGTGGGTCGGGTGTGATCACGAATGGTGCGGATGCGCGTTTTACATGTGCTGCGGCTTCTTTTCCCTTTCCCTTATTATGAGGATCTGTTTGGGATCCTGACGACAGGTTATCAGCAACAGCTGCATCTGGCATGTCCTCATCAGAAAGGTAGGCACTCTCCATCGTCTCTAGGTAGGTGAGAATATTCTCGCGGATCTTCAGAGTGATCTTCTCCGTCCATTGTAGTTCCTGGAGGTGCTTCTTGGCCCACTGGAAGCGCTGAATTTCCTCGAAGAACCACGCGGTATTATCTCCTATGAAGGAGAGCATTAGTTGCTCTAGGGATTTTGTCTCATCTGGAGCCGCCTTGAAGTCCTTTTCAAAGCCGTTGAAAAAGCGGACATACTCGGACTCGGCCTCAGTAGTCGGAAGTGGAAGATTTGACTTGTAAAAAATGTTGTCCAATGCCGGTATATCTCGTCTCGAAGTACGGCCGTAGTAGCCAAGGAAGAGTCGAAGCATAGCGACGGGTTCACCGTTCGATACGTGCGCGCTGCGACCGCTTCGTAAAGTCTTTGAGACACGGAGGAACTTTTCAAGAGATTTTGGTTTGCTATCTTTCACGTACCTATCCCACGGCTCTATCAATGCCCGCTCTTCGCGCGCTATTGCAGATAATTTGCTGGCCTGTCTTGCTTTTCGAGGAGAGATGCGCTCGGTCTGAAACATCTCTAGGCATTCCCATAGACACTCATCTTCGATCCTGCCACTCATTTTGAGGGTAGTAAGATGTTTCAGTAGTTCTTTCTTGCGGCATTGTTCCTCGTCGAACCACTGACGGTTAACCTTGATAAACTCCTTGAGAATCTCGGGCATAAATATCTTCGACGTTGATTTCTGGCCAAATATGAAAGGGTCCCAGCGATTTATGAACTCCTTCTCTGCGGGGGTCATGTCACTGATATTGTTAATCAATTCCTCCTGTTTTCTGATCCGCCAGTCGTGACAGACAGTCGATGGTGGCAGTGGTTCTCCAGGTTTGAGCATCCTTTTCGTAGCGATATCATATAGTGGCTTCGCAGTTTTGGGGACAACAAGCTTGGGCGTTCCATCGTCGTCATCTTCGTCAACAATGACGCTGCGGGAGTTCTGAACTCGAGTCCGTTTTCGTGGCTCAATGGGCTCATCAGAATCAGATACGGCATCCGGCGTTGTATTTGGTGAACTTGTCTTCGATTGAGGCTCGGAGACAGAAGCTGATATAGAAGGGTCTCGTGCAGGTAGTTGCCTAGGGTTGGAAAGGTTTTGCGCAAAAGGTGGCTTAGGTGTCGGAAGGGGATTGGTTGCGATGCTATCTGAGGATGAAAGGTCGTCTTCAAAGTCAAAGATACTCCTCATGATTGCGACTTCTGGCACTTTGTTGACTGTTGCATCTGGGTCAACTGATGGAGCATTATTGACCGGTGAACCGACGCTGACTGGAGTGTTGACTTGAGATAGAGTTGTTGGTGCTTTGTTGACTTGTGCATCTGTGCCAACTGATGTAGCGTTATTAACTGGTGAACCAACGCTGACTGGTGAATTACAGCGGATCTGAATGTCGACCTTGGGCAGTATTGTTGATTCTCCATGAGAAACTGTGATAACAAAATCTTTTTTGTCACTTGTTGATTTCGTGAGGGTGAATTTAAATTGAGTGTGACTTGCACGGAGATGGTGCTGGAGAGCTTTGACTGAACGAAGTTTGGCGAGGCAAATACCACAAGAATAGTCGTTCATTCTAGACTCTGAAGGCACATAGGCAGGCGTTTGGTCGCCAAGTTCAATTTTCCACACAAAATTTGGCTTGGAGGACGTTTGTAGTTTCTTGCTCTCCGGTTGAGTAACCTCTGGCGTCTCCCATTTGGCATCAAGCGCGAGCTGGTATTGTGTCGTTTGACGATCAGGTCCAAGTTTGATTTTCAGAGGCATTTTCATAGATAGTGACTCCAAAGGTAGCAACTCCGTCTTCGTGACCATTTTTAGATCCCTTTTGTTAGAAATACCATGCCTCAGCTGCTTGCCAATAGGGCTACCCTGAGAAATCTCACAGTCAAGTCCCAATGGAGGCCATGGTCCTATGCGAACAGTTGAAAAACTGACATGGCAAAAGTACTTCTCTGCCAGGCCATATTCTCCCTCGTCGAGAGGCTCATCAGAATCATCTTCCGAATCTGATATCTCGCTAGGCGAATCGACTGAGGGCCCCTTTAACTTTTCGGCGGGGGGCTTGGGAACATAGAGCTCCCTAATAGGAACTACGAACGATCGAGGTAGGTTAATCTCGGTTTCTGGATGCCCTGTTGCTGGGTTCCAGGCCGTGCGTATCTCGCCTTCTTGGGAGATGTGGAGAAGTTCTTCGTGGATATCTGTCAAAGTCCCATTCTGGCACTCGCTCGTGGGATGGTATATCTGCATAGAACAGCGGGCCTTTACCGGGACACCATCTAGACGACGAGGGATAAGAGATTCATGCTTGTCTCCATACTTGTCCAAGATACCGCTGAAAGTAATTGCGAGTGAGTGTGGCTCTTCAAGCCTATCGGGGGCAGGGTGATCTTTCTGAGCAAGCTTGCTCTCCTTCAGTTTCTTGGCCAAGTCCAAGCCAACAATTCCTATCCGCTGCCGCTTCGACGCCCGTGGGTTCTCCCGACTCGCCAGCCGTTTGGGGTTCTGAGGCGACTCCTGACGTGAAACAAGTGATCCCATGTCACGATTGGATTTATCCAGGTTCGCTGCATCTATGCAGTCCATGGCTCATCAGGAGTGCTGCTTTGCATGACAAACATTGGCACTGCAAGGCTGGCGGATGAAATTGATGTAAACAAACCCAGCAGTGAGTGCGCGCCCCTCGATCTGACCACTCAATCCTTGGAGAAGCCTCCGAGTCGATCAATATAAGCTGTTCTTGGCCTCACTCTTGGCCTTGGCATGTAGTCTCGTTGATGCTTGAATATGAAAACGTGATTTTGTCGCGAGATGGGGGAGGTGGCAGTGGCTTGAACGTCGTCTAAACTGTCAACCCACAGCCTCACGCGCGGCCATATTTCACCCCCCAAGGCTACGAACCGGGCTTGGAGGAATTCTATACTAAGTTAAGTAAAATAAAGGCTCTTAATCACTTGGGGCTATATCATCTAAGCTGGTTACTTCAAAATAAAGCAAAGACAATAATTTCTATTAACTTGGCTTAAATACTAGTATTAATCACCGCCAGGCGGCACGAGTAAAACGTCCACAGAGTTGTGGCCTTAATCTAAAGGCCACAATTTATAGTTATCCAGCCTTGCTGTGCACTAACACCCAAACGACGTGAGGCTGACAATTTTCTTTTTGGCCCGCAAGAAATCCAGCCTTCCAGCCTTCCAGCCTTCCAAGCCAACCAGCATATAATATTGTATGCTCAACTACACATATTAGGACATTTTTATATGCTCGTTGAACTTGCGAGTGTATTTGAAATGTACTCCTATGTTCAACCGGACGCGTGGGTTTGCTTACGGCTGCCCTCCGATACCCTCAAAGTTGTCCAAGTGACCCCAAATACGTGAGTGTCTACGATTGGAGTGAGCGCATCACACGTCAACCTCGCTGTGTCGCCGTCTAGAAGCTGATTCCGGGTAGCACTATCTCCCTAGGAAAATACGGTGCTTTCCAGAGCAACCTCATCCTCGGCCGTCCTTACCACCTAACCTACGAAATCCAAGACCGCAAAGAGGCCTCGGCACCGTCACTACGCGTTGTCCCTGCTTCGGAGATACACGCTGACACTATCGCTGAAGAGGAGGCAGCACAAAACCCCACATCGGACTCTATAACACTGGGCGGCGATGGCGTGCAGTTTGAGCTTGTCAGTGAGACGGGCGAGGTTGTCATGCGCTCCAATCGCGAGACCATCGACAACGCAGCGCGACAGACAATGACTATGGAGGAGATTGAAATCCTCAAACGCGACGGCACAGATGCTGGCAAAGACCTCATTGCGAAACTCATGCTGTCGCATACAGCGCTTGACGAGAAGACCGCCTTCAGTTTAGCCAAGTATAAGCTGCTTAAGACTAAAAAATACCTGCGGCAGTTCACCGTACTCCCGCTCGACGTCCCAATGCTGACGCATTGGCTGGTCGACCAAAAGGATGCAGCAAGGATATTGGAGATACGCAACGAAGTCCTGGCGTTAGTAGGATGCTGGGCAAATGTCCACTTCTCAGGCGACCCATACGGACTACCCACGCCGGCCCTATCACCCACTGTTCCTGGCCAGGGCCGCTGGCTCGTTGTCGACGAAATAGGCGGTCTCCTTGTCGCCTCTATGGCTGAGAGGATGGGGATACTCCATGCACCACCGCCGTCAGCAAACCCACCGACACCCGCTACAACCACCACTTCCAAAGACGCAGATGAAGACGACGAATCTTCCCCACACGACTACCTCTCTCGTCCGCCATCTGGTTCAAATACCATAACCCTCATCCACGCCAACGCCCAACCCAATATGTCCCTCCTCAAATACTTCGACCACAACCCTGACACCCCATCGCCCTCGCACCCCCTCACCACCCACCTCCACACCATCTCCTGGCTGCAGCTCCTCGACCCCAACGCCGACACCACCTACAGCACACCACTACCCTCTCTCGCCCCCGCCGAGTTATCCACCCTCAAATCCGGCAAGCGCGGGCAGTACTACAAGAAGCGCCGGCGCCTCGCACGCGTCTCCGCCATCGTGGACTCCACCCGTGCCGGCTCCTTTGACGGCCTCGCCATCGCAGCATACATGGATCCTCTCACCATCCTCCCGCATCTCATTCCTCTCCTGCGCGGCGGTGCTCCCGTCGCCATCTACTCGCCTAACGTGGAGCCGCTGACCCGTCTCGCGGATTGCTATAGCACGAGTCGTCGCGCGGCCTTTGTGGCTGCGCCACCCGCAGAGGGTGACTTGACGAATTGGCCCGGAAACGAGGATTTCCCGCTCAACCCGACGTTGCTGCTCGGAGTTGGTGTGCAGACGTCGAGAGTGAGGGAGTGGCAGGTTCTTCCGGGGCGGACGCATCCGCTCATGACGAGTAGAGGTGGAGCAGAGGGGTATTTATTTACAGGTACGCGGGTGATTCCTGTGGAGGGCAAAGTTGAGGCGCGCGGGAATTACAAGAGGAGGAAGACGGATGGGGGGAAGTCGGGAGAGGTGAGCTCCGTACAGACTCCAGCGGTGCAGACACCAGATGTTATAGAGCAGAACATAGACGATGTAGTCATGGGACAGGATGTAGATATATAATAGCTCTCCTACTGAGAACAATTGCATCGATCTATCCGCACAATCGTGTTCCGGTCACGAAATTTAATTTGCTTTTGACGCCTCAAATCAGTTTCAACCGCCAGTTGCACCTTTACCCCGTCCTCTTCATCGTTCAACCTAGCGCTGTATTCTTTCTCTGCCCCGTCGCGACGTAACGCACATCATAGGCTCTTCCCCATAAACTTCCTCTTCGTAAAGCTTAGCCACCATTTACTTGGCCTATCAGACCCATCTTCATAGATCCTTGCCAGTAGCCTCTGTGCCAGCTCCTGGCGGACTTGCATCAGGTATTGTTTCAGGACTTCGGCATCTTGGCGGGAGGCAGGTGCTTCAAACATCTATGTTTTGTCAGTACTGTCGTATACTGTGGCAGAGAGAAGTGACAAGGGAGAAAGCATACCTGGTTCAAAGGGAAGCCTGGGTCGCCTGGGATGGAGAAGTTGGTATCGAGCGCAATGTTCTGGACTTCCTTCTGTGCTTCCCTAGATGACGATAACAATTAGCAATTGGTCCAATCCAGGCACCCACGAGCACACGAGCAAACCCTCGCCTGCCCCCCAAACCCCAAACGGAAACCAACATACCTAGCACTCATCGCCGGCCTGATCTTCCCCAAACACTCGCTCACCCACAAAATCCCATATACAAGCAGACGATCCGCATATCCCTGGATCTCAAAGTTTCGAAAGAACGTGTTGGCGCGGAACAGGCCGAGCACCTCGTCCAGCGCATCATAGGACTCGCTATCTGGCTCTGGCGACTCGGAGGCCGCGAGGGAGGGCTCGGCGGGGAGAGCGAATGCTGGGCCGCGGGTGCGCGTGCGGAGGGGGAGGAGGGGGAAGTTGCCGATTAGGCGGGGGGAGGGCTCAGAGTTGAAGATGGAGTTGTAGGCCTGTGGTGAGGGCGGGTGTCAGCAGGGTGGGTGTGCGGGGGGGGACCTGGGGGATTGTAGTAGATGGAGAAAGGCAGAGGTGCGTGGTGTGATGGGATTGAAGAGCTTCAATGGGGATATTGCTTACCGGCATCGTGGTGGTTTGTTGATGCGCATGCGTGTGTGTCGAGGTGGGAGGTTGGACCCAGGTTGGTGGGGTATGCTCGTCGTCATCTGTCGGCGGCTGGACCCGCTATGTATCCGAGAGTATGAAAGGCAAGAGCCGCGCGCATAATGGCAACCTGTTCTAAGTAAGGTACGAGAAGGTCACAATTAATAGAATCTAGTAAAATAACGCGGTTGGCACATAATATGCTTTTCATATACACGTTAGTCGTGCACTTATCGTATTAATGATACTATTTACAATTATTACCGCCTGAAATCCCGCTCATCCATATGTCGTCTCTGCTCCATCTGTCTCCTGTCCTCCATCATCCTCCTCTCATCCAACTGCCTCCTCTCTTCTAGCTGCATCCGCTCATCCAACTGTCTACGGTCATCCAGCTGTCTTCTCTCATCCAATTGTCGTCGCTCATCCATTTCTCTCCTCTCATCCATCATCCTTCTCCCCTCCATCAACCTCCTCTCCTCCATCAACCTCCTCTCCTCCATCAACCTCCTCTCCTCCAAGTCCCGCTGATACGCCTCTTCCGTCCTCCGATCGATCACCGGACCAGGCCCACCATACCCATCCCTCATCGGCTGTCGTCTAAGCATCGCCTCCTCATCCTGCCTCTGCTGTTGCAGAGTCAACCTGTCCGGCTGTGGCTGTTGTGGAGGCGGCGGTGCATACGGACCCGGGTGTCGGTCATACGAAACCGGCGTATACGACCTTTGCGCAGCTGGTGCCGGGCTAGGTTGTTGAGCACGATGGGGCGGCAGTTGGCCATACGAGTGCTGAGCAGCTTGTGGCGGCATCTGCTGGGCTTGCGCGCTGTGTTGTCCAAGGGGAGAGGCTCGGGTTTGAGACGACGGAGGTGGTTGGCTGATATAGCGCGGAGGCTGAAGAGAGTGTTGCTGGGGCGCCTGTTGCTGGTATGGAGGCGACATAGCTGGTCCTGGATGTTGGGTAGTGCTGTAAGCGGACTGTTGCGGGCCCTGCGTTGACGTTGGAGGGGGTCCTTGTTGCTGTCGGGCATCAAAACTACCGTGTCTAGATCCGTGATGGGATGTATGAGAGTATCCCATACTGGGAGATGCGGAACGATGGCTGGATGTACCAAACGCCATTTGACGATGGCTTGGGTGCTGAGGTGGTTGAGATTGCTGGGGGGGCTGCTGGGGTTGTTGAGGCTGGTAAGGAATTGGCGTCTGTGGCGAGCTAGCTGGAGGCTGCTGGTGCTGCTGGTGCTGCTGTTGCTGTTGCATCATGTATTGCTGGTGGGCATAATACTCGCGGTCAGGCGCAGTTGAATCTAACGGGGAGCCAGCATGTTGCCTTGACTGTGACTGGTTTTGATTTGAGCTAATAGGAGAGTATGCCATGTCATTGTGTCTGATAGCTGGTGCTTGTGACGTGCTAGGAGGGCGTGTTGACTGAGGTGCTGCTTTTCCGCGAATATCAGTCAACGACGACTCTCGTCGAAGGTGCGTTGGTGGTGGCCCTGCTTGACGCGGTTGATACAGCGGCTGATGCGGAGGGTGTGTCGGAGAGGGCTTCATTGCCGACTGTAGTTCCGGAGCAAGTTTTGAAGCCACTGGTTCGCTTGGTTCATCGTTAAGTAATGACATAATGCTGGATGTTTTCCGGACAGTCTCTTGTTGACGAATAGCCGCAACAGGCTGTGGCTGTGGCGGAGGTGCTGATGGAGGCTGCTGGTGGACTGGAGGAGAATGTTGATGGGTTGGTGGTGCAATTGGGGCACCTCGAGACGTCACTGGCGATGCTAATGAAGATGGAGTCGATGGTCCTGTGCTAGCTTTCAAATCACCAAGTGCATTTCGTGATGGCTGGAAATTTCGTGGCGGGTATTGGCCAATATTTGCACGTCTACTATCCTCAGCGCGAACAGGTGACATTGCTTCGGTACGTGGATGCATCGGAGGGCCACGTTGCTGGTGCTGTGGTAATTGTTGGGGGTACTGTTCGAACTGAGTCGTACCTGGCACATCGGTTTCTTGCTTCATCCTGTACTGTTGCTGGCGGGCCTGCAGGCGTTGCTCCTCTTCCAAGCGTAGAGCTTGCTGCCTTTCGGCCTGGGCTTCTTGTGCAACCAGGTGGGATCGCGATGTGGTTCTAGCTTGATCGGAAGCAGGAATTGGCTGAGGAGACGGATTTGAAGTAGATGATGCTCGTACAATAGGTCTGTTGGTGTCGCTGTTGAAATAACCAAGCGTCGGTCCTCGTGGCGGGCGTTGCTGCTGCATTTGCTGCACAATTTGTTGTGCTTGTGGTAAGTGCTTACTAGGAGCAGTGACCGAGCGAGAAGGAGCATTTGACGCCTGAGAAATAGAGCCTGCTTGAGCCAGAGGGGCATATCGTGGGCCTCCTGGTTGTGGCGACGGTGCATGCTGCCCAGCCAAGGCATGCGAAGTTGGGGGTTTCTCGTCTTGTTCGAATGTGCCAATAGAACTATTTGGCCGGCCAATCGGATTCGTAAACCCATCGTATCGGTTGGGGGGCATTCCTCCAGTGAATAGCATGCCCGTCGATGTCTGCGGAGGCAACTGTCCACCAAGATACATCTCGTCCATATCATCCATAGAGGTGAGGCCAAGAGGCCGCTGAGGCGATCCAGCAGGACCGTCGTATTTTCTTTTGATGGGATGGTTAGTCTGGGCAGGTGGAGGGCCTAGGTTTTCTCCTCTGGCTCGTTTGTCATCAGCAATCCGGGCCATCTCCTCCAAATCGGATCTCCCGGAGTCGATCTGACGTTGATAATAATTCTTGACCTATTGTCGGTTGTTAGGAACAGCTAGCTTTGCATTCAAATCAATTGGTGCTATAAAAGGTACATACCATGATATGGGTCTTGGAAGCCATCCACTTCGCAATTCCGTGCCAATCAGTCCCATAGTATTCAATGAGCATTGGAAAGTCGTTCTGCTCAGGAACACTCCAATAACTTGATGTTGGCGCAGCTGTATTCCGCTGATTCTGGGGATCTGAGTTGTATGCTGATCCTGGTGGTAACGCTCCAACGTGCTCCGGGACAGGGTAGCCCTGAGGGACAATGTCGTTCCCAGAAGGAATTGGTGCTGTTGGTTTCTCGGCAACGACACTTGGCGTGGCATAGGGAGGGAGTATTGGTGCGGGTCCATCCCACGGAGCAACTTGGCTAGTGAATCGGACGGGCTCGGGAGGTGAAACAATTGGCTGCTGCCATTCCTTAATTATTGGCATGGCATGTGGAACCTTCGTCTCCTGGTTCTTTGGAGCGGCGTTAGGAGCAGCGGCCAATAGTTGGTTATTCTTCGGCTGCTTAGTGGCCTTCTCGCGGGTACCAGCCGCCTTCCCTTTGCGTTTTCCAGTAGCCGTAGGCTCGCCCTCCTTTGGAGTCGCAGCACCGCGCCTCGCAGGTGTTGGTGCTGGAGTGGTATCAGACTCGCTTGGGGCAGGCTCGGCACCACCAAAGATAGGCGCAGCTGCTCTTCTTGGCCGGCGACGGTCAGTTGTGCCCTCAGTGGGTTCTTCTTCGACCTCCTCTCGCCCAAGGGCAACTGTGTGCACACTCGTCTTGGGCTTGCGCTTCCTGCCTTTGCCCCTGATTTGCTTCTTCAGCTTTTCTTTGAGCTTCAGCTCATGCTTGACAAGATAATAGTACTGAATGCAATGCTTGTAATTCCGTCCAGGCAACGCTTCTGCGATCTTGCCCCATTGTTTTGGATAATCCAGCATGGTTTTCTCGAAGGTTTCTCGTTCCCACTCTGTGAAATCTGCAATAGGGGGCAAGACTTCGAACATAGCCAATGCGCGGTCAGAAGCGACCAGGTTTGTATAGTCACCATAACGAGTGGCTTCTCGGTCCTCTATACTTAGCATATCGGGAATTCCGGCTTCCTTCTCGCTGGCGGCCTTTGCCTTAGCAGCGCGATCCTGGCGCTTGCGCTGCTCAGTCGCCTCAATCTGCGACTGTCTCAGCAGCCTCTCAATATCACGTTCTGTAGCAAATCTGCTCACAGCCCGTCGGCCTTCGGTTTTGCTTTCAGCCGGCTGAGCGCTGGCGGCACGGCTTACTTCTGCAGCTCTGTTAGCTTCCCACCTTTCCCGGCACCGAACCGCAAGCGGATTATCAGATCTGTGAAAGTCGATCCAATCCTTATACTTTTGCTTGTATATCTGCGAATTCTCTTCGATTTCCCTGTCGCGCATATCGGCTTTAATGGTGAGGCTTGCAACTAGGAACTCCATCACATCAGGATCCGATTCGATCCCTTTCAAGAAACCTGTTTCTTGTTGCCAGGGGGTAGTGACTGCGAATGGTAAATCTGCGATCGGGGGCGTCGCCATTCTCTTTCTGACTACTTCCAGCATTGGCTCAGTCATGATGCTGTCTTCGACTGGTTCGATTTCTTCGGGTTGAGCTATCGGCTTAACATCCAAAGCAAGGTTTTCCAGCTCGACTAACGGGGTGGAAACCTCGGGAGACTTTTTCGCGGCCGGCGGCAAGATAGCGGCGGGCACCTCGACATCTGCGCTGATAACAGGGACGTCGTCTAATGCCATAGGGGTTGGCGCCTCCGTCGTCTTTACCGGAACATTCTCCTTTGCCTCAATAGATGGCTCTAGGAGCGCGGGTGGAGGAACTGGTGACCGTAGTTGTGACATGTTATTGAATGGAATGGAAACCGATTCGAAGATTTCGACGGTGTTCTTGGCAACGCCCCGGCTAAGCTGGCTCTTCACTTTCGAAATCTCGTCTTCGAAATAATCATCGTCGATATCGGAGTCAGACGCCTCGTCTTCTGGAGTTACGTAGTTTGTTGGTGGTCTCCAAGTCAGCGTTGTGACTTCTTCCACTTTGGGTGATTCGTCCACTTCGCCCGCCTCCATCATAGTTGAATCGTCGCCGGCGGGAGCTTCTGGCTCGCGATTTTCAACGACATCATTTGATACATCCTTTGGTGGTTCTGAAGATGCAAACTTTTGCTGCTCCTCCGCCTTCCTATCAATGGGCGATGTGGTCGTTGCATCAGGCTTTGAAGGTGCAGCTACAAATTTTGGGTTAGTCCACTGTATGCTCCCTGGGTATTCTAGGCGCCCGCCATGCGAGGCAGGGGGTCTCTCACTTCGTGGGCCAGTTGGTATTGCGACTGGAGCTGATCCCACCGCCGTTTGCCCACCGCCCGCGCCACTAATAACTGATCCAAAAGCCGGCACCTCGGGTGCCTGCGGAGGAGGTGAAGGGTTCTCTCGTGTTTGCAATACTGAGACTGAAGAAGTAGGTCTCTGTGGGTATGTCTTGTCCCAAGAGTCCGCCGGGCGATCCTGTCGAGGTCGGTCGCCACGCTCCGGTGAACGGCTGCGTCGTCCCCGAGGCTCGCCACGGCCATCAAAGTACATGCCACGCCCTCTTCCAGCACGAGGCTCCCAGTCGTCACGACCACGCCCGCGGCCCCTTGTAGCATCACGGGAATCATTACGGACAGGTGACCGTGGTCTCCCTCGAGGCGAGCTGGGGCGAATCTTCGAAGCGCGGCCGCCCCGAAAGCTGTCGCGCCTATCTCGATCAAGTCTATCCCGGTCCTCCCATTCCCTCTCGTGGCTCCTTTCGTCACGAAATGGCGGTGGCGGCCCTCTATCGTCTCGTCTATCGCGAAAGTCGCGATCGATGTCGCGTGGGCCTCTATCCCGGCTATCGTCTCGCCACCCACGTCCTCGTCCTCGTCCGCGGCCTCTGAAGTCGCCGGAGAAGCTGTTGACGCGTGGTCCGCTAGGGATATTGTCGCCAAGTGCCTTTGGGCCTCGAGGGGGTTCTCGACTCGGGAAGTCTCTCATCGAGCCACGACTCGAATCGCGATAGTTGTCGCGGGGTGAGAAGTTGCTATTGCTTCGACTGTCGAGACCAGGGCGGTAGTTGTTTTCTACTCCACGGGCTGGTCCATTGAATTGTCCTCCATCGCGCTGGTCGCTGTGGCGAGCTGGTGATCTGTCGCGAGGAGAGCGCCGAGAGTCGCCAGCCGAATCAGGCTGCGCATATCGAGACCTAGGACAAACGTTGTCAGAGTCTGGCGCATACACATACATAGTGAAGCACCTACATTCATATTTAGGGGCGATGGCCCGGATATGTTTGAGACCAGGGCAACCAGACCGCGGCAGTTGAAGCTGGGGTGGAGCGACTTGGCTTTCGGTACCTGGAAGGTACTCTGGGGTTGTGTTAAGTGTGATGTAGACAGCCAAACGCCTCGAAGCTCTTGAGGTTACAAATAAGACAAGTCCATAAAGAATATTAGAGGCGCCGCGATGGTTGTTGATGGGCGTTACAAGAGCAGAGGTCGTTGTTGACGGTATTAAATGCAATTGAAGATGGACTTGTATACATCGTCCAGCGTTTGGCGTTTGATCTCGAACGGCTGTCGACTAGATCGTATTTGGTTAGCGCAAGGAATCCATGCAGAAACTTGCATGTTGTGGTCGCTGGTGGTTGCATGGTAGCCGCAACAGGCGGCCGCTAGCGGCTGCGGGTATCATTGTGACTCCGTTCGCCGATTAAGCGCGATAAAGATTTATATCGGCGGCCAATATTCAATATTCGATAGCAGTCACTACCAGTCAACGAGGAAGGAGCACAGATACCAGAGACGCCTGTTTAGATCTCAATATTTCTGATTTATGTATACTTGCTGAAGGTCTAGTATTGCCCTATTCTCCTTGAGTTATCAGACCTTTTCTTCAACGTTTATTATTTTAAAGTTTCGTCGCTTTTAGAGAGGCAACGTGGGGTAATTCGGCACTATTTCGAAGCTTCTCACCCCCTGCGCCTCTAGGATACTGTCCGTTACTATATCTTCAACATACTACCGCATGGGAGGAGATATTTGAATTCTACATTCCTATATCCATTCAGACATCCCTCGCTGACCATGGCGACCAATGGAGGTGGGGCAGTACCTGCGTCGGTGGCCGCGGCGGTTCTCGTGAAGTCTGAGGAGATGCCAGCCGGCTCCAAGAAGGTTGAGGAATTAGACTTCAACGCCTTCGCTGGCAGCAAAATTACTGTGGAAGACCTCATCGCAGGAATGACCAACATGGGTTTCCAGGCAAGCTCTATCGGCGAAGCAGTCAAAATTATAAATGACATGGTAAGTAATCCTGCTCTCTCGTCGTTACCTCCCTAATCATCTGCTAGAGAGAATGGCGCGACCCTGAGACGTCTGAGAAAACGACAATCTTTCTCGGGTATACCTCCAATCTCATCTCCTCCGGCCTCCGAGGCACACTCCGATACCTCGTACAACACAACCATGTCTCGGCTATTGTCACAACGGCAGGCGGCATTGAGGAGGATTTTATCAAGTGTCTCGGAAACACTTACATGGGTGCATTTTCAACCCCCGGAGCCGAGCTACGCGCCAAAGGCCTAAACAGAATAGGAAACCTTCTTGTTCCCAATGCCAACTACTGTGCCTTCGAAGACTGGGTCGTGCCGATCATCGACGCCATGTTGTCGGAACAAGAAGCTGCCAAGGGAACCGAAGCGGAATTCCACTGGACGCCATCGAAGGTCATCCACCGCCTAGGAAAGGAGATCAACAACGAGGAAAGCGTTTACTACTGGGCCTACAAAAATAACATCCCTGTGTTTTGCCCGGCACTCACCGATGGCAGCTTGGGTGATATGCTGTATTTCCACACGTTCAAGTCCTCGCCAGCGCAACTACGCATCGATATAGTCGAGGATATCCGCCGCATCAACACCATTGCAGTGCGCGCAAAGAGAGCGGGCATGGTGATTTTGGGGGGTGGTGTCGTAAAGCACCATATTGCGAATGCATGTCTAATGCGCAATGGCGCTGAGAGCGCCGTATATATCAACACGGCGCAGGAGTTTGATGGAAGTGATGCGGGAGCGAGGCCAGATGAGGCAGTCAGCTGGGGGAAGATTAAGGTGGATGCTGCAAGTGTAAAGGTATGATATTCTCGATGCTTGAAAAGACTGCATGCTGACCAAAACTAGGTATACTGTGAGGCCACAGCCGTCTTCCCCATGATCGTCGCAGCTACATTTGCCAAGCCAGGGAGCAAAGATTCGGCACAGAAAATAGAATTAAATACAATATGAACTCCATCGGGTTTAGTTAAAAAAAATACAAATACAGCTCGCCATTCTCAAGAACCGTTCCATTATACAGCTTACAGTCGGCTCCTCGCCCGATTAGCAGCAATTTTTGCCTCATATCTGGCATTTAACGCAGCCGCCCTACGCCGTGAACGCTCGTTCCACTTCTTCCTGTCAATATGCGCCGGCCTTACAAGACCGTTCAGCCACGGCCCCCAACCGTTCTTCTGTCCGAGCCAACAAAAGTCGCGCCACTCTTTAATTAAATCCTCCAAGTCCACCTCTTCCAGCCCCTCTCCACCCTCGCCGCCCTCTTCACCCACAGTCTCATCATCCTCAGGTTCCATCATTGAATACAACCCCGATCCCGCCGCTACAACATCCCCATGCCCCATCTCTACGCCGGACTCCGCCCGCGCAGTCTCATCATTGTCATCGTCCGTCTCTGAGTCCAACTCAACTCCTGCCGCCTCGGCATCAACGCGTGTAGCCCACGTCTCCGCGGACATCCGTCCACGCACGTACGTTACACTCTTCCGACCGCGCGGGAAGCGCAGAGGCCCGATCTCGAACATGCCATAGGGGCCAATGTACCAAGTGTTGCGGTCGTCGGGGGACTTGAGCAAATTGACGGCCGACATAGTCAGGCTGACACAGTTGAGGCACACATCATTGCAGCGGTCACAGGATGCGGTTGGCAGGCCAGGTATGTCAAGGCTCCCGCTGTCAGAGAGGTAGGCTTCGGCGGCTTGCGTCGCGACGGTTTCCGATGTGCCTGCGGATGAGGGTCCTGCTTCGACCTCTTTTGGCGCTTTGTCACGGCCAGTGTCGGTGTAACTCGCCTTAGCCGCTAATGGGTTGGATGCCGCCGTGCGCGGTCGTTTGGGCAGGTGTTTTGTCGCCGTTTTCGTCTTCGGCGGTTTAGGTGGAGGAGACACCGGTTCGGGGGACATCCTCGCTATCGGCTTCCTAGCCCGTGCCGAACGACGTGAGCCGTCTTCGCTGAAGGTGGTGAAGAAATCGGTCTCTGGAAACCCTTTGTCTGGAGCGAGTTCTGCGACTAAGTCCCTCAGTGGGCGCTTGGTTAGGCTCCGAGATTTAAGGGGGTTTGGAAGTTCGTCGGCTGTGGAGCCAGGCTTATTCGAGTCCTGGGTTCTAGACGGGCTTGAGCCGGTTGTCGGGTTCTGAGGGTTGCTCATGGTGCTGTCTGTAGCTAAAGAAGGGCCTGTCGAAGAAGGGTCTGTCGATGACAGTGCTTGAAATCCTAGGAACTGGTAATAGAGTTGTAAGGAGGAAAGTGAGACCTTAGGCAATATTACTCTATACTTCTGTAATAAACGCTGCGAATTTCGACACTAGCATGCTTACTTATGACACCGGTGCTGTCTTAGCCTCTTTAGTATTACTAGACTAGCACTGTGAGACAGGTTTTAGGAGGCAGGAACGATCCGCTTGCCACGGATATTAAAGAAGCTGCAGCTTCGTAGCGACTGGCATGGAACACCAAATTTAGCTCTTTGATAGTATATATCGGCGTGAAAACGAACGGAGGTTCTCAAAGAAATATGATATATATTTCATCAGATCAGAGTCGCCGACCCCACACCGTAGCCAGCCACGCGGAGCACCTAGTCAAACTTAAATATGATAGTCCAGACCTTATTTCTATCCTCAAGCCTAAACTACTCACAGTCCATCCGCAGTATCTCTCTCAGCTCCTGTGGAATAGTATATGGCCTCTCTATGGGAACAAGCCCCCTGTCGACGAGCTCTCCAACGCCCAGTTCCTTTTCGCCATCAACCGCCTGTTTCAGCTTAGTCGCCATTTCCGTCACATCCCCAATACTCTCGATGCACTCCTCAGACCACTTTTTACTAATATCCCTCGAGATCCCAATCTGAATGCTCCGATATGGAAGCTGTCCCAACGCTGGATCCCGTTCCGGATCCCACTGCACGCGCACCGCCCTCGCTCTATCCTCCTCGCTCAGCGCTCCGCCCCCACAAACTACTGCAAGACTCAAGAGTTCCTGGAAATTCTTGTGTGACATCTTGAGCGCGAGGATGTGTGATTGTCGTGTGTCTTTGGTTGCATAGCCTGAGCGATACATCATCCACGCCCAGCTCGGCTTGATCCAGGTCATGCGCTGGAGAGAAAAGTCTGGCGAGGCAGAGAGTTTCTGTTCTTTTACTGCGGCTTTGGCGATTGATGCGGAGTAGGCTTGGTAGACTGTGATTGTATCGTCGTCGTACTGCGCGCGGATTTCGCGGTACGGAACTTTTGGTTTTACTTGCTCAGGCATATTGGCGCTCATATAAATGATATTTCTCTTGTCGACTATTATTCTATCGGGGAGAATTATTAATTCGCCTCTTTATATAATTTGCCTTGACTCAGCGTTGAGGCTTGGTTCGGTTTGGTGATGCTCAGCCCCTCCTCGCCGGTGAGAGTCATCAGGCAGACCGAGTTAAGGAGTTAACCAGGTCTGATCAGTGAAAAAATTTGCCATAAAATATCAGAGATCCAGAATTGTTATCTGAATAATAAAATAGTAAATTTAAAACTATTCAGTTATTATGGAAAATGATAAACAGGAAGTGATATGGTCGTGGTTATGATATAAGTGTCACGTGATATGTCCATACAGCCTCGCAGATGAGGCTACAAGAGCTTGTTTTTTGACGACCAACCTTCTGTCCCCGAGCAAGAACAGGACAATTGCAGCCTTCAACCATCTGGTGCGACAAGTCCGAAGCGTCGACAATCTCCCGCGATGTCCTCTCTATATAACCTCGAGCCGCAACCCACGGCCTCATGCATCCTGCACACCACGAACGGCGACATCTCCCTGGAGCTCTGGGCCCAACAGGTCCCTCTCACATGCCGCAACTTCCTGCAACACTGCCTCGATGGGTACTACGATAACACAATCTTCCACCGTCTGGTGCCGGGGTTTATTCTACAAGGTGGTGACCCGACCGGTACAGGATCGGGCGGGGAATCGATATACGATGGCGGGGCGTTCGGCGAACCGCGACCGCCTGAGGGGAATGGGATCTGGCCGATGGAGGAGCGCAAAGGCAAGAACGCCGGGGCGCATGGCGCCGGGTTCAAGGACGAATTTCACAGTCGGCTGAAGTATAACAGGAGAGGCTTACTGGGGATGGCCAACGAGGGACCCGATACGAATGGGAGTCAGTTCTTCTTGACGTTGGAAAACACCCCCGAGCTGCAGGGAAAGAACACTCTTTTTGGAAGGGTTGTGGGAGATACCATATATAACTTGGCCAAGATTGGAGAGGCAGAGGTGGAGGATAATAGGCCTATTTATCCTGTGACGCTTACAAGCGTTGAGGTGCTGCAGAACCCGTTCAAGGACATGGTTACAAGATCACGCACAGCTGCGCCCACGATATCAGAAAAACCAGCACCGAAGCCTAAAAAGAGGAAGCTCACAAAACAGCTCCTCAGCTTCGGCGCCGACGAAGAAGAAGGGGACGACGCACCTGTGCTGAAGAAGGCCAAATTTGACACTCGAATCGTCATGGACGCTGAACTTGCGGCAGCTCCGACGATCTCGGGATCTAAACCAGAGAAGAAGGCGGAGAAGAAAGCCCAAAAAATAATCAAGAAGCCTATATCCGTCAAATCGTCGCCCGAGCCATCACCAGCCCCTAAATCGCTGCCCTCACGGCCTTCTAAACCCGTCACCCGCGAGCCCTCATCCTCCCCAGAGCCAGTCCAGAAGGTATCTTCCCTCCTCGATCGCACCAACGCACAGATTGCCGAGCTCAAAGCCTCGATGAAACGCACTGTCACTGCCGCCCCCGTGGCTGCTCCCAAGAAATCCGCTCTCGAGTCTATGATCCCGTCGACTTCGATCCGTGGGCGGAAGCGCAAGCCCGGCGGAGGTGGCGCGGCATCCGACCAGCAGGCTCTGGATATTCTGAAGGCGTTTCAGGCGAAGCTTGACAGTGCGGGGCCGGAGAAGGAGGTTGAGAGCTCGACGCCCCTGGTGGGTGTGGAGAGCAAAGAAGACGATGGTGATGGAGATGAGGAGGCTGCGCTCTGCGATTTGCACTTCATTGCTGAGTGCCAGTCTTGCAAGTCGTGGGCTGCGCAAGCTGAGGGCGCCGATGCCGAAGATGAAGATGACGGCGCGTGGATGTCACATGCACTGTCGTTCCAGGCGGATAAGCTAGGGAAGGACCTGAGCTATCGCAAAAAGGCGGAGGAGGAGTTGGTGGTGATTGATCCTAGGGAGAAGGCGAGGACGCTGAAAGAAGAGAAGAAGGCGCAGAGAGATGCGAGGAGTGGAGGGGGAAGTAGGGCGTGGGATGCGGCGAAGAATGAGAAGATGTCCAGGGCAGCGGGGTTGGCGGGGAGGGGGGCGAAGTGATGAGGATTTCATGGATCTATGTATATGATAATGCGGAGATTCTCAGAGGATGGATTTTCGCCCGGGGTGTTATTTCAAACCGCTGCGAGGAAATCTGCAGGAGCGATGGGTTGTTACCGTTCCTGCTCTAAATCCAGCCAGCTATGAAGTTATGACAAGAGCAGTAAGAGCTCATCGCCCCTGCCACAAGAAACATAGTCCAAGTGACAATGTCCCACTCTGTTTACAATTGAAACAGAACAATATATTAGAAAGAATCCATGAACGGGGGCTTTATTATCCATAGACAGTGGGATGTACAATTCCCTCTTCAATCTCTACCGGCCACAACCCCATTCAATCCGTCAGGCGGCAATATTCTCTACATACCACGAGGTTTCTATACGCAACGAACTCTTCACATATCACGAACACTTCACCAACCACACGGTATCACTGACCTCAAGAGGCGTTTGCCTATCGCCGCAAGCACCCCCTACCATCTTAACTGAGCTCACCCGCTTCCAATTCACCCAAATCTCATCGCCTTTACCAAGCAACCCTCCGGATCGACCAAGTCTAATCGTCTCCTTCACCAAAAGCATCCACCTTCCAAATCAACCAGACCCAATGGCTTCCTCAGACGTAGAGTCGTCAGTTTATTTTCATACCAGGTATGGAATCTACTCCATTCATCGCAAGCGCAAACTAACACGCACTCCAGCCTCTGCAAAACCCTCTGCGACACCATCGACGATCTCATCTGTGCTGGCCGCATCGAGCCACAGCTCGGCGCGAAACTTCTCAAGAACTTCGTGCCGAGTGTCAAGAAGGCATTTGCAGAGCATGTGAGGGAGGTTGTGAACATGAAGGTACAATTCTCCATTCCTTTCCCAAGGTGCAAAGCCACGTGAAAGATCTACCTACAGAATAACATTACATCACCTATACTGACACTGTACACACAGGGCCGGCTGCAGTACTACCGCAACTATGAGGACAAATGGTGGTGGGTTGTGCGCGACTGCACAGTCAAGCTCCGGGCAGGAGTTGACGCGGAGATGTTGCGCGTAGATAAGTTGCGGATTGTAGGGTATCCAGCTGGGGATGAACTGAATGGAAAGAAGGGAGGCGGTTTGGAGGCGGTTGAAGGGAAGATCAAACAGAAGATCAAGCGGAAGATCAAGGGGGAGACCAAGCAGGAGACCAAGCAGGAGACCAAATAAGATGTACAATGGGCCAGGCTGAGGTGGATTTCGAAGGGCAATGGTGCATATAAGTGCGGAGGGGTTTGAAGGAAATGGACGTCGAGCCGGACCCCTATGTTTTATGGTTTGCCCTAAATTATTAGATACAGGGCTCGTAATCGTTCGAAACTGCATCTATATATTACGGATATAGTCTGAGTATCATCGCCGTAGGCATATATATTCTGGTTATGTCATGGCATATGGAAAACTAAACTTCATTATAAGCCCTCTTAGGATTGTAGCTCTAAAGGCAATTGGACTAAAGTATCGCATTTAGCACATCAATGGTACTACGTAGTTGTTACGACGGAACAAGAAGGCTGGCCAACTACAGGACAGGAAGGAGGGAGGTCGCATGAGACCGGCCCTGGTACCTGGAGGGGCAGCGGGGAATAGTAGTTCCGAAAGTATCACGTGACGGACTCGCAGGATGATGAGAAGAGTCCTAAGAGTCCAGGACTCCGAGGACTCGAGTGAGTTCCCAGGAGTCCACTAGGCACGTGACGGACTCGCAGGATGATGAGAAGAGTCCTAAGAGTCCAGGACTCCGAGGACTCGAGTGAGTTCCCAAGAGTCCACTAGGCACGACGCCACTATATAAGTAGATAGTATTTCCTTAGATAGGAGCTTCGTGCTCAACTCAATACAGTATTTGTTATATACTAGTAACGTGTTACTTGAAGCCTTTGTGTCTGATCCCCTGCCTCCTCTGATAAGTAAACCTTTACGCAAGAGAACCTCTGTGTCTTCTATCGTTTAGAAGTCAGCGTTACAGTAGTAACATGACGTGATGGTTACAGGGCTAGTAGGGCTAGGCTCTAGTAACATGACTCATAAGTCACAAGGCTAGTAGGGCTAGGCTATAAGGCTAGTAGATAGTATTCCCTTAGATAGGAGCTTTGTGCTCAACTTGATATAGTATTCTTTACAATACTATAACATGTTGTGCTACTTAGTAAGCAGTGTATTAGATAGTATTATATAGCCTGTATACAGGTTCATTTTTGTAATTAGTACGTATACGATATACAGTCATAATCTGTTAAGTCGATATGCGTTTATCTGATATTTATGATATCTCGATATATTTTGCAGGATCCATCCTTTTTACATACAAACCCTAATATACATGATATCGTGCCTTTTCTTTAGATTATCAACTTATACTAACCTCTTCTTCACTTTACAGGATGCCTCTAAAGAAGCTCAATTCGATGACTCTCAACTAACGACATACTATCTAGTGCTAGCAGTGCGAACAATACCCTCAACCTTCGTAGAAAGCTTGCATCACATGGTTCTAAGACCAATACTAGACTTAAGTCAGCTAATCTACTGTCTCTGAATGTCTTAGTGCTCGATTTGCCTACCTTGATGTAATGGTGGGTGCACCAGATGTGAGAATCTAGCCACCCAAGGAGGGGATGATTTTACTAAGACAACACACTGTCTTAGGAAACAGAGCCAAAGGGTTGTAGCTTAGACTATTCCACAACGCAGCAATCAGGTGTGTGATGTAGTGAAGTGGTTCAGACAAGTTGCAACAAATGTTGAGTCTGGGAACTCAGGGGTAAGTCAGAGGTTAACACCTCACTGACTTTTCAGAAACAAGGAGTAACAAGATCAATGCTTGGAAGCTTGGAAAAGACGTGGAAGTATGTGATAGTCGATTTACTGTATTTTCTGCTTGCCCTTTCTTAAGGAAAGGGCAATCCTATTTATGCTAAAGGAGTGTAGTTCTCTCATTTTCCAAGACTTTCCATGATTACCAGGCTTGGTAACTGTAGTCGACGTAAGAGAATCCCATAGAACCATCTCTTAGGTTCGTAGCCTATAGGAAGTAAAAGGAGGTCCAAGGTCAGAGTACCCCTATAGACAAATTATGTCATAGACAAATTATGTCATAGACAAATTATGTCATAACTTAACCAATCTTGTGGGTAACTAAAGAGCGATGACATGTAATGAATCATAGAGGTTCGTAGGAGCTTTTAGAGCTATCGTTCATGCTCCTAGGCCTCTAGTTGGTAGAGATATGTCATGTGGTAGTATGAGTGATGTCATGTAATGAATCATAGAGGGTTGTAGAGATATGCTATGTGGTAATATCGGCCCAGTAACTAAGGAGCGATGACGTGTAATGAATCATAGATGGTTGTAGCAATCGTTGAGTAGTATTGCTCTTGTTGTTGGTGTGATAAGCCAATATATGTATGGTGACTTGTAGGTTTGAGGAGGAGATTTCTAAGTTTGCTCTTGAGTTTGATAGCAAACTGAGTGCAACGAATGTCAGTATGACACATTACACACATGATTCTAACATCATGTGATAATCATGAATATTCATGATTATCAAAAACTTATAACGTATTCCACCAGTAAGCCGGTAACACCCGTAAGCCGGTAATCGCGTCGAAAATCAACCCACAAACCATCCGTAAATTACAAAATGAATTGAATTGAATTGAATTGATTACTTTGGAATTGAATTAATTACAATTAAGCTTCTGAGGGCATACTCGAGCATTATGCTCAAGTGATGAACATATATTGCACCTAGGGGGTGCGCGTATTCGTGGCTCTTGCAGAATGCTCGTTAGCTCCTCAACATGCTGAATATCAACCATTTGTGAGCGATTCAACCCTTCTTGAACTGTAAGAACTCCTCCTGTAGCTATATATGACCTCCGCTTTACTCTCTTCTTCTTCTGCCTCTCGTTTTCAGCCCGTAATTGGCGGTTCTCCTCCGTAAGAAGCACAGCACTATGCATAGCCATTTGACAACCCTTGACTAGTTGATTAAGTGCAACCTCTGTAGGACTTGGTGGACTATGCGTACGACGTTGAATGTACTCCTTAATCGTTTGTGTTTGACGCTCAAGCTCTCGAATATTATGCGAGAGCTTTGCGGATGGTTTATAGGTGGAGTTGTTGTCCGTAAAGTAATATGAAGCTTTTCAAGTACGTAACTTGGATTGTACGGAACAAGCCCAGCAGCCATGAAGCTATTTTGAATATTGTTTGTATTTAGAGCCTCTAGTCAAGTACTTAAATAAGCTCTAAGGAAGTCGGGCTTGTCGATATGGTTAAGACCATTACGCATAAGGTTTTCAATCTGCCGTCCGTAAATCCATTTTACAGCCGCAAAGCAACCAACATCTAAAGGCTGTAATAGGTGTGACGAATGCGGCGGCATACAAAGCGTAATAATTGAGTGTTCCTTGCAGAATAAGTCGAATTCAGGAGTACTGTGGCTTCCATGACCATCTAGAATTAGGAGTCTGTATACTCCTTTTGTACGATCTCTTGTATGCTTCTCAAATACCTCCGTAAGCCATGTAAAGCCAAGGGTATCGTTCGTCCAACCGTTTTCACTAACACCAATCACCCAATTCGGTGGAAGAGACTTAGTGTACCAAGTGGATTGATGAAGCTTCCCTTTGAATATCACCATTGGAGGCGTGCTCCAACCATCTGTGCAAATGCCCTCAATAACTGTTACCCACTCCCGATTCCCTGGCTGGAGAGTAACTGGCTTTCCAGCTCTTTCAGACCTGCAAACCACTCTTGCGGTTGTGATCACTCCCATCTGAAATCCCGTTTCATCGAAGTTATATATATCATCATCCGTAATCCCATATTTCGCCCGTATATTCTCCACAAGTTGAAACCAGGCTCGAATGATAGTAGGATCTTCACATTTCGCTCGCTGATAGTCATATTTACGATTAAATCGTGATTGTAAGGTTTCGTGACGTCGTACGAACTTATAGACCCAATTCTGGCCAACTGTAAGATCTTGATGGTCCGTAGCCGTTAAAGTCGAGCTCCGTTTGTCGCGTCTTTCAAGGAGTAAATTGGCCATTTGTCATATGGTATTAACTCGAGGTGCTAGACCACGCTCATCCATTGATAGGATCCAATTTATAAGGCTAGATTCCTCAGTCTCTGTGAGTTTGCGGTGTACGGATCGTAACTCGGTCTTCGGAGCGCGACCGTGAAGACGATCACTAGCAGTTGAATAAGGTACTCCGTACACCTTCGTAGCGGCTCTAAGGCTCTTAAATTGGCCTTTACGGAAGGCTTGAATAGCTAGGAGTATTCTCCCTTCTTTTGAAGCTAACTGAGAGCTCTGATGTTGAGACATATTGTATAGTTTACAGGTTTACGGATGGTTTGTGGGTTGATTTTCGACGCGATTACCGGCTTACGGGTGTTACCGGCTTACTGGTGGAATACGTTAATCATAATCATGCTTATGTAATATTTGACTATTTGAATAGTTATGATTATTATGATTATTTGTGCTAACCCTGATTTGTGTGGTGTTCCCAATCACCTAAAATTATCACTTTGGCATAGCCACACCACCACTTTCCTATCACGCACACCGTCGTTGCAAACTCAATAGTAACAAAGGCAAAGTTACTTATAATGGACTCTCATATTTCACATGAAGTTCTAGAGTTTATAATACTTACACATCAAAACAACATACACTTACATGTGTTTCCTTCTTACCTTATGTATATTCTACAACCTCTTAATGTTACGGTATTTGCACAATATAAACATTAGCACTAGCATGTAATTTAACAAGCAATCTAGAATTTTGACACTAACTACAATGTTTTCCAAGACTTATCTACAATCTGCAAGCAAACATTTACAAAGGGCAACTGCATAAAATCATTTAGAGATGCTGGTATTTAGCCAGCTAACTATAAGAAGATTAAAGAGAAAGTTGCTATATACACAAAGCTGACTGTTTTAGAAACACCATAAGGAACGGTAGAAGGGCAATGCTAGCAGCTGAAATTGTCTCTATAACTGTAAAACTTTGTCTATTCTCTAGAGCTTGTATATAAAGCTATATAGATTAGAAGAATATCATGTAAGGTAAGTACATATAACTTACCTCCTTTACTGCTATAGGTACTAACAGATGTTCACCGGTGCTCATTTCTACTTGGAATCCAACTTCATCAAAGTTATAGATGTCTGCTGTAGTAACATCTAGTTGACTGCATACATCTTTAAATTAATGAAACCATTCTTCAATAGCTAATACTTCATGAGAAACAACACGTGCTGCTTCAATTAGCCGGGTTTTGATGGTGTGGAAAGTCTTGTGGAAAGTCTTAATCCATGTTTAGAACCACCGTTGTGATGGTGGTGGACGTGTCGGGATTTCAGCTTTCGAAGTGCCGAATCGCTTTCGCAGTGCCGATCGCTAACCGCCTCTAGGCGGTGGTTTGGAAACCAACGATTAATAATCATGATTATAATTGATTTTCTAACCCTGCATGCTGATAAACCACGTTATATTCATGATGAATTCATGAATTTGAAATATTCAAGCTTACGTAATATTTAAATATTTAAATATTCCAGAATACGTTGAATAATTTTGCTAACCCTGCTTTTACTCATAAATAATTCAAGACATCAATAAATAGCATGTATGTATTCTATAGCAACTGAGAAACTCATAGTAATTAAGGAATCGACTGAGAAAAGGCAAACATGGGAAACGCCCTCACTATTATTAATTAGTATTGGCTGATACGAGCCCATCGTCAGTACACCATATTCGATGGACATGCACATTCAAACACATACCCGCATCATAGAAATTTTGCTATTCATTCGTACTGACTACCGTTACAAGAGCCATAGCCCCATCCATCCACCCATCCCGAACCCTCGATTTCCATCCGTCCATCCATCAAGCCACGCAAGCCATAGCATCGAGCAATGAGCAACCCCCCGCATCATCCCCTCTGCAGCGCAACAGCTAGCTCTCCAACATCCTCTCGGTCCAATACCCCCTTATCCCATCCTCGCGCATACGAAGAAGTCACAAAAAAGCGACCATAAAAGACTCAAAAACACAAGAAAAAGCGCGATAATATCCCCGTACACCATCAAAAACCGTAATAACCCTCAAGGCGTGAGTGAGAAAAGAAAAAGGGAGACGCGCAGTTGGGGCGCATCTAGGCCTCGATGGCCTTGTTCTTCTTCTTCTGCTCGACCTTGAGCAGCAGCGCGCGGTTGATGTGTGGCAGTACACCTCCGAAGGCGATGGTCGCGCGGATCAGAGTGTCGAGCTCCTCATCACCACGGATGGCGAGTTGCAGGTGGCGGGGTGTGATGCGCTTGACCTTGAGATCCTTGGCGGCGTTCTGTGAGAGGCGTTAGTCATTGGATAAGGTAAACGGGTGAATGTGTGACTTACTCCTGCCAGCTCGAGGACTTCGGCTGTGAGGTACTCGAGAACGGCGGTCACGTAGACGGCGGCCTTGGCGCCGACACGCATCTTGTTCTGAGTGTTGTTCTTGAGGAAACGCTTGACACGACCGCAGGGGAACTGGAAAAGGTGTCAGCATGGGGATCCGTCAGGTGCGCAAAACAAAATCGATGGGGTGGTGCGGATGCGATGTTGTTCTGATTCATGGGTACGACGTGTGGTGTGAGCTGCGCTGTGCTGCCTAGGTGTGTAATGTAAAGTATCCGCATGCATGTCCAACATCACAGTTCGATTCTGACGCGCCACGGTCGCCTTTGGTATAGCTGTGTGCATGTGTCTTCGGCTTTGGCGACTCGAGCGATGGTTATGTTGTCGTGAGCTCGAGATCGAGTGTCGAGGTAGTCATGACGCGACTGGCGGGGTATGCGACAACGGTTCTCTCGGCCGATCCAGGGCAGGAAAACGAAATAAACCAACGCGACCACCCATAAAATCATGTACTAACCTGAAGACCAGCCTTGCTAGAGTGGCTCTGCTGTTTCTTGGATCCATCGACGCCCGTCTTGCCTCCCGAGGACTTGCCACCAGATTTTCCCTTGCCGCCAGCCATTGTAGCTTGTTGTGGTTGAGAAGACGGAGTGCAATAAAGCGGTAGTTATCGGTTGTTGATGGCGACGTTGTTGTTGTCGATGCTTTGTTGATGACGACGAAAGTTGAGGTTGGTGATGTTGGGTCGGGATTGTCGATGGAACTTTGTTGTTTTGGTGATTGGGGAAGTTGCTCAAGCGCGTTTCTTTTGCTTGTTGCTTGCGGAAGGAGAGGCGGTACGGTAGGCGAGTAAAACATTTCGCGCAGTTTTGGGATGAGGAGATGATGTGGGCAAAAGAATGACGTGAGAAAAACAAAAGGGAGAGATGATGGTATACCGTCAGAGATATAGGAAGAGATATTATATATCTCGCTCTCTATCCTCTTACTCTCTGATATAATAGAAAGAGGAAAATGGGAGAAGGGAGAAGGGGGAAGGGAGAGCATCATCTCCTGGCGCGGCTAACTGACTGCTTGACTTGCGGGGATTCACCTCGGGTAGCCAGAGCCATAGATAGTAATTGGCGCCATAGGCTTCTCACCGTCAGAGATTGATGCTCTTGAAGCCCTTGATCTCAAGTATGTCGGTATCAACATTATGAGTTGACAGATGTTGACTTCTGCCGCCGTTGGGCAGTTGGAAGACGATGAGTTGTCGTCGTTGTCGTCGTTGTCGTCGTCGTCGTCGTCGTCGTTGTCGTCGGTGTCGTTGCCCTGACCTTGGACTGGTGTTTTACCCCATAGTCACGTCACGTGATATGGATGGGATTGTCCGGTCCGTTTGTTTTACCACCATCACCTGATCGAGATGCCTGAATCCCGCACTATGGAAGACGCTAAAGCTATATTTGCGTTGAAGACCCTCAATGGCGTTGATATGGACGAGATCACCGTCGCGGACATCCAACGCCATCTCAGCTCCGGCCGTTTCTCTTCCTTGGAACTGACACAATGGACTCTAAGCCGGATTGAACAGGTTTAAAGCCTTTAAAAATAAAATCCCGCTCTCAGTTACCCATCTAACTGTCCTCGCAGACAAACTCCTACCTCGGCTCCGTCATCGAGGTGAACCCAGATGCCGTCGCAATAGCCACCGCTCTCGACGCCGAGCGCGAGCAGCGCAGGCCCCGTGGGCCCCTCCATGGAATTCCCGTCCTTGTTAAAGACGTCCGCGCCCCCCCGCCCCGTTACCCCCGCTACCCACTGATAGCTCCCAGAACATGGCCACCGCAGACAAAATGCAAACCACCGCCGGCTGCCGCGCCCTCATCGGCTCCATCGTTCCCCGCGACGCACACATTGTGCACCTCCTCCGCGCCTCCGGCGCCATTATCCTCGGCCACGCCGGTATGTCCGAATGGGCCTCCATCCGCGGCAGCGAGGAATCCATGGGCTACTCCGCCCGCGGCGGCCAGGTCCGCAACCCCTACAACCTCTCCATGAGCGCGTGGGGCAGCTCAAGCGGGTCGGCTGTCGCGGTCGCGGCGGGGATAGTGGTGCTGTCGTATGGCACGGAGACGGACACGTCGATTATCTCGCCGGCTAATTATGCGGGGCTTGTGGGGATCAAGCCGACGGTTGGGCTGACGTCGCGCGCTGGTGTAATTCCGTGTAGTGAGAGTTTGGATACGGTGGGACCGTTTGGGAGGTGTGTTAGAGATGCTGTGGTGGGGTTGCAGGCGATTGTGGGGGTTGATGAGAGGGATCGGTATACGGCTGAGGCAGCGGATCATGTCATGGATTATGAGAAATGTCTTGCGTCGAAAGAATCGTTGAAGGGGGCTGTGTTTGGGCTTCCTATGAAGAGAGTCTGGGAGAATATTGATAAGGCTATCCTGCCGCGTTTTGAGGAAGTATTCCAGATGATCAGAGATGCAGGGGCTAAGATCGTTGAAGTGGACTTTCCATGTTGGTTAGTAGGTCGCGCTTATATGGCGTCACATTTGCTCACGAGTAACTAGGGAAGCCATGATTGATGAGAAAGGATGGAATTGGTTAGCCTTGCCTACCTACAATACGACAGCGAATACTATTCAACTAACTTACGCCCAGGAACTCCAGACCAGATGACCAGTCCGAGTACCTCGTCTGCGGCGTCGAATTCTACCACGGCCTCCGCGCATATCTAAAGGAGCTCTCAAACACCACCATCCGCAGCCTCGAGGACGTGGTAGCCTACAACATCGCGCACCACGACGGCGCAGCCCCAGGCGACGACCCCGGCTTCCCAAGCGGCCAGGACCTTCTCGCAAAACTCATCGACAAAAAGGACGTCAAGGATGAAACCTACCACGCCGCCCTGCAGTATATCCGCGAACAGACCCGCAAGAATGGCATAGACGCCGCGCTGACTTACCAACCCGACCCCTCCACGCCCGCGATCCAACTCGACGCCCTGCTGCTCGCTGACCGCGCGGGTCCTGGGCAGCAGCTCGCTGCGCAGGCGGGGTATCCGGTCATTACTATACCGGTTGGTGTTGATAGCGATGAGATGGGTGGGAGGCCGTTTGGATTGAGCTTTCAGCATACGGGGTGGAGTGAGGGGGGGTTGATTAAGTGGGCGAGTGCGGTGGAGGATTTGCTGGGGGTGGAGAATAGGCCAAGGCCGATGTATAGGGAGTATTTTGCTACGAATATTCCCATTTTACCGTAGGGGGTTGACGTAATGGAATATTTGCCTGACTCGCGTTCTGAGTGGCCGTGACTAGTCGTCGTATTGCTGGGAAAAGTGGAATGTTGATGCTATTGATATCTTGGTATTTGACCGAGATGCGTACGATAGTAGACTGAGAAATAGAAGTCTTGCGTATTATTTATCCTTGAAGGAAGTCTCACGTTGTTTCGCGTGATGGGCACAAGAAACACTGTTTTCCTAAAAATATAAAAATAAAATATGAACTAAATGTCTCTTATTCTTTAAATAGGTGCCTTTCAAAGAACAGACAAATGACGATACTTTGTCTATATAGGCGGCAACATTTTCAAATCAATGAGCATGTTATTGTAATATTTTTATTATCATTTCCATAAAGAAATGTAATTTTAGCTGACATGTCACGAATGAAATATCTGAGAAATCTCGATATATCACGTGATATAGATCGCTATCGTGAGCTGATATGATTGACAATGGTGATCCGTTGAAAAACCAAGACATCAATAGCATCAACATCCCAATTTGCGCGACAGCAGAAACTTACGACCGCTCACGACCATTGCGCCCCATCCCTCAGACGAAACGGCGATGGGAATCCCCTGAAAGATACAATAATACCTGAGACTTTCGCCTCAAAGCCTCAATAACCAACCTTCAGACGCTGTCCCACGCATCTCCTTGCGCCCGCCCAACAAAGTCGATCCTGCAGCACAGCTGCAGCTCCCCGAACAGCACGAACAAGTCTCATTGACACGAATAACTGAAACACAGATGACGCACAGCCTACCTTAAAAAATCCCATACGGACAATAGACGCCGTCTGAAGCGCCTGGCATTGACGAAGACATTCCCTTTCACTCTGCCGATTTCAGGTGGACATTTAAGCGGTGACGACCCAGAAAGATAAAAGCAACCCTCCACGCTCCTCCACGATCCGCCAGAACAACCCACCGGTTGAAGATACCACTTTCTGGATACATACCCTTGGAACGCAAACCGATCAGTCCGCCAGCTACATCGCGCTCATTGTCGCCCTCGCTAGGCATCCTACATATACCCTCGGCGACCAAAAACAAACTTCACCCCGCTACGATAACGCCGTGCCACAGACGCCCTCTCGCTGCCGCCGGTCCACTTCCCTCACCTAGATGACCGCGTGGATGCCTCCGCCTGTCAACACACGAAAACGACCAGCGCCCGGTGCGTCCCCCGTCCCGAACCTCGCCATGCAGAACCAACCCTTCCCGCCGCCGCAGCAGGCTCCGAACGAGCAGTATATGAGGTGGAACCAGGGCGCGGCTGACAACGCGGTGTTCTCGGATATGAATTTTGGAATGGCGCCGTATGGCACGAATGGGGTGTCGAATGCGCCATTCCAGCAGGCACAGTCGACGCAGCTTGCGAGGCGGCCGATGAACCAGCACTTGGTACCGACGGCGTCGCGGACACAGTTTGATAACTCGAATGAGTGTGGATTGACCGAAGAGTTGTTTGATCCAAATGCGCAGATTGGAGGGCACGCCGAGAATGATAGTATTGAACGGCTCGAGGAGAGAGCGCAGGTGGCGAAGAGGGAGGCACAAGCGAAGCGGAAACAGATCCCGCCGTTTGTGCAGAAGTTGAATAGGTAAGCAGTTTCCACGCCACACAGACGTACACAGCTGACAACATTCTAGCTTTGTCGATGATGCCAAGAACGATGAACTCATTCGCTGGTCGGAGCGGGGCGACTCATTCGTCGTGTTGGACGAAGATGAGTTTGCGAAGAACCTGATTCCGGAACTATTTAAGCACAACAACTATGCGTCATTTGTGAGGCAGCTGAACATGTACGGCTTCCACAAGCGCGTGGGCCTGTCGGACAACTCGATGAAGGCGAGCGAGCGAAAGAACAAGAGTCCGAGCGAATACTACAACCCATACTTCAAGCGCGGCCATCCGAACCTCCTCTGGCTCATCAATAAGCCCAAGACCCCACAGAAGAAGAGCAAGGGTGGCCAGACGAAGCAGGAGGATGGCGGCGCAGAGGAGAGTGACGATGATAACCGCGACGGCGTGGAGGAGACATTCAGCGGCGGATACGAACACCCCAACACTGTCCGCGCACTGTCTGCCGCGCCCGACAATGGGCAGTCCGGCGGCACTGTCGCGCTCACGGTCGTTCAGAAGCAGCTGCGCGACATCCAGCAACAGCAGGGCAGTATCTCGAGCATGATAGCGCGACTGCGCAAGGAGCACAACGATCTATACTCGCAAGCCGTCGCCTTCCAGACCCTGCACGACCGTCACGAGTCATCGATTAATGCCATCCTCACCTTCCTCGCGACAGTCTACAACCGCAGCCTTGATGGCCAAGGAGGCCCGAATATCACACAGATGTTCGCCAACTCGCAGGATCAGCATCATTCAGGTTCCGTCGTTGATCTGGGGAACGTGAATTCTGGTCAGCCCAATGCGAGTCCCATCCGCCACCAACAACGTCTCATCATGCCTCCGCCGTCTGCAGACGGTACCTCTACCACCCAATCAACCGTATCGACTGGGAATTACCGCCTAACCTCCCGACCCGGCGCCATCGAAGAACTCTTCGAGCCGTCAACCACCAACTCTCCCCCTCTTAAACCCGAATCCTCCTCGCCCGCTACAAACAACATCATCGAGCTAATCAACTCCACCAACGCCAACGCACCGCAAAACCGCGACATGGCCTTCCCCGACGCGCTCCACCACTACGAGAACTCCAACGGCGCCTCGCCCCTCTCCCCCGCTCAGCGCGCTGATGTTCTCCGCGCCATGGCGAGCAACAGTGCGCCCGGCATGGATGCCCTCGCGCCGCCGCTTGCGCCACCGCAGAGCCTCGCGCAGATGGGCTACACGGACTCTGAACTTGAGGAGCTGGCACGTATGCAGCGTCAACAGGACGGGCGGATTGAGGAGGTGGAGAATATGCTTAGTCCGTTGACGCCGCGGCTTGGGGGTGGTCCGGAGCCGGGCGCGGATGCGTATTTTGGTGATGCGACGCAGGGGAGCAATCTTGACCTCGATATGTATCTTGATCCTGGGGCGTACTATGGGGATCCGGCGACTGGGGATGTGGGTGGTGGGGTGTTTGGGGGTGGGTATGGTGATGCGTTTGCAGATGGGGGATTGGATTTTGGAGATACGGGGACGGGGACGGAGGTTAAGGATGATGGGGCTGGGGATGGGAATGAGGGGAGTCCGAAGAGGAGACGGAAGCAGTAGTGTGTGTGTGTGCACTTTTTGGCGGGAAATTTTGGGGGAAACTGGAAAAATTAGAGGTTTTTGGCGCGATAAGGGGGGGGATTATAGGAGGCAGCGATACAGTTGGAAGCGAAAATCGGGATGGGAATGCGTAGGCATGCATGGGTTAACGAATCGAATGGCGGATGCAATTGCAGGTATAGAAAGAAGTAATGAATAAATACAAATGAAATAGCTTGAAATAGTGGCATTGGTCTTGTAATTATGCTGCTGAGATGCTCGTGCCAGTGTGATAAGGGGACTTGACTTGAGGCTGTGGTACTCTAGGCTGGGTCATCTGCGAGTTTGGTGGTGTAGGATGGGATGGGATTGGTGTTCCTGTATATATAGGCTTAGGTCTACGATAATTCTATTTGTATTGACATTTTACACACTTTTCTTTCTCTCCAACGCCTTTCCGTTGCTAGGTGAGATATAAAAAACAAAAAAGGGTCAACTCCGGCGCGGAACAACCTTCGACCGACACCACAACCCGCCCAGAGAGCTAGTCCTTTTAGCACGACAAAAGATCCTCGCGAGCTTCTCTCCCCCTTCTTCTCTCCCTCCCCTTTCTCGCCGCTTCAAATCTCTCCCCCCGCCCGCCCCATTTCTTTCGGCCGCCACGCCGACTCGCTGGCCTCACATAGACGACTCTCTCTTGCTACATCTGCCGCTCGAGAGTCTTTTTTATATACCCCAACCAAAACCCGCCATCATTTCTCTCACTGCGTCGTGTCGCCCTGACTACGACCGACGCCAATAGGAAAGGTTTTGTCGTGGGGGTCGAAGCTACAGAGCAGAGAGCTAGCTGCCAAGCGTGCCCTGTTAAACCAGCATCACGAAAATCCATATAATCCCCTGCTCACGACTCTCTTCTCCAGCGATCTTCTCTTCTTCTTCTCCTTGTTCCTCTTCTGTTCAGGTTTTCACGACGCACAAACAAACGAAACCGACGGGCGAGCGAACTGCATCTATCCGCCGCCGTTGCCCGGCATGACCTCTCAACTGAATTACGACGAAATGTATCACGACCCAACAAACCGCTCGACTCCCGCAGGAAACGCGAACCGCCCATACCCAAATATTGGTGGAGGCGGAGGTGGCCAGCGCGCCGTCTCGAGCAACTTTGACCCCTACGCACAACAACAGCAGGGCCAGGGATACCTGCAAAACGAGTACGCCGCCATGCGCTACGACGCCCAACGCCCCGATCGCCTCCCCCAACCCCAGACGCTCTACCAGGCCCCGGCCTTCAACGCCTACGATGGCGCGCAGACATGGAGTAACAATCCTTCCGCGGCCTTTAGCACAACCATGGGCCCGCCCTCGCGGAACCGAGCACAGGCGCGGAGGGGAGCCCTGCCAGCAGTGAGTACACCGAGAGACCGCCGCTCGTGGCACGCCGCTGACATCCAGAAGACCTGGTTAGACCAGCCACAACAGCAGAATGCGCCGTACCCCAGCCTGCAGACCCAGCAACCAATGCAGGGCATGCCGAACGGACACCAGCCGTCGATGTACCACGCGTCCCAGTTGGCGCAGCCGCAGCGACAAGACCGCCAGGCCGCATCGACCGAGGACAGCGCCTCCGAGGAGCTCATCCCGACGGCTATTGTCATAAAGAATATCCCGTTTGCTATCAAGCGCGAGCAGCTCACGGATGTGATGTCCGAAATGCACCTGCCCCTGCCCTACGCCTTCAACTACCACTTTGACAACGGCGTGTTCCGCGGACTCGCATTTGCGAATTTCTCAAGCCCAGAGGAGACGGCGGCCGTCATCGACGCCATGAACCACATGGAGCTGCAGGGCCGCAAGCTGCGCGTCGAGTACAAGAAGATGCTACCGCTGCAGGAACGGGAGCGTATCGAGCGCGAGAAGCGTGAGAGGAGGGGACAGCTCGAGGAGCAGCACCGTCCTATGCAGATGGGCGTGCACAACTCGGCTTCCATCTCCTCTTTGTCTTCTGCCCTGCCTGCTTCGCCATCGCCGGTGTCCATGCGCGGCCAGCAAGAGACGAGTAAGTAGACTTCCAGCCACCGTGACATGATTGCACTACTAACAGCAACAGAAATCGACATGAACGATGCCACGACGCTTGACTACTACGGCCGCCTCGTTGTCTTCAAAGACGACGAGACCAGACGCATGTTCGTCGTCGAGCCTCCCGTGCCCGCGACCTACCGCCGCGTCCTGCACGAACTGGCCCACAAGCTTGGCCTTGAGCACGAATCCGCCGGAACCGGCGACATGCGCCACGTGCAGATCTTCAAAGACAAGCGCAGCAACCCGCTCTCCATGTCATCCGGCCTGCTCTACAACGACACCTCACGCCGCGGCCTCGCCCGCGCTGCCACAATGGACTTCAACGAGTCGCGTGACCCCCTTTACCACACCCTGCGCAACGCCTCCTCGGCCCTCCTCGATGTGCCAAGCTCTCCCGGCACCCTGAACGGTGCCCCACGCTCGCTGCGCGAAGCTAAATCCTTCGGCGACCTACAAGCGCGCACCTCGTCTCCCGCGCTCTCGAGCTCCTCTTTCCCCGCCAACCTCTCCCACAACGCAGCGCGCTACGCCGATTACCAAAACACGGCGCTTCCCCCGCGCGACGACTACCTGCCCACCGCCTTTTCCAACCTGGCGCTCGGCTATGAGCGCGGCGGCACGGCACCACGTATCCCTACCGCCGGCGCGATCGGGTCGCAGCGCTCGTCGCACGGGCTGGCGACGTACGAGGATGTGCAGCGTGGTGGGGCTGCGGGAGGCGGGGCCGTGGAGCGGCAGCCGCGCGGGCCGGGGTCGGAGTGGGGAGCTGGATTTGCGAGGGCGCGTGCGAATGGACATGCGAGCCGGGGGAGTGGAGAGTTGGATTTAGGCGAGGTCGAGGCGGAGACGAGACAACAGCAGCAGAAGCTTGATGGCGGCGGTGGTGGTGGTGGGGTGTCGCTTTTACGATACGATGTTTCCTCATGAGACGATGCTTTTATGACCGCATGATGGATGATGGGATGATGGGGGTGCTAGAATGAGGTTTGTGTTTGAAGATGGTGGAGGTTGGTATACGATGAGAACTCTGCAACGCAAAAAGCTGAGTTTAGTGTTGAATGAACGCGCGACGACGGACGAATTGATGGACGAAGCCCGATGATTGAAACGGATCCTGAAGTTACATTGTGCATTTTTCTGCTTTTTCGGAACTGTTTTACGTCTTCTGTTTTTGGCTTATTTATTACGTTTATTTGGGGGACACAGAGGAAGTTGGGGGTTAGTCGTCGCGACTAGGGGGGTAATGATACCAGGACAAGCCCGGGTGGGGTAGTCAAGAGAAAGCTGTGGACGACTGAGGAGACGCAGGCTATGTGCGCTTTGGGGGCCTAGGACGCGGGGTTGGGTGGAGAATATTATACGTTTATATGCGGCGCGTGCTTTGGGAGGAATCTGTAATAATAGTGCACAAATTTGCGAAACGGGGAAAACGGGAAACAGGAACCAAGATACGAGACAGAAGGGGAGAGCGCTAGCTATCTATGTTTTGACGAAGGGGATTGGAAGGATGGGCGGCTGGCTGTGGAGATTTAATACATGTTGACTGGATCGATCGAATTATCTTTTTGTGGTGTCATCTATCTTGTTGTGTTCGTTTGATGCGGGGTTTTTTTTGTGGATGTTGTGGTTTCTGTCTTCTCTCTACTTCTTTTCGATTTCGACCTTCTTCTCCTGGGGGGTTGCAAGAGAGGTTTTGTGGCTATGATGCCTATGTGTGGATTGGATGTGGCGTTTGTTTTTGGAAGCTAGAGATTCCGTGGGCGACCTGTTTGCTTGAATTGATGATGATGATGACAATGATGCGTGTTTTGCATGATATTTGCGTGATGCATGATTTTGATGCATGATTTTGATGCATGATTTTGATGCATGATTTTGATGCATGGTTTTGATGCATGATTTTGATGCATGGTTTTGATGCATGATGTGTGTGTTAGTTATGTGAGCGACGATTTTTGAATCCTACCGTGTTGGATTCAAGCTGTCTGTTTGTTGTAGGTTCGAATAGGAGGCGCGCTTGCGACGGGAAGTATTTTAAAAATGTGATTTGCTTGCATACCTGCATGAATCTTCGTGTTTTCCCCTCTCTTTCCAACTTCCTGCCTACTAACTTAGCCTATTATTACTACTCAATGTGTTCATTTCAGGATTCCATCTGTGTTTTGCCTGGTACGCCCCCTTTGAAACCCAAGGAATTGTTTGCTACGAACGAAAACCACCCTGGAAAGTCTCTGAACAGAGGTTGGAAGTGCCTCCCAGACGCAACAGGGCCCAGAAACTTTGCGGAGGCAAACAGACAATGCTGAGTGGTGGCAGTGGATGGAAAGCCGGAGTAACATCCGGTGGTAGTGCTCAAATACAACATCTCCATTTCACGATTATCAATAGCTTGGAAAGCAGCTCGCAGTGACCATATGATCAAGTCCTTCATGCCATTGTAGTTATGCGTTCTCAACAGTCCCATCCATGAATTACCACTTCCCAAAGAGCCCCTGACCAACCCCCAATGTCCTGTTGCTGTGATATTGGGTTTTGAGTCAAGCAACTGTATATATCATCGCCGGGGATCCCCTCATGAAACGTCTGGGAATGGTAAATTCCGGCTTATGCACAGTTGAAGTCACTCACTTTCACTTCTCTAGATGTTTGTAGCCTCGTTTGTGAATGTTTCATGACTCCCAGCTTATTTTATTTGCGAGCCCTGTTTGGATATGTATTGCTGCTACTCTATCCGCAGTCGGTTCCCGCCGGGACTGATGAGGTTATCCAGTGCAACTGTAGGCGTAGTAGCGACACTAGCAGACAAACAGAAAATACCTCTTGGATTATTATTTGAACAAAGGGGGACGGCGGGTCATTAAAAAGGTCGACAGCCTAGTATCGTTCGTAAGTTCAGGGTAAAATATTACAACCAGCATTTTTGGAGCCAGCTATTACTCCCACCATCATTCAACACAAAGCCACCACACAACCAGAGCAAAACAATAGCTATTGCTTCAGATGGATGCCCATGATGTTACCACACAGTATATGGAGCCCTTGAGGAAGTTCAAGAAGATGTTGGAGGAAGCCAAAAAACGTCAAGGCGAGCGACCCAACGATCGAAAGCCTCCCGAATATGCGTGCATGAGGTTCATGATGGCGTTTGGGACCCTGGGACAAAACAAACCCGGCCATTCTATTCATACATCATTCGTTGCACCAGCATACTCTCCATGCATCATACCAGTGGCCGATCTCAAACATGTCACGATTGATGAGCTTCTACTCGAGACGCATCACCGAGGCACCTGTATACTGCTACGATGCATTACACCCCCCAACCGGATGACGGCCATTATGGTGCTGGCCGAAGACAAAAACAATGATGTTGTGTGTCTACAGATGTACCAGCAGGAAAATGAGGAAACACGGCCTGCAACTGACATCGCAAATCCGGGGGTTGTACTCCTTGTAAAGGAACCCTACTACAAGATTATGAGCGATGGAGAGTATGGGTTGCGCGTAGATCATCTCTCTGATATTGTTCACCTCAAGAGCGACGATGTTAGGATCCCATCAGATTGGCAGCCGCGTGTTATCGAAGTTGAGCAGTCGGCCGAGGCATTGAAGCTGAAGGGGAACTCGGCAATGAAAAAGGGAAAATTCTGGGATTCTATTGCTATGTGAGTATAGCCTATGAAGCATGCATATTTCATACTAATGGCCCTGTAGCTACTCTGATGCACTTGTACAACCTACTTCGGTCGACGAGGCAGAAATTATCAAGCGCAACAGATCTCTCGCCTTTCTCCGAACAAAACAATTCGACGCAGCCCTATCCGACACAGGATTTCCCAACTTTGGCGAGAATGCTTCTGAGAAAGCAATGTTCAGGGCAGGAGAGGCCCTGTACTATCTCGGGCGCTTTGATGAATGCCGCAACGTACTTGCGATGCTTTGCCGCCTTTATCCACTCAATGCTCTTGCTCGTGCATCGTCAGACCGTGCCGAAAGCCGGCTCAGGGAGCAGAAGACAGGAGAATTCAACTTCAAACTTCTTCAAGCAGAAGCTAAAAAGCTCAGGCCTCCTCATCTGGACCATGCTACCTACATTGGACCTGTCGAAGTCAGGCAGACAGCATCCAATGGCCGAGGTCTATTTGTCACAAAAGCGGTGAAAGCGGGTGACTCGCTTTTGTGTGAGAAAGCCTTTGCCCACTGTTACGCCCCCGAGAAATCAGATGCCGAAAAGGCAGGCGAATCGATTATTAGCATCCTGATGAACCCTGAAACCAATACAGCTTTTATGGGAACACAAGCTGATCTTCTTATGAGTGTTGTTCAGAAGATGTACCATAATCCTTCGGTTTCTTCAGCTTTCACAGCTCTTTACCATGGGGGTTACAAAGGAGTTGATGCCACAGCTGTTGACCAGACACCAATAGTTGATACGTCAGTACCCTTCTAAAATATACTTTCTCTACTAACATACTTACTCTAGTTTTCAAGTGGAGCGAACCATCTCCTTCAACTCTTTTGGCTGCCCACTCTCCAGCGTCAACTCGCAAGCAAAAGTTCGCGACCACAAGGACGAGCCACACACTGCCTTTCATTCCACCGGCATTTGGATTCAAGCGTCATATATCAACCACAGCTGCACCAGCAACGCCCGTCGAGCATTTATCGGCGACATGATGATTGTCCGTGCAACCTGCGACCTAAAGAAAGACACCGAGCTCTCATTCTGGTACCGCTGCCCCATCAAACACAACGCGGCAGACGCCCAAAGCAAATTCGAGAATTGGGGGTTTGAATGTGCATGCTCCATATGCTCTGATAACAAATCTACAGCTCCTCCAGTCTTACGGAAGCGAGAAAAGCTGAGGACGAGCATAGAGAAGGCATTTAAGGTAGCTTCATTGGGAAGTGGTTTATTGCAGAAGATCGAGCGCTTGATTGACGAATTGAATCAGACATATTCTCAACCTGCAGACAAAGTCCCTCGTCTTCTAGTCTGGGACCCACAATTGGCTTTGGCACAAGCTTATGCATCTTTAAACCAGACGAGAAAGTGCATCGTGGCCGTCGGAAAAATTCTTACTTCGCTAGGATTTCTCATAAGCGGCACAGACTCTCCACAGACGCCATTTTCAATCGACCGATGGGGCATGCTCCAGGATTATCTCGTGGAAGCTTTTGTGCTTCTCCGAAATATGTTTTTGGTAACCAAGGCTGTAGAAAATTCGAAGAAAGCAGGCGAGTATGCCAGAACTGTGTACAGGATGGTAGTCGGTGAGGATGCGACGTTTGAGAGAGTATGGGGTGCAGAGGGACTCTGATTTACTTCCACGCTCAGCCTAGTGGTTTCAGGTAGATCTGTAGGATAATAGGACAATAATATTACCGGTCTCTATCTGACAACTGGGGTCATATTTGAAACCCGTAGTGCTAAATGTGTCTCTCATAATCCACCCGCAATTGCCGCCCATAGAGCGTGGTAGACCTGGCGGAGTGTACAGGAGTAGATACTGATACAAGCATGGTAGATAATAATTATGCCAAATAAATCACATGGATTAAGTGATGCGAATTGTAGATTGAATTTTCTTATACCTTGTCCCACAATTAAGCCCTTCTCATCTTGGCTCTCTCGGCCTCTGCATTTACTTTGATAGAATACACCCCAGTTGCCACATCCCTATCAGTCTCTCAAGGAACAAATAGCACGCGGAGATTGAGGGTCTCCCCCTTAGCCTTAATATTTTTACAGACTTCATCCACCGTTTTGATCGTAACGAGGTCCGCCTTAACGAAGATGTACTCACCCTCCGAAGAATTTCTGTAGCCTTGAGGTGTCTAATTGCTGCAAATAACATCGTCTTTGAGGCTCCGTAGCCAGCATGATAGGAGTCTTCTATATATTTATATAGAGCCTTAATTTGAGCCTCTGATAACATCTTATTATGTCCTCCATGTTGTGCCTTCGGTGTTGGGTTTTTCAATCGGTGAATCTTTACACATGGTAAATCCGTGCAGCTGTTGTAGGCTTTCCAGTCGGATTCTCGGCCAGGAATTGGAGGGCTTGAGAAATAGGGGTATCGTCGGTCATGATACATTGGTTGGAATCATAGTTCATTGAATGGATTTGTATGGTATTTCCTACGAGAAAACTTCTTGGCTATGGGGCGTTCCAACTTGCTTTCCCCTTCCCACTTGCTTTCCCCGACCAGCGACGATTATGTCGTATTCGCCTGAACCATGCCGAGTACGCGATCCTTGATTGAGCATGGTGGATAACGTCCCGACTTCAAAATATTTTTGATTCTCCTCTCCTCCCACCTTCGAATTTCCCACCAGGGTTTCACTACTAGAAGTCCGCGCTTTGAATTCCCTCGCTGCGTCTACCCTGCCTCCGGGGCTCGTGGTCATCTTCGCCAGTGCCACCAGCGGTATTGCTGAGGCAACGCTGAAGCAATTTGCAAAGCACACCGTGAGACCGCGCATCTACTGTATCGGCGACTTCGAGGAAGCCGCTGACCGCGTAGCTAAAGATGTGAAGAAGATTAATAATTCCACCAAAGCCACCACCCCGTAAGCAAGTGTCCCCTCTCAAAACCCACCACATACCAACCACCAACCACTACCACCCACCACTCCACTACGAATAATGTCTGGTCAGAAAGCTGTTCTACGTGAGGCATAAGAATGGCCCCTTCAAAACCCAAACGAAACAGCTTCAGTTGCAGCTATGATCTTCAAAGTGCATCCTAATAATATCTACAGCCTGCTTAACGGACGGCATATCCAAATCTTCATAAAATGGCAATTGATATCCTATTGATACTAGCAATGAGCGCAGAGCCAGAACGGCTATTCTTGGGGGCTAAGATTACAGTCACAGATCGCCGCAATCGATTGGGGGTAGATACTATTGGGTACTTAGAGTGCTTAAAGTCTTGGTTAGCTATTACAGATACACCTTAGGCAGGGATTAAGATAGAATGGTGAAAAGGGGCGTTAGTGCGAAGCAATTGATAGTACTATTTATAAGTCATATGGTTGACACTGTTTACACTGCATATCATAATACAATATACTGCCAAGCTATATGGTGACAATATAATATAGGCACTCGCCATATGGTGACAATACAATATGCCTTTTTCTCGCAATATATTGCCAAGAATTACTATTGACAACACTGCTTCTGTAAAGGTTCCGCCCTTGTCAGGTTTGAGAGTCTAAATTGGGAAGAGCATAAAATTCGCCAACATGACCCGAAGAATGTACTACGACTTAAAGATATTTGAGAAGGAAGGATGCCGCCCGCTAAAGGAGTTACTACTGGATGATCGGTCGCTTCCCACCATTCTGAGAGCATTCCAATATAATCCCCTAGTTGCGAGACGCCGAGCCCTGTAGGTGTCGTCGCCAAAGCACAGAGTAAAAAGACCTCATGGCCAACATTGAGTTTGAGATTTAGGAGAATAGTGCGTGCCTTTCTCTGTTTGTCGTTCAAACCTTTCTTTCGATGAGGTCATCGGCTTTTGTGCACCTTGCTTCTTATTATAGCCCTGTATTTTTAGCGTGGTATCATAATTCAGTAAGGGTGTCGAGAGAAAGAGAAAGATCCAAGCAACCTCTTCTATAATATTGCCCAAGCACCAAAAGCCAAGTGATTCCGATAAAAGGCCTTCTTGGGAAATTGGGCTTAGAAATACTGGTATCTCCACAGGGTCAAATACACAAATAAATAAAGAACATTCCCCCCTTCTTCCCCTCAAATCCTCCCCCAGTTGCGAATGTCGTGTAAGTCTTTCTCCATCATCCTTTCAAGCCTTAGCGGTACAGCACTGAAAGACATAACTTAGCGACTTCAAGTTCGAATTCAAATTCAGTCCACTTTACCTGAAGTTCCGATTAATATCATTATGTCAAGTCCCTGGGTTGCTTGACATTGTTGTGTGATGCATGTGCCAGTAAGGCTCGAGTGCTTCAACGCAAACTGTAACCCAAGGGACTGCGAAGGTATGATAGGCAAAAAAATGATAGAAGACGACTAAATTGGGGGAACCGTGACTATTTAACTAGATTGTCAAAATAACCACCAGGAACATTACCAAGAACAGCTAAACGAATTTCCCTGATATATCCTGTATGACACAGAAACTTGTCAGAATTCCTTGTTAATCCAGGTCTAGACCACATGTAAGCAGTCGACCGGTTACTCCTACATCTCAAGGAGACAAAACACCTAGCTCTCCAATTTGGACCAAATATTAAAGAGCCACGTTTCCAATGCTGTAGTGATGCAGATTGCGAGTCTACTAGAAAGAGTACAGAGGGGTATTTGTTCACTCTTTTTGGAGGAGCTATAGACTGGCGCTATACAAAGCAAAAGACCGTATCAACCTTAACAACAGAAGCTGAGCTTCTAGCCTATCATATAGTGCAAAACAGCTCTATTGGTGTCAGCGTTTCTTCTCAACTATCAAACTAGACCTAAATGAGCCATACTCACTTTGTGATAATATGCAAACTGTACGGCTCTTACTTAAGGAGTCTCCAAAGCTAGTTACAAAGCTTAAACATATAGACGTCCATTCACACTGGTTAAGACAGGAGGTAGAGCATCGAAACCTAGACATTAAGTGGATAGCTACGTACGAGATGCCAGCAGACGGTTTTACCAAAGCCCTACCTTAACATAAGCACAAGGAGGTCATTAAACATTTGAACCTTGTAGACATAAAGCACCTCCTATAGAGTGCCTACTCAAAAGCACAACTCCGTACGAAGCACTAGCTACCTTTGTAACCCGGAAAGCAGCCCCTTGAACAACAGGATCCAACTATCTACTTCACCTACTGGAAAGTGAGGCAATACAAGAAAAGCTTACTGATGAGTCCCGACGAAGTTAGAACTCTCGAAAGCACCAAAGCCGCCTACAGTCACTTCGTTTTACTATGCGTTCTTATTTTTTCAACTTTCCCATTAGAAAATCAAACATGCACTCTTTTGGACAGAATCCTAACTCCGTACGAGCTAGATACAACACTATACACACGAATTTCATTATTATTTTTTCGAAATTTCAAAACCCATTTCAACAAAAGGGGGAAACAGAGGGGAATAGGAGAAATCCCCGACTTTCACCATACAAAAACAGGAGAAAAAGCGACTTTTCTCACAATTACACCTACGTACGTACGCACATGTCACAAGAATGGCACACGAATCACTAAGAAATCTACTGCCATTTTGGTCTATCTTAGGCAAAGAGGCAAAAACAACGAAAACCCACTGCACCACAAGTCCGTACGCCGAAATCCCAACCCAAACAGCATTTCCACCACCATTTCTCTGAGCTCCCTCCAACGCCAACTTCCGTGCGTGGGCCCGAGTCCCAGCACGCTCCCCAGGACGAGGATTATCATCCTTCGGAGGAGTAGGCTCCTGGTCTTCTTGAGAGGAATCTACTTAAGTTAGCTCGTACGGACATATGAGAATGTCCAAAGGTACATAAGTAAACAGGGAAAGGAAGTACTCACGAAGAGATCAGCAGGCTGCCCGGTGTTTCATGACGCAGGAAGCGCAGGCACCACCCTGCAAATTCCCAAAGGATATGCATACTGTGAAGAAGGGAATCTGCCGAGATCCCTCCTTCTGCTTGGCTCTCCCCCCCCACGCCGCGTATTTCCCTCCAAACTGTGCTCCAAAGCCCATCGCAAGGCATAGAGCAAATAGCAAGACCTAGCTAATAAGGCTAAAACGTATCGTAACACCTCATCTGTGGCTGTGGCGTGGTTCATACACCCCCTTTCAACGCATCTATATCATCATAATAATGCATCGCTAGCATAGCGGTAAGCCCAACAGCACACGGCACCGAGAGCCAAATCATAGTTGGCAGAACAGTGAAGAAACCAACTCCCTCCCCACATAGCCGTTCGTGTCATTCATACACGACCCTCATTCACTCCTCAACAGCCACAACAAGCACTTCCCCATCTACACCATCATCGTCGTCTGCGGCATCAGGGCTTGCGCGGCGCGAGAGCATGCTCATACCCATGTGCATAACCGGTGCAGGGCTCCTGAAGACGCATTAGTTTTGATCTTACACCAAAAAAAAGGGGGGGGGGAATAAAACCCACTCAGACTTCCTCTTCCTCACAATCAGCCCAACACTCCCCCCTCCCCCACCCCTCCCAGGACTATTACTACACCCCCCCGACCCCGTCGGCCCGGGACTCCCACTCCCCCTCCCCCCCAGCCCCGGACTCCCCCGATGATGACTAGGACTACACTTCACCTTCCTCGCCTTACACTCCCCACACGCCCCCAGCCTTCTCACCGCAGCGGCATGCTCACGCTGCTCTTTGCTCAACTCCCTCCTCTTGGGCCTCTTCTCCACCGAACTCGCCGGACTGCCACCTGCTGCTCCGCGTCCCTCGTCTGCACTACCAACTCGCGCAGCTACGCTGGGTAACGGCATCCTCGCGGCCGCCACCATCACTCCCGCCCCCACTCCCTCCCCCGCCGCAACCCCCACAGCAAGAGGCCTGCGATAATAACTCGCCAACTCCCTCTCCTTCTCCTCCTCACTCTTCGGGGGACTCGCGACCCTCCACGCCGCCGACGCAGCCGGAGGCGGATAAGGCGGTAGCGGCGCTCTCCTCCCCGGGGTGGCATTCGTTGTCGTCATCGACGGCCCCACATCCTCTGCTAGCGGCGACTTGACGGGTGGATTGTCGGTTGCAACACCGCTATCCGTCCTCCTCCTCTGCGCTGGTGGCGCGAAGCCATCACCACCCCTATACCCCACCTCAGCACCTCCATACCTCATAGCGAGGAACCCATTAAACCCCCCTTCTACATTCCCCGCCCCAAGACCGAGGAGGAAATCCTTAGTGTGCCGGATACAGCTCTTCGCCCACCCATCGCGATTCACGAGACGCTGTGTCGCGACGAGCGCGTCGCGGATGGGTGGTTGCACGGTGGGGTTCGCGTCACGCGACCAGTCCCTGAGAAGAGGGTCGCGGAGCTCGAGGGGCTCTTTGGGGCACCAGGCGGAGAGTTTGGCGGACCATGCGAATACCGACACCAGGATCTTATGCGCGGTCGCCAACCTCGCCGCCGCATCATGCGGGGACGATTGGTGCGGTACCGGTGTGTCGATCAACAGCGTCTTGGTGATTGAGAAGAGACACAAACTGTGAAACGCGGCCAGCCATGCGGAGGGGGGGAGTTCTTTGCGGTTCGTGAAGCGCGTGTCGAAGGCGAGGAGGAAGGCTGTTAGGGGGGTGGTTAGGGAGGGGGGGTGGTTGGGGGGGTGGAGGCGAGGGCGAGGCGGTAGCGGATTGCGGTTAGGAGGAGGGATTGGGCGAGGGCGTAGAGGTGCCAGCTTGAGGGATCGTTCTAGGGTGTGTTAGTTGGTGTTCATTTTATAGTTTGGACGGGGTTAAAGAGGGGGGGGGTGGTGACAGAAAATAAAAGGGGGAACATACACAAGCACCCATAGCATCCCTCCCCACCCTCAAAAGCGCAAACGGATTATAAGCCGTTCGTCCCAAATACACCCTATCCAACACCGTCGCCTTCAGCAACCCCACCGCAGGCCCATACTCCCCCAACAGCCGCTTATACGCCACATCCGTCAGATCGGGCGTCGTATCCATGACGTCCGCGCTATTGATGGACGATAGCTTGTGTCGCGAGTCCCAGAAGTCGTCGTCGAGTGAGGCGAATCCGGGGTGGGATGTTAGAAGGTAGTCGAGCTCGGCGGCCCAGAAGATGTCGGTGGTGGTGGTGGTGTCGGTTGCGGAGTGGGGGGGTTGTTTGAAGCCTGGTGGGGAGGGGTTAGGATGCGTTAAATAAGATGTAAAGGGGGGACGAACCGTGTAGACACTTCCTCACCATCTCCGTCAGCGGGCCGTGGAAACAACCCAGCGCTTTCCATAGATCAGGCGCCATCACATCCTGCTGCGGACACTCTTTACAAGGGTTCTGGCAATCGCACTGCACAAGTCGAGTCGTCAGCAACCACGCCACACCACACCCCCCCACACCCACCCACACCCATCGATCCACCAGATCAGATCAGAAAGACATACCTTCTTCTTCAAAACCTTACACCTCAAACACGGCCCCGCCATCCTCACCGCCCCCAACCCCCCCGCCCCCCGGGCAAACTCAACCTCCCCCCCCCCTCCTCCTCCCCTCCGCCTCAGGGGTAGGGAGTAACGACGTCCTCTTTGAGAATGGGGATGCAGGCATATTCCCATTCCCATTCCCATTCCCATTCCCATTCCCATTCCCCATTCCTGCCACACTCCCCTTGCGGCCATTAACCCCCTCCATCGTCTCTCCCTCGCTCGAGCCTTCACGACTTCCCATCCCCCCAACGCCAGGAACGCCGTCTTCGAGACTCATACCCGATGTGTGGTGGCGGACTACATCTTCCCTCCTCGCCTCCTCGGCGTCTTCGTGCAGGCCCATATGTCTCCTCAGCGCCTCGACAGTCTCAAAGCCATAAACGTAATGTTTACACCCCAGCTCATAACACTTGTACTTGCCGCCCACGACAACTGTAGCGGCCCCCTCCCCATCCTCTGCGTCTCCATCCCGCGCCTCGGTCTGGTGGCTCAGCATCAGAGTCTTGAATTCCTGGTTATTAGCCAGCCAATCCTTGAACCTCTCGAGGTGGTCTGGTGACGGCTCGTTCTGGAGGCGTCGGTCGAGTGCGTCGCGCGCTTCTGTGTCGTCGCCTAGGGGGTGTTAGTATCAATGACTGGTGGTGGTCAAGGGGGTGGGTGATGGGTATCACGTGATGGTGATGGTGATGGTGATGGTCATCGTCGACGGAGCTGGTGAGAAGGGGGGGGGGGGGGGTTGGAGGTACCAGTGCGAGCGAGCGAGGCGTGGATACTCTGGATCTGATACTCTAGGTATCTACACTCCTCGGCGTGGAGCTGGATATCGCTTGTGAGACCTGCTCGGGGTTAGTTTGGGATTATATATATTGCTTTCTTTCTTAGTAGAAGGAGGAGGAGGAGGTGGTGGAAGGGTGGAAGTCACGGGATCTCAGGTGAAAGAGAGGGGCGGGGAGGTGTATGGATGTGAATGGCGATGAATGGCGATGAATGGCGATGAATGGCGATGAATGGCGATGAATGGCGACGAATGGCGATGAATGGATAGTACTACCTTTTGCAGAAAGAAAATCGTGCATTAGCGACAGCCTCAAAGAAAGCATGTCCCGCTCCCGCGCCCAGAATGATTCATCTACTATGCGCAGGGTGCGGCCGTGGCGGGGGTCGCGACGACGCGCCGTGGTGACCATGGCGTGGCGGATGTATGTGGGATGTGGGATGGGTTGATTAGGTAGGTTGGGTAGATGGGTGGTTCGGTGTGTGAAGTGTGTGTTTGTTCGGCGTGTATTTGTTTGTTTGCGTGGAAGGTAGGACGATAGTACAGTATAGGTGAATATGCTCGGTGTCGGTGTGCGTATGTATGTACTTCCCGATGCAGTATAGTAGTCCTCGGTCTCCCTCTCTCTCCCTCGGTGAGGCCCAGCAGTCAGCAGTGAGCAGTCAGGAGTCCGCAGTCAGGAGTCAGCAGTTAGCAGTCAGCAGTCAGCAGCAGTCAGCAGTGTAGCTAGCAAGCTCGGAGAATAGCAACAGTAAGGTAAGGATCGTGGGGAGAAAAGGGTCGAAGAATTGTAGGGTAGAAAGGGAGAAAGGGAGAAAGAGGAGAAAGAGGAGAGAAGGGAAGGGGAAAGGGGAAGGGGAAGGGGAAGGGGAAGGGAAAGGGAAAGGGAAAGGGGAAGGGAAGGGAAGGGGAAGGGAAGGGGAAAGGGAAAGGGGAAGGGAAAGGGGAAGGGGAAGGGGAAGGGAAAAAAGGGAAAGGGGAAGGGAAAGGGAAAGGGAAAGGGGAAGGGAAAAAAGGGAAAGGGGAAGGGGAAGGGAAAGGGAAAGGGGAAGGGAAAAAAGGGAAAGGGAAAGGGAAAGGGAAAGGGAAAGAGGGAAAAGAAAGAAACAGAGTCACGCCGACGGGCAGGTCGGCGTGGGCTGGGCTGGGCTGCGGTGTGGTGGTGTGCGCGGCGAGCAGCGTCGGCCTGTCGTCGGGCGGTCGGCAGAGGGGAGGGGAAGAAGCGGGAGGAGAAATAGAAATGTTAGAAATGTTACAGTGAAGAGTTACGGGGACACGCTGACGGACGTCAGGGCTTCACACTCTTTTCAGCTGGACCCCTGGACCCTTTTCTTTCCTTTCCTTTCCTTTCCGTTCCCCGCCGCGCCGATGTCTAGCCTCGGGGTGGATGTACACTCTCATACTGAGTAATATCCAAGTGTACATCCATATTCTCAACATATTTATTTACCTTTGGCCGACCTGTGCCGTGTCTGGCGTGGCTGAGCCGCCCCCGCCCCCGCCTCCGCCTCCGCCCCCGCCCCCGACCCCGACCCCGATCCCATTAATTGGGTTAAATGGGGGCAATTTTATCGTAGGGGGCGGGGGGGAATGGCCGAGGGAGAATGGCCGAGGGAGAATGGCCGAGGGAGTGTCTATGCCCCGACAACATGTGAGTGGGTGTCCAAGCCAGGCCACGCACGCACCCATCTTACTATCTTACATCCGGTATCGATGCCCGTCTTGATTGGTGTCCCCCCCCAGCGCGTTCGGTCTCGGAGGTGGCCGGGTGGCCGGGTGGGGGAATGCGCTGTGCGCTGTGCGCTGTGCGGTGATGCGCTGTGCGGTAAGCGGTGATGTGCTGTGCGCTGTGCGCTGTGCGCTGTGCGGTGGGGGAGGGGTGCGGCGTGCGTGGCCGGGCTGCCCGGGCTGAGGCGGGCTGCGGCGTGCCGAGATTGGGATTGGGAAGAGGGGGGTTGGTGTGTGCGCCGGCGAAATGAGGGCAGTAGTGACGGAGAGGGTGAGACACATCATCATCATGGCTAACTCGGTCTGTCTATTCCGATGAGGCACGTGATGGCTGGTTGGCTATCTATCTGTTCGCGTGTCTAAAGACCAAAAGACCGCCAGTAACAGGCGGCAGCATGTCACTGTGTGGCTGTGATCCCGTGACTAGCCGCGGCCGGCCGCCTGTATTCCGCCGTGTTGATAAGGAAGTATTCCCTACGAGATCACGTGACTGTTACAACACACTCCCCACGAATCTCTGTACGATTCCCATAGTAAATTGTATGAGGAAATCGGAGAAAGGGTTGGCTATCCTCCCCGATGATTCACAGCTACGCCCGTTAAATAGCGGAGAGGCGGGGTCTTCTGACTGGGTGCCGCCGGAGTGGGAATAAATGATACCTTGGAAGATCAGCTCAGATCGATTTCTCATTTATAGCCAATATATAAAAGGCGGATATACCATCTTTAGCCACGGCGATGGCGACGGAGATGGGAATGACACGGTTAGGGCCGCGAATTGCAGCTTTGTCGAGCCATTGCTCGAAAGCAGACATATCACTTAGAGAGGCCATGGTTATCAGAGCTACAGGAACACATACTTACATAAATGATAGATCCTTGCCATCTTACCCACTATCACGATGATCTCGCCATCGTCATCCCACGTTGAGTTTCGGCTGTCATGTTACCACATCATACATCCTTATATCTACATGCGCAGACATGTGGTGGGAAGAGGGGGAAGGAGGGAGAGAGATATGAGGAGAGGTAGGGCGAAGATAAGAGATGCCGATGGAGGCGGACAAACCTACTATTATAAAGCCCTCACCGAGGGTGTGTCGAGTCCACATATCTGCTCTTTTGCGGTCCAATGGCCCGCAAAAGAACCCGATATCTGTTGTGAGAATAAGAAAAGATCGACCAGGGACGTGCGAAATCACACGTGAGGGGGGCTATATAAGAGTCGGAATTATCATACAAGGTACAGTTTTCCTTTTTCCCGCCCTGCCCAAGACGTCCTATCGTATATCTACACGAGGCCAACCATGGTTGTGCCTGCTTCGGCATGCTGTTATGCATCAACTAGAGCTAGCCACAGTAATTTCTGTTTCGAAGATCTCTTTGCGCCTCGTAAACTGGTGGGAATACCACACCGGCCTATCACTCGGGGGTGTCTTCCCGACTCATTATCTAGGAGTGATGTAAATCGCAGCCTATCACTATGTCCTGCCGCGCGGACACGTAGCTAGCAGGGTCCGTCTAAACGCCCGTCATTCCAGGGGGCGATGGAAATGGTAGCCAATACCATATTCTGCCGTGTTGACATGCACCAATGCCTCACTAGTGATATTCATCCATCGGTTCCTTCCTGTTCTGCGATACTAGGATCTCAACCCCAACATTATTGGGGCGATCCCTAGATGAACAAGCGCATAACAGGCATTTCAATACGAATCCCGGTCCAGTTCCCCGGAGTTACAACTCCACCTCCTCCACCTCCATCCCACACTCCACACACGCTCTGACCGTCCTCCCCGCATCCTCCACCGTTGCTCCCCACTCATGCTCATGCTTCCCTCCGCCAACCTTATCCCCAAACGTACCCCCCGCGCCCCCTTCTCTCGCCGCCCGCCTATAATGCTCCGCCCTCGTCTTCCGTTTCAGTTCTACCAGCTTCGACCTGAACTTCTCCTCCTTGCGCTTCTTCTTATCCGCCTCGCGCCTCGCAAACTCGGCGTCGAGAGCTTCTGCCGAACCCCATTTCGAGGGCCCAAGCGCGTACTCCTCAACCTGGTACCGCAGGAAGAGCATCATGTCGTGCCAGTGAGATTTATGCGGGTTGGGCTTGGACAGATGCGGGAGGAGTTCGGGATCCTTGAGTTCCGCTGCGCCTGTCAGTCTATCATCGATCTCGGTAGTCCAAGTCCGCAGGTACCAAGGGGCATGCGAGCAACTGCCAGCAACCGCCAAGGAGGTCGGGGAAAGGGGGGGAACTCACGATCCGTCAGGAGATAATCATCCTTCACCTCCGTCTTGGTCAACAAGCTGTATTTCTCCGGGAACTTTTCCTTACACCTCGCGCAAACTTCCGTCCCAAACACCTCCTCCCACACCCAATCTATCTCCCAACTCCCACACTCACTACACTTCTTCCTCTTCGCCCCTTCCAACACGCTCAACCCCGGCTCAAACGGTCCTTCCTTCCTGCGTTGCAGTGACTTCTTCAACTGCAATCTCTCCCACTCCGCGAGTGTCATATGCGCCGGCCTCCCTCCATCCCCTGCATCACCGCCCACATTCCCCCTCCCCGCACTTCCCACCCCTCCATCTTCTTCCGCCAGAAAACCTCCCTTCGTATCAACCACAGCGCTAAAATCATGATCCACGAACTTCCTGAACTTCCTCGCTGCCTCTATCCTCGGTTCTCCTGCTGTATCTGCGCGTGCGTCGCGCGACGTCGAGGGGACGGACGAGGCGTATGCGCTGGTTGAGATGGCAGCGGCGGGGCGTTTGAGGGGGGAGACGAGGAAGCCGGAGGGGGTTGTTGTGGTTGTTGTTGAGGGGTCTGAGCCTGCGGAGGCGGCGGCGAGGCGGCGGCGGTCGTAGAGAGATTTGGCTTTGAGGCGCTGTTCTTCCTGTGAGAGGGTTAGAGGGGCTATTCAGAATGGGGCGGCGGGCTTACCAGGTGGCGGGCTGCTTCCGGGGTGCGTTGAGGAGGATGGGAGGAGGCGCGCGGAGGAGTTGAAGGGCGCGATGGGTCGGTCATGGTGGGGTTGGTATATGCGGTGTTTTTGTCGTTATGTATAGTGTTGTGAAGTTGGGAAGTTAAAGTTGTGGTAAGTTAGTGGTTTCGGGATTCATGTTTCGGCGAGGCTGAGGGTGGCGGCACATTGACTCACGCGGCTGAGGGCGGATGCCGCCCATGGCGAAGGCAACATCTTTGTAGGCAAGAGGCTAACTATCAGCCTTGGGACAAGTCTCATAATATAATAATATAATATTACTATATTGCATTGTAAGGGCATATTATATTATTTCACTCGATCATAAGCCTGCGGCACATGTGTGGCGTTAGAAAGACTCTTAGTATTATCTAGTTCACAGTAATCGTTAAGTTTTATGACATCGTACTGTACAAACGCTACTACGAAAGCCCCTAAACCATTATGAGCTTCCCAACTTCAATGCAAGTCTATTCCCAATCCCCACGTCTACAACCCCCTACTCCTCCTTAGCACCACCACGGCCGGCCCTCTCGGCAGCCTCAACAGCCTTCTTATCGCTCGCCACCTCGCCGCCCTGCTGAAGTGCGCTCATGAACGAGGCCGCGGCCTTGAAGGGTCTCTTGAGATCGCCCTCAGCTGGCTGTCCAAAGAGGTGGATCTTGACGAGGTTGCCCTCGAAGGCGCCCTTTAGCGGGATGATGGACTGGATGAGGAGCGGGTTGGTATACTTCATGTACAAGTGCATCACGGCCATCATGCCAACACCCATGAGCTGCGACTTGAACAGAGCGCGGAGTTGCTGGATATCGTAGGCGTGGACGGTCGTGGTGACGAGCTTGGGCTCCTCGGTCGAACCCATGGCGGCGGGCTCAACGTACTTGAGAGTCCTAAGGTCTGCACGATGGGGTCAGCAAGGGTATCCTTTTGATATCGTGCTACATATATGACATATAGAGCATGGGACAGACGCAACGTACCCTTCTTCTTGTTGATCTGCGACTGGACGTACAAGTACACCATGACGATGATCACATTGGATGCAACGTACAGTCCACGGACAATGTTGAGGACATCTGGGTTCTCAAAATCGACCTTCTTGGAGACCTGCATCATCCCGAGGATGATGACCAGGTTGGAACTAGATGGCCAGCCGTCAGTATTTCCGCACGGCGCATTGGGGGGGGGGTATTGGTATGCCCTACATTTGCGGACTGATACCCATGGTGACGAGTGCTGCGGATGAACCGGACGAGAGTCAAAAGATATATTTATCTGATGAAGGAGATATTCGGCGACGGCGTAGAGGGATTCGACGTCGATGATGGGGTTGGGGAGAGCTGGGTTGAAGAACCTGAGATATGGAAATGTATCCAGAGAAACGCTTCGCACCAGGTAGACGTAGAATCAACGCCGCACATCACGTGCTCACTCAGCCCATTGGGACTTTTTCGATGTGTACGCGTGTTTTTGTACTTTTGTGTTTCAAATGTCACGTGCGTATGAGGGCAACTTTGTAATTTTGTGCAGCTATCACGTGCCCAGACAAAAGACCGTACGTCAAAGGAAAAAGCAATGTCGCCTCAGGCATCAATCAAGGTCACCCACCTAAATGATCATCTCCCGTACTGGAAGCTCAACAACGCCTTTGGAGGAATCTCGCGCCAACGAAAACTTTCTTTGAACGACAGATATCCACGTCCAAGACAAATTCTCTGGGCGTCAAAATACCGATTTATATCTCAACATTTCTGATTCTCTCGGCCACTATGCGCTGAGAGAAATTGGGCCCGACGACAACCAGCTTCCCGTCCCCTGACGCACGAAGCTGTGATTTTCCGCGTTTCGCAGCCGATGATTGACGATTCGAATCTTATATAAGGTGTCTACAAGCGTGAGCAGCTTCTACGAAGCGCGTTTAAGGCATAGAGCTGCTGTGTGATGGCGTGGCAGGGCCCCCAGGGCTTGGGAGGCAATGGCGGCAGTGGAGATGGCAGCAGCCAGTCCAACCAGCCCCAGGGCACCGAATATACTCTGCAAGGTAGGAGCTGCAGAAATTGCTAAAGCAGAGGGCTCCAGCTGACGGAAGGCATCTAGGTGTTATGCGATTCCTACAGACCGAATGGCATCGCCACGAGAGAGATCGCAACGGATGGGAGATTGAGCGCCAGGAGATGAGGGTGCGCATCGCGTCGTTAGAGGGAAATGGACGGAGAGCAGATGTACAACAGAAGGGGCTGAGGAAATATGTCAGGATGTTAGAAAAGGCACTTGCGGCCGAGCGCAAGAAGGACAAGACAACCAATGGAGTCGCAGAAGAAGTGAAGGAGGGTGAACTCGCTGAAGCTTCAAAATTGAAGCCTCATACTAGGCGTATGTATTCTAAATCTCGAGCCACTAGACAATTTGCTGACATCTCTGAAGCTGCACCTGAGAAGCCGAGCACATCATTCGCAGTCCAGCAACCAGGCGATGCCGACAAAGAGGAGGACCCAGACCGATTGGGTCTGAAGACCTACCTCGACGGGTGTGCGAACGAGTTCACATATCTCATGGTCTCGCCATCCAACCCCCAACCACCGCGCGAGCCCCAAGCGCAACATAACTTGGTTCTGGAGGAGATTGGCCAGGCGGAGCAGGCGGCACAGAGCCAACAGGCGCTAGAGGAGATGTATCTACCAAAGCAGAGCATGCGTGATATCCCCCGGCAGTCTCAGCAAGCCAACCAGCAGGCCCAGCAAAATCTGCCCTTGCGGAATAATGACGCCCAAGCCATTCCAATGGTCCGGGACCAGTATCAACAGGAGCCCGTGCGAGAGCAATACCGGAACCAATCCCAACAAAGTCAACCAGTCGCGGAGGACCAAGTTGCTCAAGTCAACCATACCTTTGACAACTATAGCAGGCCAGCCGAGAATGAGACTGTAGTAGAGCCTCGAAAGGAGGCCCAGACCGAGGCCGACGGCTGGGATTTTGGCGAAACCTCGGAATTCCCCGCGCCCGAGATAAAGATCATGCCGTCGAGACCAGACACCGATGCCTTCCCAATCGCGCCACAGGAGCTACCAAAGTCGCCAAAGAGAAACGCGCAAAGGAGGCGAAGCTCGGGATCACGCAGGAAGAGTGCAGATGGCGAACAACTGAGCCTTGGTGTCGCACAAAAAGTAGACGGCAACTTCAAGGTCCGCTTCGGCCTTAGAGGTCACCTGGATGTCGTGCGATCGGTGATATTTACCGGCGGCGGCAGCCCAGGTGAGCCAGAGCTATGCACGGCCGGCGATGACGGAGTCGTAAAGCGATGGATCATCCCAGCCAGGTACGAAAACGGAATCCACAGCGGCGCAAACGACCTCGACATCCAGCCCTACTTCACTCACCGTGGCCACAACGGTTCAGTCATGTGCCTCACATCCTACTTTCCGTCCGCAAACTTTGCGAGTGGTGGACGAGCCCAAGGTGACGGCTGGGTCTTTTCCGGTGGTCAGGATGCGTCTATCCGCGTGTGGGAGCGTGGTCGCGTAGACCCCAAAGCCGTTCTCGATGGTCATACTGACGCCGTCTGGGCTGTCTGCGTCCTCCCCACCACGTGCGGCGCCATCTTTGGGCAGAATACCGCCTACGGCCCAGCCGACCGCATTCTACTTGCCTCCGGATCCGCAGATGGCACCGTGAAGGTATGGTCCGTCTCCGCCCCACCTACGTTGATGTCACCATCCGGCAGCACTGGCCGCCGCAGCACAGGCCGCCAACGTGGTAACTCAATGAGTTCCGGCTCTGCATTCCCCACCTCGCCTCAGCCAAGCGTTGCCTCTACCACCCCGTTCAACTATACCCTTGTCCACAGCATCTCTCGCGAAAACAGCACCGCGAGCCCGACGTCCATTGCTAGTCTGGGGCCGCGCGGCGAGAGCTTTTGCGTCTCGTATAGTGATGCCGCGGTTCTGGTGTATGACACTCGCACAGGAGAGGAAATGGCTACCATGGCAAGCCTAGAGACATACGACGGCACCACAGCTACCGGTGTTAATGCCGTTGTGGCTACAACCACCGGGCTCGACTCCTCGCTCACCTTTGACGCGTCGCGCGGGCTGTCGGAGGATGACGTGGTCGTTGGTGGCGCAACAGGATCGCAGGCCGGTATCGAAGGGACAGTCATTAGCGGACATAAGGATCGGTATATCCGCTTCTTCGATGCTAATAGTGGTATGTTTTCTATTCCCCGATTCTCATCTCTTCGTCTATCCACCCCTTGATGTGACCCGTACTGATGTTAGATAGGCCAATGTACATACAACATGCTGGCACACCCAGCTGCGATCTCGTGCCTCTCAATGTCGCCCGATGGACGCGAACTTGTATCAGGTGGCCACGACGCGTCGCTGCGATTCTGGTCGCTCGAGAAGCGTGCCTGTGCGCAGGAAATGACGAGTCACAGACTCATGCGCGGAGAGGGTGTTTGCAGCGTGGTGTGGAGCCAGGACGGACGGTGGGTTGTGAGCGGCGGGGGTGACGGCGTCGTGAAGGTTTTTGCTAGGTAGTGAATGGCGGTATACCCGGTGGACGATGTATATGGTATATGATTTCTTGTGCAGTAGGAGCATTTTCGTTGCTTGCGGTGCGTGCATGGGGTGTGGTAATTAGGGAGCGTGGGTGCTTTGGATCGGGTGTCGTAGGGGGTAGAATCTGGGTGTTGTGGTGGTGGAGGGAGTGAGGTGTATATTAGCACATTTGACTGGCTAGAGGAAGAATGAAGTTAAGTGGATGGCCAATCGATCCATTGTAAATGTGATGTCTACGAATTACGGCCTGTTTATGTAGCTGGGGGCAACTATCACAAGTAGGTCAGGTCCGCACAGGATTTTATCATTAATCGCAGAATTCCATCACGGAAACAAGTGAAATTCCACTAGTAAGGAAACTTTTCTAATTGATATTAGGTAGTATGTACAGTGTATATGGATATGTTCTGGCCATGGTTCTCACAACCTATCCAGATCCAATTTCAAAAAACATTAAACTATTTTGAAAAAAATCACTCCAAAACAAAGGAAATATGCTTTTTCTCAAGCCCTTGGCTCGGCTACAACCTCCTTCGTTCCATTCTCCACACCCGTACCGACCTGCTCAACCTTCTCCCCCTTATCTTTCTTGCCCCCTACCATCCCCTTAACCTTCTCAATAAGCCTCGCTGTCCTGCCACTAGTCCTCCGCACGCGGAACAAGTAATACAGGGCGACAGCTCCGAAGATATTGAATATGATGTAGGCCCACACGATCCCGAAATTCCTCCAGCGCTCACTCCACCTAATACCATTCATGCTCAGCTGCTGATCCGCCACGGTAAGTGGACAGTACTCGCAGTTCGCCATCGCCGACGGGTTCATGATTTGGCCTTGGGCTGCCGTGGCGTATTTCTGGAGATAGGCACCACATGACGTGCCAGGCAGCGGCTGCATGACGGCCAGCTCGCGGTCGGAGCAGACGATCTTGCGGTCGTGGAGGCCTGTGGAGACGATACCAGATACGAGGTACGTGAACGGGGAGACGCGGTACATGAAGATCCAGAAGCCTGGAAGGGCCTGCGGAGGCTGGAAGACACCGTTGAAGGTAAGAATGAGCGAGAAGAGAAGGGTTGAGATGCGGGCTGCGGTTTCGGCATCGGGCAGAGCAGCGATGAGCAGATGCGCGTAGGTGCTGGAGAATATGAAGAGCTGGATGCAGTAGAGCAGGATAAGGCCCTGGCGCTCGGATGACTGGAATCCGCCGAGTGTGTAGATGGGGTAGTAGTAGCTGGCGAAGACCAGGATGCCAAGGAGGACCTGGTAGGGGATCTCAACGAGGATGTTGGCGGTGATGAAAGCAACCCAGGAGTAAGCCTTGCTGGGGCGCTCGCGCACCTCGTACAAGTCACGCTGGAGGACAAAGCGCGGTATGATCTGCTGCACCATACTTGACAGAATGGCCGTCAACATGAAGATCGAGAAGATGATATCCTGCAGGCCCTGGATCGACGCATCTGCATGGAAGAACGAGAATCCGATGAACAGCGCCGAGATGACTCCGAGCACGAACTTACTGTACACGTAGCCTGGCGTGCGCCAGTACTGCGCAAAGACGCGAGTGGTTACGTGATACAGTTGCGTTAAGAATGGCATAGCAAATTCGTTGTGCGAATCCTGAGCTTCTTGCGAAGGCTGAGAGCCCATCTCTGTCTTGATGCGGGCGAGCTCGCGTTGGACACTGACAGATTCCTCGCTCCGTTTCCAGACTTCGTGCCAGTCTTGCGTTGCATGTCCGGAGGCACCTGCACCAACCATTGTGAGCATGTACTCGGCAGGGTTCTCCTCTGGGTCACACGGCGGCGCGCCGTTTCTCTCAAAGTAGCTAAGCAGGGTCTCCGAGTTCTTTCCAATATCCCCAAAGTACACGGTCCTACCGCCCTTTGCGAGGAAAAGGAGTCTGTCGAACTCTTGGAAGAGAATTGCAGAAGGCTGATGGATAGTCGCCAGAACAGCCTGTCCGTTATCCGCGAGCTTGCGCAGGAATGCTATAATTGCCCATGAAGACTGCGAATCAAGACCCGATGTTGGCTCATCCAAGAATAGAAGCAGCCCCGGCTTCGCCGCAAGCTCGACTCCAATAGTGAGCAACTTGCGCTGCTCGACATTCAGTCCCTCACCGGGCACACCAACAACGGCCTCAGCGAAGTCCTCCATATTAAGCATCTTGATGACGTCCTCCACGAATTCTTCCTTCTCCTTATTCGACACGCTCTTCGGCTGACGCAGGTAAGCAGAGAAACGAAGTGCCTCGCGCACGGTCGAAGTTTCCAGGTGCAGATCCTGCTGCTGAACGTAGCCGGTCTTGCGCTGGAATGATGCATCGCGCGCCTTGCCCGATACCAGCATGTCGCCTGTAATGACACCCATGGACACGCGCCCCGCCAGCACATCGAGCAGCGTTGTCTTACCCGCACCCGACACACCCATCAGTGCCGTCAGGGTACCGGGTTTGACCCAGCCACTGACGTGGTCGAGGAGGCGTCGTTCACCGCCCTTGACGGGCACATCGTAGCATACATCTTTCCAGCTGAAGACGTCGGTTTGCGGGTCGAGGACCTTGACGGTTTCATCCTGTTGCCTCTCAGCGGCCTCGTCGTTACGGCCGACCGCGAGCGCGTCGCCGTTCTGGACCTCCTCATCGGTGTTGGCCCCCTTCTCGCCCTCAACCATCTGCCTCGGCGCATGGCCACGGCGGAACACAAGGACCTCGGCCGCGCTCTCAGTGTTGCTGTTGAACTCGGTGGCGAGCATGTACGTGAAGAAGAAGAAGATGGTGAAAGCCATCAGGATACCAAAGTTGCGCCACACATGGCTGAAGTGGTAATCGTACGCGGCAGCGAGGAAACGGTCGCCATTGACGGTGCGCTCGCCCGCGACGGCGCCGGCGGTTGCGCAAACGAAGGTTGGGCCGGAGAGACCGGGGTAGGCGGGAACGAGCTGCGAGCAGTCAAAGTCCTGACCGTGCAGCTCGTTGGCGAGGAGCGCTTCGAAGGTATACTGAACCGGATTGAGATACATGATCCATTTGAACCAGGGGTGCATCAGCGGGCTTGGGATGACGTAGCCGGTATAGATGACGATGGCGAGAACCAGGACACCGGCAATCGCATGGGCTTGGGCTTCGGTTCGCGTGGTGGCTCCGATGGTACGAAAGACCATGCTCATCGTGAAAATGGCGACGAAGTTGAACAGGAAGAAGATGAAGAATTGCCCTGGCGTCCGCCGCAGTCCAGCGAGGAAGTACAGTATAATGTTGAAGGCGGTGGAAATGACAAACTTGACTGGTAAATCTGACACCACGCCAGCCATTGCTTCAGCAAACGGATGATAGAAGGCATACGATGCCTGCTTAGACACGATCGGACGCTGCTCATAAAGCTTATTAATTTCCGTGACAGCCATCAGTGCATTAAGCAGGACCGCAAAAAACAGAACACCACCCTTCTGGAAGAAGCTCTGCGTATTACTGGGAGTATTATAGAAAATACTCCCAATAATCAGCGCCATGATGGTCTGCCCAAAGATAGCGGTCATCGTCGAGACCTTGTCATTCCATAGCCGCTGATACGCGCGCTTCGTGCAGTACTTGACCTGCATCGATACGCTGACCGTGTACGGCGACTTGGGACGCTGGTGCTTCGACTGCATCTCCTTGCGGCTGTCATAGAACTCCTGCAGCGTAGGTCCACCCACCGGGTGCGCCGCCTCGTGCTCCTTGATCTCGGCCTGTAGCATAGCATAGGCCGCGCTGCCGCGCCAGTACTTCTCGAAGTCCTCGGGCGTGCGAGGCACACGGTCCTCAAAGCCGGGGCGCGCGCGTCGCTCAACGGGGTTCGTGACCGAGGTCAGGAAATCACCCGTGGTCTGTCGTGGCGGACATTCGTAGCCCATGTCGAGGAAGTACTGCTTAGCGTTCTCACAGGCGCCAAAGTAGATCTGTCTTCCCTCGTACAGTACAACCGCCTTGTCGAACTCGTCATAGATGGCCTGACTGGCCTGGTAGATAGCAAGCAGGTGCGCTGCGCCTGTCAGATTGCTGCTCATACGCAGGGCGCGCGTGAACTCGAGCGCAGTGGCGGCGTCAAGGCCACGGGTAGAGTTATCCCAAGCAGCGATGGGGGCACGCGAGAGGGCCATCTCGGCGATGGATACACGCTTGCGCTCACCACCTGAGACGCCACGGACGTACTCGTTGCCGACCATGGTATCGTACGTGTGCGATAGACCGAAGACGGCCATCATAACGCGGGCCATGTGGTCGGCGCGTTCCTCGCGGGAGAGGTCCGTAACGTGGGCTTGGGATGTGCGGACGCGGGAGGCAAAAGTGAGAGTCTCGCCGACGGTAAGATGGGGGAAGTGCTTGTCGACTTCTTGGTTGTAGCAGAGTTCTCCCTTGAAGTGCTTGGTCATGAGGTTTTGCGGGATGCCGTTGTAATGGATGATCGAGTCCGAATCGACTTTCAAGCCCTTCGTCTCGCCCATCAACGTCTTCAGTAACGTGGAGCACCCGCTGCCAGGCCGTCCAAGCACAACCAACAACTCTCCTGGTTTGACAACTCCCTCAAACTTATTAAGAATGACCTTCTCCTTGCCTCTCCCAAATACCTCCCCCAACCTAAATGGCATCGCCAGCGTCGATCCAACAGTTTTTTGCAGCATCAGACCCTTCCCCGCTCCTGTCACCCTCAGGTCCTTAAATACAATTCCCGCCTTGCGTTGGGCAATCCCCTTCTCGGTGCCCAACCGCACCATCACACGCGCCCATTTATACGCATCGAAGTTTGGGGACGATGGGTCCAATGCAGGATCTCCAGGCCCGAGCTCAGCATATGTGTCCCGACGAGACAGCCTCGAAGCAAGACGATGCAGCTCATCGCGGTCGGTTGGTCGAACGGAGTCGACAACGCCGCTCCGGCGGCGTTCGCGTGCGGCGGTGGCGGTTGTGGCAGTGGGCCGTAGCGGCGCGTACTGGGTGCCTTCGCCGTCATCGTCAATGTCTACTTCATCAAGGTCGGCTTCCTCGTATGCGAGGGGGTGAGGCCTGTGCTCTGCGTCTGTATATACGCTCAAGTGGCCGATCCCTTCAACCTTTGCGTCATCGAGCCCGTGGTGAGGCGTCGAGTGGCCGTTGGAAGCCATTACGGCGTTAATTATTCTCAAAACGCTCAATGTGTTCTGAATTCCGTATTCAAAGCTCAAAAAAGATCTCGTTATAGCTCCTATGGTAGTTGGAGATGGTAAGATGAGTAGTTGGAGAATTGAGATTTCTCCTCCTTCCTCTCCCCAACGGGGGGAACCATCATCCCTATATCATAAGCCAGAGACAGTTTTCCAATTCCGATCTAAACAATGCCGATCCCCACCATTGACGGCATTGGATTGGCCCTGGTCGCCCTGGATCCTAAGTTCGCCCAGCGCAGACACCGCGCTGGGCTTTAGCTATAAAGCATGTCGTCATAGAAGGGCCCGCCACCACCCACGGATGTCTCGACGGCCGTCTCGCACCGATGTTATGCAGTCGTTCGGAAGTATAATTCGTCCATAATCGATGAATAAACACGTTATCCAGGAAAGACGCTGTAAGGAACACCGGGAGGACGAAAATTTGGTGGAAAATAGTGAAATAATACTGGAGCTGGAATTGGGATGTTCTGGTTCCGACAAGCTATTTTCTATTTTTGTGACTGCGACTTTCTTTCGGTGCCTCGGCCATGATAACCCCCAACTCCGATTCGCCAACAGTACCATGCATTGGCTTAGCCTTAGGAGATGGATTTTGCTTATGAGAGCATAATATCCCTGTAAATGATAAAATACCGGCCGTAAGCAAAAAGCTTATTAAATCTCCGTAAACAAACCCTTCACTCTGCATAAAAAAGCCACGCAATCCCTTCACAGGCCCATTTATATCTCCAATAATTCCAATACTCCAGCTCTTGGCCCACACATGATACGAGGTGAGACGAAGGAAGACGGAATAAGACGTAAGAAGATGAAATAAGATTAACTTTGACCGTTGAGCCGCGAAGACCCGATCCTCTACGATGTCTCAGTGGCAAAAGTGACGAATGCGAGTGACCATCATGAGCTGGCGCACAGTGGAACACTTCTAACCCTACTATCACTACTAAGTACTAAGACTTAGGAGATAGCACTAACATCGCGATTAACACTAAACTTGCCGGGTGGGCTCGACGGAGGAACGAACAATGCGCCTAGATCACGGTGACCACGCTGGTTGAGTGCCGGTCGGAGAAGGCGGCGAAAGGGCCGATGTGGGGTTGAGGTCGGGGTTGGGACTGATAGGTGAAGATCGGGGGGGGTGATGCTGAGGCTGCTGAGGGATGAAAATGGTCACTAGATCGATGATGGATACAGACGGGCGAATGGAAGTATATTAAAACACTATTTCCTCCCCCCTTTCCATTTCACTCGTATTTTCCACTTGTCTCCCATCGCGCCTTCCCTTACACCTACATCCGGTCCTTCGCGCCTTCCCTCACCACATTCAGTGATAAGCGGTCTTCGTCACCACTGGTGCTTGCCACCACTGTCCGACATGGCAACGGCAAGCGCGCTCGATCTCGTCGTCCTGGAAGTCCTTGAGCTTCGGCCACTTGGGCAGGTACGTCTTGCAGCGCGAGTTACCGAGTCTGCCGCCGTAGTTGCCCAAGGGGCCTTTGTCGCCGAGGCTGCGGGCAACCCAGCGGTTCTTGATGGTCGTTGTGGTCGTGATAGCGCTGGATGTGTTAGTACGTGTCTCTCCATGCCGCATCACTGAGATATTTGTCGACTTGGGGGGAAGGGATAAACGAGAAAGAAAAGGGAACACTCACTCAATCTGCTTAACCTTCAACCACTCATAGCAAAACTCTAAGCTATCCTTCCTCTTGTTCCAAAAGCAACCATGGAAATCAAACACCAACCTCGGCGGGCAAGGGGGCGAAGTTGGTGCTACCGTCACCACTGGTGGTGTGGTCCCAGAGGGAGTTGGGTACTGGCAGTCATAGACGTTGATGCGGTCCTTGCCTCCGCACTTCTGGCTTGGGTTGCCTGCACAGGGCATATCGCACTGCTCGTTTCCATCGGGCGCCGGCACACCAGTTGAAGCAAGGGAAGCCGCACACCAGCACTCCTTACCATACTCTGTTCCAGCGAAGCGGAAGCCAAGGGCGATACAGGCAGCGGTGCATGTCTCGTGGGACTGGTTGGCATCACCGCCCTCGACGGAGGTTTTCAGCGTGCGGCCAGAGGTGGAATCCGTGTAGCATCCAAGGGACTTGCAGCCGTTGACGTTCGGCGGCTTGGGGATGGCGGCAGAGCAGTCCCAGAGATCGAGATACTCCTGGCCACCGCAGGTCTTTGAGGAGTCGCCAGAGCAGGGGAAGGTGCACTTGGATGCGTCGATGACTGGGGGGGAGACGTTGTGAAGGACATCACCGCACCAGCACTCGAAGCTGTATTCGAGGCCGGCGTACTTGAGACCGGCGGCTAGGCAGATGGCGCGGCAGGACTCGGGGGTCTGGGCACCCTCGTTGATCTGGGAGTTGAAGGTGAGGACGCGCGATGGGAGGCCGATGGGGTCGGCGTAGCAGCCGAGATTGACGCAGGAGGTTGCTGTGGAGGTTGGGCCCGAGGTAGTGGTAGTGGGTTTCTTGGTCGTGGAGGTGGTGCATGGCGGCTTTGGGTGTCCACCGCCGTTGTGGCCTCCACCAAGGCCAAGGAGACCGCCTATGCCTCCAACGATACCGCCGAGGAGGCCACCGAGTCCGCCGAGGTTGACTCCCACACCCACACCCACACCCACGCCTACTCCCACGCCCGCATTGCCGTTATCGGGGTTTGGGTTTGGGTCTGGGTTCGCTTTCGCGTTGGCCAGGACGACGAGGCCCGCAGCAACAAAAGAAGCAGAGATCTTCATTGTGAAGGTAGGTTCGAGATGTTTCGAGAAGAAGTAAGACAGATGTGGGTGGGTAGAAGGAGGTGCGATCCTAACAGCAGATCCCCCTCTCTAAATACCCCTTTCCTCCTTCACTGACGATGCCTCACCTCACAACCACGTGCCGTTCTTGTCTGAATTCTCGCAGTTGACAAACACAGCTTCAGGCTGCATCCCCTGGTCTTTCTGCCATGGTATGCCTCGCTTCGGTACATTCCGCGCGCGCTCTGTTGTTCATTCCTCACTCTCGTACCTTTTTTCAGCCCCGCTCCCGTCCGTCTGCAGGTCCCCAATAAAGCCTGCAGGGGCAATATTGCCACCTTGCTCCATTGCTTATCCGCATCTGGACGGGCTGACCCCTACAGACCGTGCATGGTCCCCGTCTTCCTATCTGGGCACTCGTGGTCTCTGCCAATCTTCTCTGCAAATGCGCATGTGGACTGGGCATGGTCAGTGCCGGCGCCTTGTTGGGAGAATACCAGTCACTTATCCCACGGTAGATGAGGGCATATACCCAGGGAGGTAGTATTGAGACGTAAGCGCCTGTATGGGGCTCGGACGGGGCCACCAACAAGCTGTCCTGGAAAGAGAAAGGGGGAAATAAAATGAATGGAAAGGCTCGGTAAGGGACGACAGGAATGTGTTGACCACGGACCATATTGAGTATAATTTGCACAGTATGCATATCCTTCCAGTGTGTATGGAGCATATTGTGCATACCCCGTACATAACTATAACTGCATATTCTTCCTGGTTCGCATCTCATCCACACAGCATAGCGTCGCACAAATCTAGCACTTTGCTCGTTTCCGACGAGCTCGATAGAGGTCGATATAAGACAAGTCTGACCTTGGCCAGCGGATGGGTGACAATGATCAAGACCGAACACTTTAGCACAAGTGAACTATCGAAGCGCTAACCCTGTTTAACCCCAAAACCTGTGCCTGTCTGTGCGCCGGCTGATCGTCAGGGTCTGCTGCGCCGTGGTTCTCCAGATCAGCGTGTTTATATGATATGTTTATATTGGTGCCGATGTGCCTGTGTTGCTATGACCTATGGCCTATGGCGGCGGGGCATGTGAGCTCCGATTGGCGGGGGGGAGGATGGAGAGGCGCTTCAGAAGATAGGTCGGGAGGATGCATCGAGTTCAGGGAGATATGCTTCAGTTCGCTAACTTTGTCCTGTTCCGCCACTGACCAGCCGCCTTGTCCGGCTTCAGGGCCCGAGGCCTTCTGTGCCACCACTGCGAAGCTCCCGTGTCCAGCTGCAAGGCTACGCGCCCATCTGATGTGCCCTACAGCGCCTGCCCGATCCGAGCCGACGGAGAAAGCTGCACGTGAAAGATGATCCCTCATGTCTCAGGTCGTTCCAGTGCACCACAACATGGCAGTCACCGGCGAGTCTCACAAACCCACCCGCCAAGTTTGAACCACAAGGGACCCTACAGCGTCGTCCCGAATACTTCTCCGCAAAGGCAAGATGCTCAAGAGCGGGTATATTAGAGGGTTTTAGCTGCTTGACCATCGGTTGAATTGACAATTACCGGTTCTAGTAATTGCCACGCTGCCAAGTGAAGTATTCGCCCTAGCCTGAAGTAGTAGTAGCCTATAGCTTCGGTAATATCGGAATGCAACGCTGCCTCCTCAAACTGCGATTGAGGCTTTAGATGTAGATATATATATATCTAATGTTATAATCACTATGCCAACTCATAGGCAGCGGGTTATAATCGCTAAGTTACAGCTGCTGTAGCGATTATATTCGTAGAGCTCTACGGCGGCCACGATATAGACTACCGTTAGAATATCAGCACCACGAAATTGCATCCAGCCAGCCAGATATCATATAACCACTATCGAAACAACTAAGTTATACAACCAATTAAGTGATTAAATTATTAAATAAAATTGACACTATTCTCACTTTAAACAACCCTGAATCCAAATTCTCTTCTGCCCTGTTAGTAGATATGTCCTCATCTAAACCACTAAATCTTATAAATCCAGGCTCATCGTCGTCATCTACCTATGATCCCAACCACCCCATTGTTGAAATCAATTGAATATTGGCTTCTTCTTGGATCTCTAACTCCTGCACAATTTTTTCAGGATTAGGAATTGGATTAAGTAAATCAGGAGGCACCTTCTGCTTTGCTTTTAACAACTAGGTAAGCTGCTGCTTTCTTAAAAGCTCGGCTTTGCAGGCCTTAACACCACAAATATGAAGCTCCTTTTTGACCTTATTTAAGGCTATTCGTGCTCTGAATTTTGACTTCCACCCTTGAGTTTCCTTCTCCTTTTTAGCCTTGTTAGCTAATTTTTTCCTGAGCATCTTTAGCTGTTAATGGACCACACACACGTTGCTTGAACAACATTGTGGCTTTTAACCTTTGCCTTTTGCTAGCTCGCAACGTTTGTAGATAGTAAATCATACTATAGAACAGCCAACTCTCCTTAAGCAGGGACGTTTTTAGTACTGCGCACCTAAGAATCCCATTCTTGTGCCGATGGACTTTATAAAAGGTATGTTGCCTGCTAATGCTGTAATTTGACCTCTAAATGTATAAATTTTGTAGGAGTCTGTAGAATTTACAGTAGTCTATAGCCTTTTTAGACAGTGTATATACCTTCAATTTTTTCAAGGCTTCTTTAGGGTTTATTAGTCACATTCCAGCTTCATGAAATGCTCCTATAATTGTGCCTTTCTTAAATGTTTCCTAGCGGATTTTGCCTAAGTCTCGAAAAAATGAAGCAATATTATAATCAATATTAAGATTTCGCATTGCATATTGAATTGCCTTCTTGTGCTAGTGTTTGTAAGGCTGAAAAACACCAACATCAATCAGCTGCATCATATGTGTAGGATGTGACAGGAGCGGATATAAATGAATATTCATCGCTGTTGCTCATATGACAAACTCTGGTATTGTATGACTAATATAGCTATCTATAAGAAGGACTTTTAATGGTTTATTAGGCCTAGCACTAGAATGTTTAATGAAATGCTCTAAATAAAGCATTGCTAGTTTGCCATTTGTATAACGTACATGTATAGCGAAAGCGCCAAACAAGCGAAAGCGCCAAAATGATGCGGTGACCAAACCCCCCAACTAAATGTTAAATTCCTCAACAACAAAACATGCCCCATAAAAACGATGAAAGCCAATTAGTGCTAGCTATCCAGGCTATGCAAAGCGACCCAAAGTTACGCCTTCGAGTTGCTGCTAGGATCTATTCTGTGGACCACCGCAAGCTAGGTCGTCGTCTAGAAGGTGTACCTTCACGACGCGATATCCAAGCCAACTCACGGAAATTAACTAACCTAGAGGAGTCTGTCCTTGTTCAGTATATACTCGACCTAGCTGCCAAAGGGTTTCCTCCTCGGCTGTCTGTTGTTGAAGATATGGCAAGTCGACTACTTGCAACACGCGACGCGTCACGCGTTGGGTCGCGTTGGGCTTCAAACTTTGTTAAGCGGCGTGTAGAGCTCCAGACACGCTTTCAGCGCAAATACGACTACCAGAGGGCTAAGTGCGAAGATCCAGAAGTTATTAATGGCTGGTTTGAGCTTGTGCGTAACACAATTGCGAAATATGGTATCGATGAAGCAGATATCTACAACTTTGATGAGACTGGGTTTATGATGGGCGTTATCTCAACTGCTATGGTTGTAACAAGCTCAGACGGGCGGGCAAAAGCAAAGAAGGTACAGCCTGGTAATCGGGAATGGGTTACAGTAATCCAAGGCGTTAGTTCTCAAGGTTGGGCAGTACCACCATTTATCATTGTTGCAGGCAAAAACCACCTTACATCTTGGTATGAGAATAGTGGATTTTCAAGCGATTGGGTGATTTCTGTTACTGAAAATGGCTGGACTACAAACGAGAGAGGCATGGATTGGATTCAGCACTTTGAGAAGCATACAAAGGCCCGGAGTGTTGGTGGTTATCGCTTGTTAGTCCTTGATGGTCATGAGAGCCACCACTCAGATGAGTTTGAGGAGTACTGCAAGGAACACAACATTATTACGCTTTGTATGCCTGCTCACTCTTCTCATCTACTCCAGCCACTTGATGTTGGCTGTTTCGGCCCGTTAAAGCAGGCCTATGGTCGGCAAATTGAAGATATGATGCAGGCTCATATTTCTCATATTACAAAGGATGACTTCTTTCCTGCCTTCCACGCTGCATTTAACACTACAATGACGGAAAGTAACATTTGAGGCGGGTTCCGAGGGGCAGGGCTTCTTCCATTTGACCCTGAGAGAGTGATATCTACACTTGATCTTAAGTTAAGGACACCAACGCCTCCAAGCTCCCGCCCAGGTACTGCTCAACCTTGGGTTTCTCAGACACCAAACAACCCAATTGAAGCTATGTCACAGTCTACATTTATTAAAACTCGGATTTCACGCCATCAAAATAGCTCTCCAACCTCAATCTATGCAGCTGTTGACCAGTTTACAAAGGGTGCATCGCAAATAATGCATCAATTAGCACTGCTAAAGGGAGAGAACCAAAACCTACGACAGGCAAATGAAGTACTAAGCAAGCGCTGGAGAGCTAGGAAAACACGACTACAGCAAGGAGGATCACTTAGTCAACAAGGGGCGCAAGAGCTACAGGATGAGAGGGATGTTGTGCAGCAGGTAGAGCAGGAAATAAGGGCAAGCCGTGGTCGGAAGCCAAGGGAAGAAACCCGTGCCCGTCGCTGTGGCAAGTGTGGTGAGACTGGGCACAATGCGCGCACGTGTCAGATTGTAATAGACACCTCTGAGGAAGAGGACTCCGAGTAGTTTCAATTGATTTCTAATGTTGTGGTAGATTTATCGCAATGTTTGTCGTGAGGGTAGATAATTTTGGCGCTTTCGCTTGTTTGGCGCTTTCGCTATACATGTACGTTATCTAGAATTAGAGAGCAATATAAGCTCATTGCTGCTTAGCTTTTCATGATACCAGGACTCTATATGTTGTCATCCTTATACAATAATCACTAGTGGAATCACTTGTCTAATTGCACAGATTGACTCAATTATAGTAATAGACCTGCGATTTTCAGCCATTAGAACATACATCCTAGTACTGCATTATATAATTCTTACGTGGATATGTGGAAATGGCCCTTTAAAACTACCCTCTTTCCCTTTGTATGTGTCATACGCTTATTTATAATGGAGTGTAAGTTGTTAGCATTATGTTAGTAGATGATACTTTGCGCATGAAGTTGTTTAGTCCTAGTTGTCAATTTTTGGATATATCTACAGACTGGTGTTGTAACAGTAATGTCGTCCTTAATTGTTGAATTAAATAACTTATTTACATCTTGCAGAATTGTGAGGTTTAGGTGGCGAGCTATTTACAAAGACTTAATTAAAAATATCAAATTGTTCTTTCTTACTTGGGTGTTGCATCTTGGGTCATCGTACATGTTACGATCGCAGATCACAGAGCTAGCAACTATGGGAACAGGCAGCTATAGTAACCACTAAGGTTACAAGGGATTGCTAAGCGCACAGCTGTATATAATGAGGAATAGGCTCCCCTTCTTCCTTCCTTTCTTCTTCTTCCCTCTTTAGATTCAATCTAGCTTACTCTACCTAGACTAGCATCATGACCTCTATGACCATCATAACAGTACAAAGCGCTCTTTGCAGATTAAAAGGGATTAACTAGCACTATACTAGGTAGATTCAATGTTTTGATGATTGCATATATCTAATCGCACTCGAATATATGCTTCTATCCATTCATACTTCTATATACATACGAGTTGTGCTTGGTTTAAGTATAACAGTGCTGCTGTTAGTCTTTTTTTAAGAGGGCTAAAAATTGCAACATCAAGCGGCTATAGCAAGTGTGATGTATAAGGCAGTAAGATAAGAAGCACAATTCGATTTTAAAGACAGTGTGATATAAAGCTACCACTTATATGTAAATCATAACGTGTTTCACATGTAAGTGGCCTACATAAGCGAGTGGCCTACACAAGTGAGTGACCTAGCTTATTTTACACCAAAAATCACAAACTTTGTAACTAAATATCTTAACAACAGTTAAATAATAAATTATAAAACAATGTACTTAGCCTTTTAATGTATATGTATAGTGAAAGTGCCAAACAAGCAAAAGCGCCAAAATGATGCAGTAAATAAACCCCCTAACTAAATGTTAAATTCCTCTACAACAAAACATGCACTAGAAAAATGATGAAAGCCAATTAGTGCTAGCTATCCAAGCTATGCAAAGCGACCTAAAGTTACGCCTTTGAGTTGCTGCTAGGATCTATTCTGTAGACCACCACAAGCTAGGTCGTCCTCTAGAAGGCTTATTGTTACGACAAAACAAGAAGGCTGGCCAACTACAGGACAGGAAGGAGGGAGGTCGCATGAGACCGGCCCTGGTACCTGGAGGGGCAGCGGGGAATAGTAGTTCCGAAAGTATCACGTGACGGACTCGCAGGATGATGAGAAGAGTCCTAAGAGTCCAGGACTCCGAGGACTCGAGTGAGTTCCCAGGAGTCCACTAGGCACGTGATGGACTCGCAGGATGATGAGAAGAGTCCTAAGAGTCCAGGACTCTGAGGACTCGAGTGAGTTCCCAAGAATCCACTAGGCACGACGCCACTATATAAGTAGATAGTATTTCCTTAGATAGGAGCTTCGTGCTCAACTCAATACAGTATTTGTTATATACTAGTAACGTGTTACTTGAAGCCTTTGTGTCTGATCCCCTGCCTCCTCTGATAAGTAAACCTTTACGCAAGAGAACCTCTGTGTCTTCTATCGTTTAGAAGTCAGCGTTACACAAACCTACAAGTCACTATACATATTTTGGCTTATCACACCAACAACAAGAGCAATACTACTCAACAATTGCTACAACCATCTATGATTCATTACACATCATCGCTCCTTAGTTACTGGGCCGATATTACCACATAGCATATCTCTACAACCCTCTATGATTCATTACATGACATCACTCATACTACCACATGACATATCTCTACCAACTAGAGGCCTAGGAGCATGAACGATAGCTCTAAAAGCTCCTACGAACCTCTATGATTCATTACACGTCATCGCTCTTTAGTTACCCACAAGATTGGTTAAGTTATGACATAATTTGTCTATGACATAATTTGTCTATAGGGGTACTATGTTGGACCTCCTTTTACTTCCTATAGGCTAGGAACCTAAGAGATGGTTCTATGGGATTCTCTTACGTCGACTACAGTTACCAAGCCTGGTAAGTCTTGGAAAGTCTTGGAAAATGAGAGAACTACACTCCTTTAGCATAAATAGGATTGCCCTTTCCTTAAGAAAGGGCAAGCAGACAATACAGTAAATCGACTATCACATACTTCCACGTCTTTTCCAAGCTTCCAAGCATTCATCTTGTTACTCCTTGTTTCTGAAAAGTCAGTGAGGTGTTAACCTCTGACTTACCCCTGAGTTCCCAGACTCAACATTTGTTGCAACTTGTCTGAACCACTTCACTACATCACACACCTGATTGCTGCGTTGTGGAATAGTCTAAGCTACAACCCTTTGGCTCTGTTTCCTAAGACAGTGTGTTGTCTTAGTAAAATCATCCCTTCCTTGGGTGGCTAGATTCTCACATCTGGTGCACTCACCATTACACTAAGTACATATTTTTATAACTTATTATTAAAGGGTTGTTGAGATATTAAGTTATGAAATTCGTGATTTAAGGTGTAAAATGGATTGGCCGGTTCGTTTGTTTGGCCAGTTCGTTATACATGTACGTTACTTGAAAAGCCTTTGTGTCTAATCCCCTGCCTCCTCTGTCAAGTCAACCTTACGCAAGAAACCTCTGTGTCTTCTATCGTTTAGAAGTCAGATTACAGATGGTTATCAACTCCTAGGAGGGGTTCTAGGTCTGTACGACTAATTTAGAGTATCTAGAAAGCGTCTGGAATTGCTCTAGGCTCATAACTGTTAAGTAACGTGTGTCTTCTTCTGTCTTAAGTATGTAGCTGCCTAATATTTAAGTGAGGTCATACTGAGGTCATGTGACCATCTTACAACACAATTATATTTGTTTATTGCCTTATATATTAGGAACCATCACGTGATTTATGTGACGCCTATCGACTATCGCCAATTCGAGGCCAGTGCAACAACCATGAAGTTTAACATCACAACACATAAACCCGCGAACTTTCTCCTCTCATAACCACCATAAAATACATCATGGGTTCTTTATAACCACTCTTTTTTGCTTATCAGGAAATCTTACCTAGGCGCTATCTGAGATTACACTGAAGCTGTCTATTTCCGTGGTTCGTGGCTCTGGTGGATTGATCTGCAGAAACGTTAACATCAGGTGAGTTTGGTATGAAGCTCAGCAACGTTATATATATCATAGCCCGAGCTCAGATTTTCTTCACCAAATGAGCAACTAGTGTTGCCGATTTCTTTATGCATATTCACCTCATTTGTTAGCGATCTACGATCTACGCTACATTCTTCTTATTGGGCCGCTTCACATTTCGTTGGCTTCACAGTAGTGTCATATTAAACTCATGGCCCTTCTGCGAGAAAACAGCTTTCAAACATCTTCTGTGACTAGATCACCTGTTAAGTGGCTGCGGATTGTTGGCATGTTGCTTTATCTCCTACAACACCGACAGCTAAAGAAGACTGTTGGCTGCGATCTCAGGTTCTATTTTCGTTAGGAGATAAAATTACTGTACTAACTCGTCCATAGACTACCCTACACTCGCTGTATCTGACACGGTGCTCTCATAATTACTTGCCTCCATCCTCGGCCCCTTTTGTCGGCGTTGCAGATGAATTGTGAGCTACAACCTGTCGCGTCGGGAATTTCTCTGGTTCGGGTATCCATCCTAGGACCGGCAAATTCTAGCCGAATATGGTGATTATGGATTCCACAAATGGCAGCGATGTTGTCATGGCCGAGGGCGTTCTGGAAAATGGCGGAAATGGCTTTATCGACCCAAGGGATATGCACCTCACCGAGAATGACGACAGCATTGGGCAACTAAATTTTGGAGAAGAAGACGATGCTGCGGATATGTCAGATATTTCTGAACCCTCAGTGGATTCGCAGGCCTTAACTTTTACCGGGCGAAAGAAATACCTGCCCACTGGGTGTTGTTACGACGATCGGATGAAGTTACATGCAAATGCCGATTTCTCCGTTGATCCGCCGCACCCCGAGGATCCAAGGAGGATCTCATCAATAATGAGGGCATTCAAGGAAGCAAAACTCGTTTATACTGGCCCGGAAGAGAACCTTGCAGGGATCTTGAAGAACTCGCCGACCGCGTATATGTATCGGATCGCAGCGAGAGGCGCTACGCCAGCGGAGATCTGCACGGTCCATACGCCACTGCATTTCAAGTGGGTTTCTGACCTCTCTGGCATGTCATCGGATGAGCTGCGTGCTATGAGCAGGGCCCTCGACACAGGGCGAAAGTCACTATATGTTGGTAATTATACCTATGAAGCCGCACTCATTGCCGCTGGGGGTGCCATCGAGACATGTAAGAACGTTGTGGCGGGCACGGTCAAGAACGCAATTGCTGTGATCCGACCACCTGGACATCACGCCGAAAGTGACGAGGCCTTGGGATTCTGTATGTTCAACAATGTTCCCGTTGCGGCGCGAGTTTGCCAGGCCGATTTCCCGGATAGCTGTCGAAAAGTCCTGATTCTTGATTGGGACGTGCACCACGGCAACGGAATTCAGAATATATTCTATGACGATCCGAATGTTCTCTACATATCCCTCCACGTGTACAAAGACGGATCTTTCTACCCTGGCTTCCCCGACGATCCATCGGTGCCTGATGGAGGGCTGGGTAACGTCGGTGCTGGCCCAGGGTCTGGGAGAAATGTTAACATACCGTGGCACGCGCAGGGAATGGGCGACGGCGAGTACCTCGGCGCCTTCCAGAAAATCGTTATGCCCATCGCCCAGGAATTTAACCCAGACCTTGTCATCGTCGCTGCTGGCTTTGACGCCGCGGATGGCGATGAGTTGGGCAGCTGCTTTGTTTCGCCTGCGTGTTATGCGCACATGACCCATATGTTGATGTCGCTTGCTGGCGGCAAAGTAGCTGTCTGTCTTGAGGGCGGGTACAATCTGAAAGCTATCTCGCGGTCTGCTTTGGCCGTGGCGAAAACACTGATGGGAGAGCCGCCGGAGCGCATTGAGTTGCCGCCGATCAACAAGGAGGCGCTGAAGATCCTACATCGAGTTAAGGAGGCCCATGCGCCGTTCTGGGAGTGCATGCAGCCGGGGAAGATTAATGTGAAGGAAGAGGAGGGCCCGGATAGGGTGAGATTGAATGCTGTTATCCGCGCATATCAACATAAGATTCTCCGACAGAAGTACAAGATGGTCGATATGTACGTTACAAGGGATAAACTAGCCAAGGGGCTGGAGTACCAGGTGCTAATCACGAGCGAGTTTACGACGGCAAAGAAGATTCTTCTTATCATTCACGATCCGTAAGTTGTGTTTGACAAGGTTCCGAAAGCATGCTGATGACTGTTACAGACCTGAACTCTTGGCTATCCCTGATCCCATCGATTACTCCGTTGAGCCACATAACTCGTGGATGGTAAATTCTACTACTTCTACTGCAGTGTGTTTCCGTCGAACTAACTTGCCACAGAGCGATGGTATAATGGCCTACATCGACTGGGCCGTCAACAACGGTTACGCGGTCATCGACGTTAATATGCCCATGCACATCGAAGACGCAGGCGTTTGTCTCCCACCCCAGCCAGCCCCATCCATAAAGCTAACATCAGTAGGTGAACATTGAAGAAGAAGGATTTATCGAGCGCCCAACCGAGATGGTGCATCGCGCGCGTATGAAGGAGCTCATGTGCTACCTCTGGGACAACTATCTTGAACTCCACGACTCGGAGCACGTTGTGCTTATGGGTGTTGGCGACTCCTACAGTGCTGTTAGAGAACTGCTCGTGAACAGAGGTATGGATTATTTGTTTCTATTATCTGGTTTTGGTTTCGCGGGCCCTGGGATACTCTCACACGCTCTCCTGAACCATCCCTACTCCCCTCCGAATGTCCACACACTAACTCTCCTCCCAGAGTCCAAGCACAAAGTTCCCCTTGTCGTCTCCTTTGTCTCTGGCTCCCTGCGCCCCGTTCGCAGCGAGACGGACGCCAGTCTTGCGCACTGGTACAAGAAGCACTCCCGCGTGTATGTGGCAGCCGATCACCTGTGCTGGACGGATCCGGAGTTGGAGCGGAAGGTGACGAAGAGCCGGTTCGGGCGCGTCGTGAAGAGCGGAGTGGAGGGGCTGAACAATATGCTTCGGGCGCATTTGCCGGAGGTGGTGGGGTTGTTGGGCAGTGTTGGAGAGGAGGGAGATGAGGAGAAGGGGCTTGTTTAGGTGCCTTACTCTTTGTTGGGGAAACGGACATTCCTGTGTGTTACGGTGGGGTTGTACGCCCAAAAAATGACAATTTTTTCTGCGGGGAATTGTCTAGCCCCTGCTAAGCCCAGGAGGCTCGGCTTGTTCGGACTTTGGGGGTTTCCCCAGGGCTACAAATAGCGTACGTAGGCCTGTAGATTAGGTAAAAAATTCAATTGATTCTATTCTATATACTGTAATCTACTGACGAGTTTTCGTGCCCGTTGCGCAAAAGCCCGAAGGTCCGGTCACCAAAGACACCACACAATTTGTGTGTAATCGCTATATTTCGGTCCTTCAACAGGTTATGAGCCCGGCGACGGTTAGGAAGCTTCATGTTTTGAACTGAAGAATTGATTCCGAAGTCTCACAATAAAGTGAGAGCATGAGTTACCCACTGGTAATACTCAGTCTAAAGGCAGTGTATTAGATAGCATTATACGGCCCGTATACGGGTTCATTTTTGTAACCAGTGCGTATACGATACGGGTTCAACTTAATATGCAATAGCACTAGTTAATCCGATGCGGAGCCACCCAAGGAAGGGATGATTTTACTAAGACAACACACTGTCTTAGAAAACAGAGCCAAAGGGTCGTAGCTTAGACTATTCCACAACGCAGCAATCAGGTGTGTGATGTAGTGAAGTGGTTCAGACAAGTTGCAACAAATGTTGAGTCTGGGAACTCAGGGGTAAGTCAGAGGTTAACACCTCACTGACTTTTCAGAAACAAGGAGTAACAAGATGAATGCTTGGAAGCTTGGAAAAGACGTGGAAGTATGTGATAGTCGATTTACTGTATTGTCTGCTTGCCCTTTCTTAAGGAAAGGGCAATCCTATTTATGCTAAAGGAGTGTAGTTCTCTCATTTTCCAAGACTTTCCAAGACTTACCAGGCTTGGTAACTGTAGTCGACGTAAGAGAATCCCATAGAACCATCTCTTAGGTTCCTAGCCTATAGGAAGTAAAAGGAGGTCCAACATAGTACCCCTATAGACAAATTATGTCATAGACAAATTATGTCATAACTTAACCAATCTTGTGGGTAACTAAAGAGCGATGACGTGTAATGAATCATAGAGGTTCGTAGGAGCTTTTAGAGCTATCGTTCATGCTCCTAGGCCTCTAGTTGGTAGAGATATGTCATGTGGTAGTATGAGTGATGTCATGTAATGAATCATAGAGGGTTGTAGAGATATGCTATGTGGTAATATCGGCCCAGTAACTAAGGAGCGATGATGTGTAATGAATCATAGATGGTTGTAGCAATTGTTGAGTAGTATTGCTCTTGTTGTTGGTGTGATAAGCCAAAATATGTATAGTGACTTGTAGGTTTGTGTAACGCTGACTTCTAAACGATAGAAGACACAGAGGTTCTCTTGCGTAAAGGTTTACTTATCAGAGGAGGCAGGGGATCAGACACAAAGGCTTCAAGTAACACGTTACTAGTATATAACAAATACTGTATTGAGTTGAGCACGAAGCTCCTATCTAAGGAAATACTATCTACTTATATAGTGGCGTCGTGCCTAGTGGACTCTTGGGAACTCACTCGAGTCCTCGGAGTCCTGGACTCTTAGGACTCTTCTCATCATCCTGCGAGTCCATCACGTGCCTAGTGGACTCCTGGGAACTCACTCGAGTCCTCGGAGTCCTGGACTCTTAGGACTCTTCTCATCATCCTGCGAGTCCGTCACGTGATACTTTCGGAACTACTATTCCCCGCTGCCCCTCCAGGTACCAGGGCCGGTCTCATGCGACCTCCCTCCTTCCTGTCCTGTAGTTGGCCAGCCTTCTTGTTCAGTCGTAACAGTTTGAGGAGGAAATTTCCAAGTTTGCTCTTGAGTTTGATAGCAAACTGAGTGCAACGAATGTCAGTATGACACTTATCCCTGAGTTCTCAGACTCAAATTTGTTATAACTTGTCTAAACCACTCCACTATATCATACACCTGATTGCTGCATTGTGAAATAGTCTAAGCTACGACCCTTTGGCTCTTTTTCCTAAGACAGTGTGTTGTCTTAGTAAAATCATCCCTCCCCTGGGTGGCTAGATTCTCACATCTGGTGCACCCACCATTACACCTTGTCTGCTTCAAGCTTCAACTATTTCTATAGCAGCACTTCGATACTACAATGGAGGACGACCAAGCTCCTACAACTACTGCTGAACAGCAGATGCAACAACTGTTTGCCTTTATACAAACTATAGCAAACAAACTTGAGAATTTGGAAAACACCTTTCAAGCCAACACTTCAGCAACACAATCTTCAACTCAGACACATCATACAGAGCTTCCCACAGCTCCTCTGGCTATGTCGGGTACCCCAGGTGCACTTCCTAAAGTGCAAACACCAGATTTATACCATGGAGACAGGAGGAAGTTGAAGGGATTTCTTATGCAACTGGACATCTACTTCACCCTCAGGCCTCATCAGTTCACCTCAGACGTCCAGAAGATATATTTCGCTGCCAGCTACCTCCGTGGATCTGCATTCAACTTCTTTGAGCCATATCTTAGAAGACTTAGTGGCAACAACCAAAATACCACTACGCCTTTGATTACCTCTTATGACCAGTTTCAAGAGGAACTTACCAGGACCTTTGGAGACATCAACGAAACTGTTACAGCAGAAAGAGAGCTACAGAAGCTATGTGTAACGCTGACTTCTAAATGATAGAAGACACAGAGGTTTCTTGCGTAAGGTTGACTTGACAGAGGAGGCAGGGGATTAGACACAAAGGCTTTCCAAGTAACACATTACAGTATTGTAAAGAATACTATATTGAGTTGAGCACGAAGCTCCTATCTAAGGAAATACTATCTACTTATATAGTGGCGTCGTGCCTCATGGGTAATCTGGATAGTTGGCGGATAGCTAGATATTCAGGATAGTTCGTGGATAGCTCAACTATCCAATATCCACTAGTTTCTGGAACTATCCATTAGCCCCGTCACATGGCAGCCTACCCTGCTTCCCACTGTGACTCACACATCACGTTACTAGGCCCTGGCCCTGTAACCATGACATCATGTTACTATAGCCGTAACACTATGTCAAAAGACCTCTGCTGCTCAGTATACAACAGAATCTAGGAGAATCACTTCTCACTTGACTTGGAATGAAGAAGCCTTAGTCTTCACTTACTACCAAGGGCTCAAGAGCTCTATTAAGGATGAACTCAGCAAAGAAGAACGCCCTACAACACTTCAAACGCTTATAGAGAAAGCTGTCAGACTTGATGATAGGCTTTTTGAAAGAAGAAAGGAGAAGAACCAAGACTGGCATCCAACAAGAAATTTCAACAATTACACCTCTACACCAACTGCTAAGGACTCAGCACCTGAACCTATGGACTTAGACGCCTCTATAAAGAGATCTACAGCAAATCCAGCACCTCAGCCTACAAGAAGCCCTCAAAAACTGAAAAGGGGTAAACTTACTCCTCAAGAAAGAAAACACAGAATGGACAACAACCTTTGTTTATACTGTGGCAAAGGGGGGCACAGAATTCAGGATGCTATTCAGCACGGGGGAGTGCTGATTCAAAACATATAGCAGCCTCAGACACAGTCACAGCTGCTATTCCTGAAAAACTTGAAAAATCCCCACCAGGCACAACTTCAACTGAGACTACAACTTCTCCCCTAGACAACAAAGATGTGTCGATGGTGCTTTCTCAGAGTTTCACACACCTGTTAATACCTATTCAACTCCATTTCAAACAACAAGTGTTATCTACAAGGGCTATGATAGACTCAGGGGCAACAGGCAACTTTATATCTCAAGACCTCATCTTGACACACCAGTTACCTACAATTCCCAAACGCACTCCAGAGTTGCTCCGAGTCATTGATGGAACTCCTATCAGTTCAGGTTCCATTACCTGCAACACCCCAGTACTCAAACTTGAGATTCCCCTAGGAAAATCAACATTTTCAGACACCATCTCTTTAGATGTTATACCAATGAAGTACCCAGTCATCCTAGGTCTTCCATGGCTTCAAAGGCATGATCCAAATATCAATTGGAATCATTTATCACTTGGGTTTAGCTCAAATCCTGAGCTCAATACTGAAAAAACCCTTCAAGCCTCAGTTACCCCTATTCAGGTCCAAGACTCAGACTTGTCCCAGATCAAGGATTTTGACCAAACTATGGACGATATATCATCTCTGATATGGGTTAAACCTTTCCAACCTGTCCTGGAGATAGCAGCTACTTCAGATTTGGAGAAATCATCTCAGGAGGTCATTTTGCCTTTAGCATACCAAGACTACCAACATCTTTTTGACAAGGCAAAGGCATCAATTCTGCCAAAGCTTCTCAAGAGAGGAGCCTTTCTTGTGGAGGTATTCCAAAGTTCTTTTGGCAAAGGGATCGTGGTTGTAAGCATCTTTGAATGCTTTAAGAAGTGTTGCTGAGGGTGTATAGTCTTTAAAGGTCTCTGGTTTCTGAGAAGAGGTAATGGGGGCAACTTGGTCTTGAGGGGATAAGTTTCCCTCTAAGTCCTCTGTAGTGTGAGGGTTGCTTAAAGATGCTGCTATGAGCTTTGTAGAGTCCTACACGGCAAAAGCCCTATGGCCTCTTGCAGCCTCTACCTATACCAGAACGCCCATGGGACTCCATATCCATTGACTTTATAGTCAAGTTGCCTCCTTCTATCCCAAAAGGGGGTGCTACCCCTTATGACTCTATCCTTGTGGTGGTAGAAAGGCTCACAAAAATGGCACACTTTGAGCCTTGCAATGAGACTATCACAGCTTCTGAACTTGCGTGGCTATTCCTGCACATCCATCCTGGACTCGTGAAGACGCCGGAGTTCGAGCACGCCAGGTTCTCGCCGTTCGTTACGTGACTGTTTAACTGGGTGGTGCTCCCGCTGCTGACGCCGTTTCTGCTAGATCTGAAGGAGTCGGGGGAGAGGAACTTGTTTATGGCTACGTCAGCGATGTTTCGAGGGAGATTGAGTGGAGAGGGGGAGGCGGGGACTATGGTGCCGGTGGTAGAGGAGGAGGTGGCGATGGGGGTGAATGGATTGATCGGCGGTGGGGTGTATGCAGTTAATTGGAATGGGGAGGTGTGCAAAGGGAGTGAGAAGTTCTATCGGGAATGGAAAAGGAGATACAGGAAACACAACAGCAAACAACAATAGAAATGAAGGTGGACTTGGAGAGATTCAACATTCCCAGTGGAAATTGAACATGGTCAAGGGAAATCGCAGATGCTTAGCACTCACCTCGCCCCGCCACTGGTGAAGCATCAGATCAGGGATGACGGTTACGACGGCACCAATTTCCAAGGGAGACTTGTATCATGTTTGTTGGAGTATATGTCAGAATATACCAGAATATATCAGAGTAGGACCACAATAGGCCCTTTCCGCATCGGGAATTGTCCTATTCAAGCAATTGTGTCGCCTCTTGGTTTGACGTTGTGGTCGATGACGCTCTAGATGTTTCGGAGCCAAGTGCCTTGGAGATCGCCTGTGCTCACAATTAAGCGATACCAAGACAAGTCGCGCCGCATCTACTCCGTACCCTGGCATTTCCCCCTTTCCAAAATTCACAAAAAGCACAAAAAACACAAAAGTCCATTTTTTACCTTTATGAGAGCCTCAACGGATGTCGCCCTGGGATTCTGATACTGGAACTCTGCTACTTCGTATATCGCTCCACATACGGGCTCTCCCATACGGACTGCTCTCTATACAGACTCGAGAAACTTTCCCCGGACTGTGAAACTGCTGTAGCCAGCAGATCACTCTCCCTTGGATGGCATCTTGGCATCGGCGCTGGTTTGCTTGAACCCCATCATTTATCCCACCAACGGCTGGCGGCAGACAGTGGGGTCTGGCCGATCTGCATCACTCATTACTGCTGTTTAAAGGCACTCAAGCTTTCTCGACGCCATGGCGAAACCCGCCCTGGCCTGGAACACGGGCGAGGTCTGTCGCTTGCGGCTCACCTTTCCTCGATCGGCTATGATAGACTGCGGCATTTCTCACCCATGGGAGAATGCCGCTACGAACATACTGAGTGCACTCCCAAAAAGAGATGTCAACGCTTGAGCACCTGGTGCAACGGTTGGAACACCTTCCGAGACTATCGTGAACTCCACCATGACCCGAACAACCGAATTCCTGGAGGTGAGAGAGTTATAGTACCACGAGCAGCAAAGGAGCTATATACTCCAAGCCCTGAGAATCGTACGTCTATTACAGTAATAGAGACAGTATCTGCAGCTGGAAAAGTGATTCCACCTGTACTTATCATTCCGGACAAAGTTCATATGGATTCGTGGTACCCTGGGAACCTCAAGAGTAGTGAGCTGATACTACTCTCCGAAACTGGCTATTCGAACAGTGAGCTTGCCTTACGGTGGCTACAGCATTTTGCAGAGCATACTGCTCAGTACGATGATGGGAGTGGGAATCCCAAGGTTCTACTCCTTGATTCTCATATAAGCCATACGAGCGATGATTTCATCATTGCAGCAGATGAATTGAACATTATCTTATTCGCCTTTCCTAGCCATCTTACACACGTTTTACAGCAATTAGACGTGGGATTATTCCAGCCATATAAGCACTGGCACCGAGAGGCTGTGCTTCATGCCATACGGAAAATGGAGGTTACGTACGACCTACCCTCGTTTATGAGAGATCTCACCAAAATCCGGGACCAGACTTTTAAGGAGTATAATATTACTTCAGCTTTCCGGAAAGCTGGAATCTGGCCCATAAGCCGTAATACAGCACTCGAAAAGCTCCATACATACTCGCAGCCTACGCCTACACCTACACAGCCTACGCCACCTACACCTACCCTACCAATACGGCCTATTACCCCTAAACCCTCTACTTTTCGGCTACCGGAAATTACTTACCGGCACCGAAGAGGTGGTGGTGGCAGGCCAGCTCCAAGAGCTAGACCTGGTATTCCTCCGGCGCCAGGTGGAGGAATCGAAGAAGCGGGCAAGCCGAAGCCGGGCCCGCCTTCAGTATGGGGGCGAGCTCGTTGCTGCCGAAGCTCACGAGCTTCGGGCCCGTAAAGCCGAGCTTCTGGCTCAGAAGCTCGAAGCCAAAGAAGCCCGGAAACAGCGCCAGGCCAGAAACCGAGCCCGGAAGCAGCTTCGCCGGGCTGGAATTGAGGCCCGGAAGGAAGAGCGCCTACGGAAGAAGGCAGTGGCCCAATTCCGTAAGGAAGGCCTCCCAATTGCTCCTGAGTTTGAGGAGCCAATTCGGGACCCAGAAGCCCCCGAAAGCGAGTGCGAAAGCGAGTATGAAAGCTGTGAGAGCGAGGGTGGGAGTGGGAGTGGGAGTGGGAGTGGGAGTGGGAGTGGGAGTGGGAGTGGGAGTGGGAGTGGGAGTGGGAGTGGGAGTGGGAATGAGGAAGTGATAATTTCGTAAAATGGAATATTTAGGTAGCTTTACATACAAATTACTATGGTGGGGTACTTACGGTCGCAAATTTTTGAGTTGCTGCTCCGCTGACAGTTCTGGAAACGTAGCACGGGGGAACATCATGGCCATCCAAATCCCGAAGTCAGTCGTATGCTGTATGCGCCACCGCCAAACTATCCAGACGATACATTCATGCCCAAACATGAGGCGCTGGCAATCCACATGGGGCGATAAAACGCAGCAGGTCGCAATAACGGTGGTCAATGGTCAATACAGCCAATGCGCTAGAAGAGCACAGTAGAAGAAGCCCCCCAGGCGACATCAGACAGCTCCGCCTCACAGAAGCCACAGAAGCCCCCCAGGCGCCATTAGACAGCTCCGCCTCACAGAAGCCCCCCAGGCCAAGCGTACTGGGCGGATTTATGCGCTAGCATCGGCCGTCATCGTGTGGCTTGGTCTCGAGACCCTTGCGAATTTCGGGGCGGGAGATCCAGCAAACTGCTTCGCCACCTCGCAGGCCACTTACCCGGAGTGGGTCAAGGAGAACACAATACCGCCATTTACCATTGACGAATGGATCCGAGTACAGTAGTCGATTTGCTTAGATATGCTTGGTTTCGGCAGCGTTGGGCGTGGCAGGAAATCTAATTGGGGAACCGAAGTCGCGATATCCTATCAGCAGCCTCATTCCGGAGCCCATGAATAATACCTGCCCATCGTGGGCCCCGGACCTTGCGAAAGCCGAGGAGGCTAAGACCTTGATGTGGCAGATCAGCACTGGCGCTTCTAGAGCTGAGGCACGTTGCTTTGAATGGCGGTGTGCTAGAAGTGCATGGGGTGGTCCGCGGCACTGTTGAAGGATATGTCAAGGCTGCCGGCGCTATTGCAGATGTTGAGAGATTGAAAGTCAGTGGCCAAACGGCTGCAAGATTGCGATATCGACTTGATAGATGAGCTTGTTTGCATAGGATGCGACTGCTTCACCAGGGATCGGCTCAATACGAGCGGCGTGTGGGTCCAACAACGACGCCCATTAGGAGGTGGAGACTCGAATGGCCCCATCGATATTAACCTAAGGAGAGAAAGCAGGGCAACAGCCTTATTGTCAGTGACAACGGACTGGTTGGGAAGGTCGGGGATGGCCGCGAGATGGTCGGAGCAGCGAGACAGGCGATATGATCAGCACTGTACTCGGCCGCAACTCCCCTTTGATCCTTCGGCCGGCCGGTGACGACGCCTATGTTGTCATCACAGGTGCCTTGATAGCAAATCTTTGCGACTCTGTATCTATCCTCGGCCCTCTGCCCTCAGCCGCACTACACCACCACGGCTACAAATGAAACGACTCGTGAAGATCGCCGCTTAGGCCCGCTGCCGCAGGGCTGGATACGGGTTCGGGGTGAGAGGCAGCCTTCACAGCCGGTTTCTGTGGATTATTTTCGCAGCTTGATTCACTGGGATCCGAGGCTGGACGCGGATGCGCTGAGAGATGGAGGAGAGATGGAGGAGAGATGGAGGAGAGATGGAGGAGAGATGGAGGAGAGATGGAGGAGAGATGGAGAGATGGAGGAGAGATGGAGGAGAGATGGAGGAGAGATGGAGGGAGGAGAGATGGAGGAGAGATATAGGAGTTGTGATAAAAGACATTTCTGTTGAAGTAAAAGTGGTATTACCTGACGATGACTTCAGACTGAGCCAAGGCCGGATCGGCGCACATTATTGCGGCGCAAATACGGTTCTTGGTTTTGAGAACGGGACGGGTGAATAACGGCGTATAGAAACGGTAACCCCACAACGCGCTAAAGGCATGCCGCTACTGTTTTGAGAACGGGTCAGTTACCGTTGATGGTTTGAGAACGGGACACGTGAATACGAGGACTCATGCGGCGTATAGAAACGGTAACCCCACAACGGGCCAAGTATAGCGTGTTAATATTTAATGGTCTGGACCACCACGTGGGACATTGATGGATGGACATTTAGCACTTAGATGTTCACATCAGCCATCCTTAACATCCTCAACTCAAAATGAAGGGGATTCCTTTGTCATCTGCAGGCGATGCCGATGATGCCGATGATGCCGATGACGTCCGCATCGCCCTCGCGAAATGGAAACGGAGATACTACACCCTAGCAACCCTCTACATCCTCACCATCCTTCTCGTCGTGGCGTATATCCCAATGTCTGATAGCCCACCGACTGGGGCGGTCCGCTCGGAGGCTTATTTTGGAAATAGTGTGTTCCCGTTCATTGTCGATGGTTGGAGACACTCGGTGGAGTGCATGAAGGAGTTGGAAAGAGGCTAACAAACACCTTCAGTACCGAAGGAGATGGTCAGATTCAGGCTGGACGAGGCGTTTGTCCATGCAGGGTCGGGGACACCAGGGAACCGGTCAGTGTGGAACATGTTGTTTCCGCGTATGCTATTTGTTTTCTCATGTCGCGTGTCTCTCCGAGAGGATCTATTCTCCCGTGTAGCCTTGTTAGGTGCTTACGGGCTTGTGCTAACGACACTGAACTTATAGTTGGCGCGGGGTTCGTAGAGGTTCAGAAACCGTGGAACTACGGTCTAAGGGGGGGGGTTCCGGTCCCAAACACCGAGGAGGCGACAGAGATATACTCCATCTCAATGTTCCATCAGATCCATTGCCTGGTAAGGCAGCTCCTCATCCCCTTTCAACGCACCCCCAGTTATACCGTCTATCCGTTACTAAACGCAGGAATAGTCAATACTCAAGGACGCCTTCGGTCGCGACAGAGACGTGAGCGAACACCAAGCGGCGGAAAGTAACTTGGGTCACTGCTTCGACTATCTGCGTCAGGCGATCATGTGTACGGGCGATACAACGCTGGAAACGGCACTGGTGAACGCTGACGATGTGATATCTGGTTTCGATGGATGGGGCGTTCTACACGAGTGTCGGAGCTATGAGGCGATATTTGATTTTGCGGAGGCGCATCGGATGAAAGATGACACTTGTCTTATGTAGGTTGTCGGATAGGCATACGTTGATTACTTGCCAGAGGAGAATGTATTGATAGAAAGCTGAGCAGGCTGCTGCAGCCTATTTTGGTGGCTTCCATACCGTCTTGTTATAAAAATTGCCTTTTGAGTACCTTAGCTGCTCGATGTTGCAGTTTTTAGACCATTGAAAAAACGCCTCACAACCGCACTATCCCTGCTTAATGATGACCTTGAGCCAAATGCTCCCATTATTATAAATGAGGGCGGGTAACTATCTGCAGAGCATATGGCATTAGATGATACTCGCCTCTTACTACTTAACAGCCATGACTCTCATAAAACAGAGCGCTTTCTTACATTAGCAGAAGAGCATAACATTGTTATTTGCTGCCTTCCTGCTCATACAACACATCTATTACAACCTCTTGATGTAGCGGTTTTTAAGCAGTGCAAACACTTTCATCAAAAGGCACTTGATCAAGCAGTACGTAGCTACGACTATGAGTATAAGCTACGTACGTTCCTTTCAGACCTCCCGCAAATCCGACGGCAATCTCTAACTGTCCGTACAATTCAATCTGGTTGGAGAAATACAGGACTATATCCATATAATCCTCTACTTGTAATTGACAAGATATAAGAGACTTGGAATCAGACACCTGATTATTAGCCATTTTCTTCGTATAATATTATCTCAACACCGAAAACAACTATGCAAAGTGTGCAAGCGGTTGAACATTAGCAGAAGAGAGTAGAGGAAGCTTTCTCATCGCCTTTAAGAGAAGTGTTTCAATCATGTGCACGTAGAACTACAGTTGTTTTACACTAGGCAGAGCTCTATAAGACTGAGCTAAATATTATTACTTTACGTGCAGTAGAGCAGAAGGCAGCAAAGGCAAGGGCACGGAAATCACTACAGAAAGGAGGGCAGTTATATGCATTAGATGCACGGAAAATGCAGGAAGAGAAGGAAGCAAAGTTGCAAGCAAAAGCAGACGTAAGAGCAGCAAGGAAATCGGCTGATTAACGGAGTCACCGAAGGCACGAAAATAGGGCACACACGAAGTGGTATGGGTGATGTGGCACATATATCCACACTTGACCTATTGCAAGAATCCCATGGTGTGTATGGGCGCCGCCATTGTTATCCAGATCGCGGGAGTTGGCCGCTGGGCTCGGTCGAGTTTCTCTGGATGCTGGTCCTCGTTCTGCTTAACCTTTCAAATGCGCCGCACTCCGGCAGTTGTGGCATCCTCTTCTCAGTCTCCACCCTCAACATCATCTCCGACCATCCACTCATCCTCCGGGTCCATATCCCTATCCTCCCCATACAACACTTCGCAAACGCCCCCCAACGGCACATCCAAGCACGCATCAGTTCCCACGCTCCACACAGCCTTCCAATCCTGCTCCTGCCTCAAGCTCTTCATCCTCTTCTTCTCCAATTTCTCCTTCCTCCTCACCTCCTTCCCCTTCTCCACCACCCCTGCGTGCTTCCCCTCCGGATTACTACTCTTCAAGCTCCCTTTCCCATCCAACGTCGCCACATTCGCCGCCTGATCAATAATCGTCTCAATGCTACTCATTGGCAGCGTCAGGTACCCCGTATTGTATGCCGCAAGCGCGACGTAGATGTACACAATACACATGACCAGCCAGGACGGGATCGCCAGCGACCACCAGCGGTTGGGGTAGTAGTATATCCCTAGCGCGTGCAGAAACGGGCTGGGCAGATAGCTCCACAGGATATACATGAGGAACGCGAGCGACGAGAACAGGTATAGCACGAAGCCGTAGTATTCGTAAGTCGGGACCTTGGGGCTGGCCCGTGGGACGGGCTCAAAGTCATCGTTATCGGAGGCGTCAGGTGTGGTAGGGCGGGAAGGCCGGAGGAGGGAGGTGAGAGAAGGCGAGGGTGGCAGTGGGGTCGGCGGGCGGTTGTAGAAAGGAGGTGCGAAGTAGTTGTGGTGGACGAGGGGAGGGGAGGGAGAGGGCGATGGCTCTGGCGAGGAGGAGCTGGGGGAGCCGTTGTAGTGGGACTGGAAGGCAGATTCGTCGTCGTCGTCATCGTCAGCGGAGGAGTAGGATACCATTTCTTCGACACATGCACGAATCTGGAGATGGCGTATTGTTGTGCTGTGTTGGTCGTTGTCGTGGTCAGGATTAAAGTTGGGAGTTCACGCGAGGCTGTGGCTATGTATGCAAGGCTGACAAACACTTGACGACCAACCCGGCGAGATTATGACAGTACTGGAGCAATTTCCTAATGAGAATACATAAAATATATATAAACTGGATAAGGAGTTATATGCCTTCTTTTTTCTTTATTACCAATATACTACGGACCATTAATGCAATTATTATGGTTGGGCGACCTGCAGGACAAATTAACCAAAAAGGTTCATGACTTCCATCTAAACTGAAAATATACAAACGCCCAACGATGCTACAGTTCTAAAAAAAACATCCCCCCCCGGTTAAATGCGAATAGTTTCATACCGTCGTCGTATGATCTTGCAAGTTTAAGACAGTTCCTTTACGTTTCCGCGTCCTGTGCCAGTGCCAAGACATTTTTGGAAGCCCCAATATTATGTCCCAGGCGCATATATCAAACCTCTACATTCCCCTCCTTCCGTTCTTCCCTCATCTTCTTCCACCTCCGTCTCAACCCCCGAATGCACTTTCATCCTCTCCATCCCCACCGCCTTTCTCTCCCACGACGCACACGCAACTAGCACCCCCAGCGCAGCAACCCCAGCAAGCGCCGTCATCTGCACTCTAAACACTCTCGCATACACCGCCTGCACCATCGCTAGCACATCGGGTTCAAACGTCAACGCTCCTAACGGACTTTGATGCAGCGCCTCCATCTGCCCATCTGAGAGGAAACTCCTTAGAGCAGGCTCAGAACGGGCGTTAAACAGCGCCGTAGCGATAGTGAGTCCAATAAAGCCACCCAGCGGACGTAGCTGCGCCGTTGCGCCCTGCGTTGCTGCGATCTCGCCTAGCTCCGAGTTTAGGGTAACTATCAGCGTGCCGGCTGAGAGGCACATTCCGACACCGATTCCGAGGAGGACTTCTACTCCGTATAGGTAGTGCGGGATGCTCAATGTGTCGGGGATGGTTGTTAGGAGACCGAGGGCGAGGAGTTGGAGACTAGACCCGGCTATGAGGGTTGGGGAGGTGAGGTTGCGGCCTGAGGAGATGGCGCCGCCGATGAAGGAGCCGAGGCCGGTGGCGGCGGCGAGGGGGAGCAGGGAGAGTCCTGCGTATAGGGGAGAAGACCCGTTGACGAGCTGGAAGCGTTCGGGCAGGAGGATGGTGGCTGTAATCAGGGGGAAGCCGGTGCAGAAGATGGAGCTGGGTTGTATCTGGTTAGTTCATGGCAATGTCAGAGTAAAAAAGGGTGCAAGATGAGCATACCCGAAAGCGGCAGCCATGACGCTGCGCTTGAGAATGTGCATTGGGAATATGGGTTCGATATTCGACCAGGAGCGCGTGCCAAGGAAGCCCTCCCAAGAGAAAAACGCGATCCAAAACACGCCCGACAGGACGAGGCAGGTGACGACAACCGGCTCTCCCCAGGAACGTCCCCCTGTCGTCGCCCACTGGAGGCCATAGACTAAGCATACAGAGCCTCCAATCATGAACAGTACACCGACGAAGTCGATGCCCAGGAATGTACGCCAATTGCTACTATCAGAGGTCTTCACGCTAGTCGGCCAGATGAAGAAGATAGACGCCATAGCGATTACGGAAAATGGTAGGTTCATATAGAAAACCCACCTCCACGTCGACTGGTTCGATATCACACCACCCAAGATAGGACCTAGCACCCCTGACCCGCCGACCGTGAGTCCGATGCAGGCCGCGCCGGCCGCGAACTTCGATGGATCCAGGACCTCGGCGATCATGACCATGCCCATGGAGTAGAGGCCCGCGCCGCCTAGGCCCTGAAAGGCACGGAAAACGATGAGCTGGAGGATTGTGTGCGAGAGGGCGCAGGCAAGCGAGAAGACCATGAATAGCGCCCAGGAAACAAGCATAATGGGCTTACGGCCGTATATATCGCTGAATCGCGCGATGGCCATGGCGAAGCCTGGGAGGATTAGGGAGGCGCGAGGCTATGGTGGGAGGGCGACTTACTCATATATGTCAAAAGATAGGCCAGGACGATCCATGGCGATAGCCAAAAGCTCCCAAGTTCCTCTACGATACTGACCAGCGCCGTCCCTATGATAGTTGTGTCCAGAGTCGAGAAAAACACCCCAACAAAGATACTGGGGCATAAGATTAGCAGTGAAGAAGATTTGAGTTATCCTGGTGCGAGGAACATACCCTGCCAGTGCAACATTCCTCCTCCACGGTTCCACATGAGGCCATGGCACAACATGTTTGTTAGCCGTGCTCGTGGCGACAACGTGGCTCTGGATGTCTTTCTCGGGTTCGGATCCGACGCAAGGGGCCACTGTCCCAGACGTTGCCATAATATCCATTCCGGGGCTCTCGAGTGCTTGAAGGTCGATATTGCTCGCCATTTGCCACTCGAATTCCTTGGGGGAAACGAGACTATCCGGGTTGCTACTGGAGATTGTGGCGGCGGGTTGGGGTGCCGATATAAGGTTTGCCCTATACTATATGGCTCTACGCCTGGGAAAGAGACGGGAGCCACTAGCGGAGCTGGGTGACGTGGTAATATATGCGAACAAGAGATCGGTCCTCTAAATATCAATTCCAGTCACTGACAAAGACTCGGTGAACGTCTCTAGTAGCGTCAATGGCTACCCAGGATATGTAAGGACTGGCCTCTCCTTTTCTCATACAGCAAGCGCAGTTCATTGATATTACGGCCGTATCTCGAAGTTTATATGCCAGGGCCCGATCAAGCCCGCCAGTCGATTTCAAGCAGTGGGGAGCACGGCACGGAAAAGGAAGTGGAAGCTCTCGTACTTCCACATATATATCTTTGGCGGAGAAGTCGAATCGTCGACGTCGAAAAAAGGTCAACCTGACCCCCTAACCGAAGCAAGAGGGCCACACTTTAAGTAATAACCGACTCTAGCATTATACCATCGGGCCACACTATCCCGCCGCCCTTTGTACTGGGATGAGGCAGCTGGCACTATCGAGCCGCCATGGGGCTGTAAGAAAGTGACATTTGCGTCGCCTCCCAAGGTATTGGCTTGCATCAACTAAACAACGGCCATCCAAAACCTCCCCCCGACAAAGAATCACACATCAACCTGCCTCGGCCCTATCTCTTAAAACAACACTGTCCCGGTCGTCTACAGGGCATATCTAGCCTCTTCACCACGTACTCCACGGCCACGCCACGGTGGCGCTCAACCGAACGGGTGGAACGCGCGATTGGCCTTGTGGATGCAGAACATCAAAACGACGCTGATCCTCGGTTGCGGCGCTCAATCAAAAGGACTGCGTAGCGAGATGACAGTCCTATGGGGTCAAGTGCGCTCCATTGGGATAAATGCTGGGGCCGGTGGCGCATGAGGCGCATGAGGCGGGTGGAAACAGTCGAAGAGGCCAGAAGGGGAACTGGTAAGCGACGTGGTGAAGGTAAGACGCCGGAGTGGTGCCGCCGTATTAACTTACTGTGTTCTGCTTTCCCGCTGTAAATTACTGATGGAGTCACGTGAAACCCGACCGTTCCGATTATTTTTCCCGATGGGCCGACTGTACCACATATATTGTATAACCCCAGAACATGTTGGCGCCAAGCACTGTGAAGACGCCGGTGAGGGCCCAGGTTGATCTGATAGCCTGGGACCCGGAATCCCCAGCCCATACGCAGAGGATGGTTCAGCATCGAATTGCATGCGGGTGGAAACAGGACTATATCGAAGGGTGGCGGGGTTTGCAGAGAGAGGGGAAGATGGGCCTTCAGTGGGTTGTGAGTTTCTCATTTTTGTTTATGAGATCTTACCATGCGGTTTATAACACCTGAAAAAGGCAATAATCCTTCCAATCTTTACATTTAGCCATACAGTGCGAAGATTACAAGTGGTCGTATTTGTAATATATAATTCTAACTGCCAACGCAGGTTCTATCAGAGGAAGACCCAGAAAAGGAGGCAAAGCTCGCCCAGCACCTACTAAAGTACCCCGGAGACGCCACACCCATTCTTGACACCGCCACCTCTCTGGCTGGTAAGCCACGGTTACCCTCTTCACGGTCATTCGTCCCCGTGGGCCATATCTCTCTCGACTCAGCGAGCCCCAATCCTGGCCAAGCAGATGCCTCGCAAGGACTCTACTGCATCACTACTCTCTACATCTCCCGCGCTATCCACGGCGGTGGGCTTGGCCGGGCTGCCCTGGACGCTATCGAGAGCCAAGCCATCAACGAGCCGTTGTGTGCGAAGATATTGTCTCTTGATACTCTAGCAAATAGTAGCTGGAATAGAACAGATATATGGGAAGAGATGGGTCAGAAGAAGCCCGAGGTATTTGAGCCCCCCTCAATGAAATCGAAATTGGTGAGCTAATTGGAAACAGATATCAGCTGAGGATTGGTATGAGAGATGTGGATATAAGGCCTGGAGATACAGCGAAGGCCATATCCAGCACCGGACCGACAATGGTAGAGTTTGGCCTCTAGATGGCGTCTTTATGAAGAAAACGGTAGCATGAATGTGAACTAATGCCTCTTAATCCCAACTCATACGATTGTTTGGCTAGGTGAAGTAGAAGGCGAATACATTTTATCTTCATTATGTATGTGAAGTATGTGGTGGCAGTATAAGGAGCGAGATGCAATTCTGTATACAATGTGATATAAAGTTTCTACTTATATGACTAAGAAGTCGTTGTCCTCCATCTGCTTTAGCACACGTTACTGGCTCGAGCATAAATTTTAACCACTTAAGTCCATGTAGATTGTTGTCCATCCTTTCAGTTTGCAGAGAAGTGCCATTTATCAATAACCTCCTGTGGAATCCAGCTTTGCAAAACGTTAAGACCTTTGAATATGATAAGATGGTTGGTGGCTGTGCTATCCATATAGATGCATTCAACTACGGACACCCATGCTTAACAGCCTTAGTGCGCTTAATGGCATGTACGGAGTGTGGAATCAACAATGATTCAAGTACATTCCATAGTTCCAATTGAAAAGCCAGTCTCATTCATGTTATATATGTTGTGTTCTTTGATTTTAAGACGTGTCACAAGGTCCTTATATGCGTCAAACCATCCTACTACCACGTCTTTGGTAACACTGTTCATCCTTTGTGATTTGATCTGTCTTCCTAGTCGTACTTGTAAGTGTAGATGCCATCTAATGAAGTGTAGAACCTACCCTTGCCCTAAAGTAGGTTTAGAATTTGGGTGTATGTGATGTCATGTTTAGGATGTGAATATTAGGAGAAAGTTCGAAGATGCGACAATGGTTGATGTGAATTTCATTTACAATCTCTTGTAAAATTTGATGACTAGGTGCGTAGCCACTGTTAGGAAGGACTTTTATTGTAAGGACACAGGGCACCCAGCTCACAGTAATAGCATATGAGAGTGCGAGTCGGAGGCTAAATGGATGCTATCCTATAGGTCTACTATGAAGGATACAAAAAAGATGAAGGGAGAACCCCGTTGAGTCTGTTTCCTTAAGTACCCGAAACGGGCCCGACTCGGTTATCCCAACCCTAGCCCTGAACCTTCCACCGCAACAGGTCTGCATCAACCCTGAACCCTACACCCTTACCGTCCCCCACTATAGTGTAACTCGCTATGTGCTCCTCTACTGGTTCGAAACCACACCGAGTCAGATTTCATGCTTGTAGTGACCGTAACAGCTCTGAGGCAGGTTCTTCGAGTATCTAGATAAGGAGGCATCCTTACAGAGTCTGAGAACTCAGGGATAAGTCAGAGGTTAGCACCTCACTGACTTTTCAGAAACAAGGAGTAACAAGGTCAATGCTTGGAAGCTCGGAAGACATGGAAGTTGTGATAGTCGATTTACTGTATTGTCTGCTTGCCCTTTTTTAAGGAAAGGGCAATCCTATTTATGCTAAAGGAGTGTAGTTCTCTCATTTTCCAAGACTTTCCATGACTAACCAGGCTTGGTAACTGTAGTCGACGTAAGAGAATCCCATAGAACCATCTCCTAGGTTCCTAGCCTATAGGAAGTGAAAGGAGGTCCAAGGTCAGAGTACCCCTATAGACAAATTATGTCATAACTTAACCAATCTTGTGGGTAACTAAGGAGCGATGACGTGTAATGAGTCATAGAGGGTTGTAGAAGCTTTTGGATCTATCGTTCATGTTCCTAGGCCTCTAGTTGATAGAGATATGTCATGTGTAGTATTAGCCCAGTAACTAAGGAGTGATGTCATGTAATGAATCATAGAGGGTTGTAGCAATCGTTGAGTAGTATTGCTCTTGTTGTTGGTGTGACAAGCCAAAATATGTATAGTAACTTATAGGTTTGAGGAGGAGATTTCCAAGTTTGCTCTTAAGTTTAATAGCAAACTGAGTACAACGAATGTCAGTATGACAGTTAGGCCTGCTAACAACAGCAAAAACTCTTGTATACGTAAGAGAATGTGCTTCTTAAGTGGACTAAAGACTTAACAGCAGTAGATACTCTCTAGGGCATCGCCTACTAAAAGAAATAGCTAAGGAGCTACCTACAAAACGAATGTACAATTTAGACAATGTGACACGAACTCCCACTATAGCACACCCTTGATTTAACGCATATGAGAAAGTGGTTTAAGAGCATGGAATTGACTTAAAAAGACATATATAACATAGACAAGTCTGGATTTTCAATTAAGACAATGGAGTTAACATGTATAATACTCGATTCATCACTTCATACTTAGCACTAGGCTCATCCTAGCCATTAAGAATGGGTTTTGATAGTAGACTATATTTGCATAGACAGAACTATTCTACTACCACTTAAAGTGAAGAACATCTTATAGAACTAGATACCAAATAGCGTATTCAACAAATGGTTCTTTTTAGCAAATATAAAGGGTTAGATGAGTAACCTTTATGTAACGCTGACTTCTAAACGATAGAAGACACAGAGGTTTTACTATATTAAGTTGAGCACGAAGCTCCTATCTAAGGAAATACTATCTACTTATATAGTGGCATCGTGCTAAAGGGATATCAGAGATATTATAGATAACAAATATCCAACATATCCTCTACTATCCATTACATGGGGTTGCAGCCATAAACACTAGCTGTAGCAGTTTACAGTTTAGGGTGGTTGAGGCATTTTTTTGAACTATAACCTGAGCAAAAGCAGGCAGCTAATACCAACAACTTCTTATTTGTAATGGCTAACATATTTCACATGTAAGTGGCCTATAAAGCGACTGGCCTAACTCATTTTACACCTAAAATCACAAACTTTGTAACTAAATATCTTAACAACAGTTAAATAATAAATTATAAAAATATAATCTTACCCTTTTATAAGCATTTAAAGTACTATACTTGATTTTTAAGGCAATTAGTGTTATAGTTATTAAGATACTAAGAAGTAGGTTAAAAGTAGGGGTTAAAACTTAGTATCTTAATAACCATAAAGCTAATTGCCTTAAAATTCAATTATTGTTGTTTAAACGCCTACAACGTACATGTATAGCGAAAGCGCCAAACAAGCGAAAGTGCCAAAATATTACGACCACCCTATAAGAATTGCAATAAATCTACTACAACACTAGAAATCAACTAAAACTACTTGGAGTCTTCTTCCTCATACGTGTCTATTACAATCTGACAAGTGCACGCATTGTGCTTAGCCCCACCACACTTACCACAGTAGCATGCACGCGTTTCTTCCCTTGGCTTTCAACTACCACTTGCCTTTGTTTCTTGCTCTACTTGTTATATAATGTCCCTCTTATCCTGTAGCTCCTGTGCCTCCTGTTGACTAAGTGATCCTCCTTGCTGTAGACATGTTTTTTTTGCCCTCTGGCGCTTGCTTAGTACTTCATTTGCCTGTTAGAGGTTCTGGTTGTAATGGTGGGTGCACCAGATATGAGAATCTAGCCACCCAAGGAAGGGATGAATTTACTAAGACAACACACTGTCTTAGGAAACAGAGCCAAAGGGTTGTAGCTTAGACTATTCCACAACGCAGCAATCAGGTGTATGATGTGGTGAAGTGGTTTAGACAAGTTGCAACAAATGTTGAGTCTGAGAACTCAGGGGTAAGTCAGAGGTTAGCACCTCACTGACTTTTCAAAAACAGAGAATAACAAGATCAATGCTTGGAAGCTTGTAAAAGACGTGGAAGTATGTGATAGTCGATTTACTGTATTGCCTGCTTGCCCTTTCTTAAGGAAAGGGCAATCCTATTTATGCCAAAGGAGTGTAGTTCTCTCATTTTCCATGACTTTCCATGACTAACCAGGCTTGGTAAATGTATTAGAAATCAAGTGCGACCCACAACTAGCTTGCTAATCATGTAGTGAACGTAAGAGAATCCCATAGAACCATCTCTTGGGTTCCTAGCCTATAGGAAGTGAAAAGGAGGTCCAAGGTCAGAGTACCTATAGACAAATTATGTCATAACTTAACCAATCTTGTGGGTAACTAAGGAGCGATGACGTGTAATGAATCATAGAGGGTTGTAGAAGCTTCTAGAGCTATCGTTCATGTTCCTAGGCCTCTAGTTGGTAGAGATATGCCATGTGGTAGTATTGGCCCACCCCCTTAAGGAGGAGATTTTCTTAATAACTTGTTCAATGAGTGTTCAAATGATATGCCGTGATGTATGTAGCATAAACAGATGTAGTAGAAGAGTTTGCAGCAATCGTTGAGTAGTATTGCTTCTGTTGTTGGTGTGATAAGCCAAGATATGTATGGTGACTTGTAGGTTTGAGGAGGAGATTTCTAAGTTTGCTCTTGAGTTTGATAGCAAACTGAGTGCAACGAATGTCAGTATGACACTGGTTCTCTGCCTTTAACAATGTGAATTGATGCATTATTTTTGATGCACCCTTTGTAAACTAGTCAGTAGCTGTATAGATTTAGCTTAGAGAGCTATTTTGATGGCGTGAAATCCAAGTTTTAATAAAGGTAGACTATGACATAGCTTTAGTTGGGTTATTTGGTGTTTGGGAAACCTATGGTTGAGCAGTACCTAGGCAGGAGCTTAGAGGTGTTAGTGTCTTTAACTTAAGATCAAGTATAGAGATCACACTCTTAGGGTTGAATGGGAGAAGTCTAGCACCCTAGAAGCCTCCTTGAATGTTTCTTTCTCTCATTGCAGTGTTAAATGTAGCGTGGAAGGCAGGAAAGAAGTCATCATTATATAAGCCTGCATCATATCTTGAATTTGTTAACTATAAGTCTGCTTTAATGGGCTAAAACAGCCAACATCAAGTGGCTAGAGTAGATGAGAAGAATGAGCAGGCATGCAGAGAGTTATAATGTTGTGTTCTTTGTAGTACTTCTCAAACTCGTCTAAGTAGTGACTCTCATGACCATCAAGGACCAACAAGCGATAACCACCAACAGTCCGGGACTTTGTATGCTTCTCAAGATGCTAAATCCAATCCATACCTCTCTCGTTTGTAGTCTAACCATTTTCAGAGACAGCAATTACCCAGTTAGGTGGAAATCCGCTGTTTTGGTACCAAGAGGCAAGGTGGTTTTTACCTGCAACA